CCTAAAACCTATTTTTTTTTTCTCTTCTCTCTTTTCTTTCTCCGCCGCCATTACTCTATCTTTTCTTCGTCTTCTTCTTTGATTCATCATCGTTAATCTCTCCATCTTTCTCTTATTCTTGAAATATTATTCCTCTGTTTCTCTGTTTGATCAAAATGGCAGATATAACCGCTGAAAGAACCACCATCTTCAACCCTCAGAATCCACATCACACTCTCCTCTCCGTCAACATGTCGAGTGTTACTAAACTCACCAGTGTCAATTATCTCATGTGGAGCAAGCAGGTTCGTGCCTTACTCGAAGGTCATGAGCTCCAACATTTCATTGAAGACTCGGTGGTTATTTCTGCTCTTACTCTGACGGTGGAAGGAGTCTCCTCTCCTAATCCTGCCTAAACCCCATGGAGACGACAAGATCGTCTTCTATACAGCTCTCTTATTGGGGCTATCTCTCAACCTATACAATCGGTTGTCTCTAGTACCATCACCACCAAGGAGATCTGGATCACGTTAGCAACAACTTTGGGAATCCCACACGAGGCCATATTCGTCAACTCAAATTTCAGATCAAACAATGTGTCAAAGGGACTCAAACTATCAGCGAGTATCTACGCACAATCAAATCTAAAGCCGATGATCTCTCTCTTCTCGGCAAGCCAATGGATCCAGAAGATTTAACTGAGCAAATTCTCGCTGGTCTTAGTGAAGAATACAAGCCCGAGATCGATGCAATAAATAGGAGAGACTCCGCCATCTCTTACTCTGAGCTCCACGAACGTTTACTCAACCGTGAGGCCATGATTCTTTGCTCCGACTCTCCCCCTGTTACACCAATTGTTGCTAATGCTACGGATGCTAAATCTCGACAAAATTGGTGCAACAACAACAACAATCACACCACCAACTCCTCTCGTTCCCATCAAGCTTCTGGTCAACAACACCAACAACGGTTCTCCATACCGTACTTAGGCCGTTGTCAGGCGTGTGGTATGTAAGGCCATAGCGCTAAATACTGTCCGGAATTTCGTATTGTTCGAGGCTCTGCTTCCGCTCAAACAACGCCAAATCAATCACGGAACCAAATGTCGTGGCAACCCCGCCTCAATTTTCATCATGGCAGCCAACTGCTAATCATGCTATGATGTCAGATTCCTCTACATGGCTAATGGATTCCGGTGCATCTCATCACATGACCTCCGACTTAGCAAATCTTTCTCTCCACAATCCATATAGTGGTGGAGATGGTGTGCTTCTCGGCGACGGTTCTGGTTTGCAAATCTCCCACTCTGGCTCTCTTAATTTACCATCTTATACAAAGTCTTTCTTTCTCAATAATGTGTTATGTGTTTTGTTACTTGAAAAAAATTTGATCTCTGTGTTTCAACTATGTACAACTAACAAAGTTGCTGTCACCTTTACTCCCACGTACTTTCAGGTGAGAGATCTTCAAACAGGGGATCTTCGTCTAGAGGGTAAACCCAAGGATGGAACCTACCAATGGCCGAAAACCACCACATCAACTCCACCTTCCCTTGCTTTTGCTTCCGTCGTTAAGACGACTTTATCGGATTGGCATTCCCGTTTGGGACATCCGGCTTTTCAAATACTTCAAAAGATTATTTCAGAATTTCAATTACCAGTTGTTTCAAATGCTTTACTGGCTCAGCCATGCTCTGCTTGCTCGATAAATAAGATGCACAAGTTGCCTTTTCAAACATCAACTCTTATATCCACACATCCTCTTGATATTGTGTTTTCGGATGTGTGGTCTTCTCCGTTATTTCTATAGACGGTTCTAAATATTATGTTATTTTCGTTGATCATTACACACGGTACACATGGTTGTACCCTTTAAAACGCAAGTCTCAGGTTTTTGATGTTTTTACCCGGTTCAAAGCTTTGGTTGAAAATCGATTTCAAACCAAACTTAGAAAACTTTATACTGATAATGGGGGTGAATATATAGGATTAAGAGATTTCCTTTCAACTCATGGGATATCACATATGACTACACCACCACACAAGCCCGAACATAACGGTATAGCCGAAAGGCGCCATAGGCATATTGTGGAAACGAGTCTTGCTCTTCTCTCACACGCCTCTATACCTAAGGCATATTGGACTTATGCGTTTGCCACAACAGTTTATTTAATAAACCGAATGCCTACTGTTATCTTAGATTTCAACTCTCCTTTTCAAAAACTTTATGGACATGCTCCAAATTTTCAAAAACTAAAGATTTTCGGTTGTTTGTGTTTTCCGTGGATTCGTCCATATGCTTCTCATAAGTTAGATGCACGATCGACGCCATGTATTTTCCTTGGATATTCAATCACGCAAAGTGCATATTTTTGCTTAGACAAAGAAACATCTCGAATTTACACTTCAAGACACGTTGTTTTTCATGAAATTTTTTTTTTTTTTTCCATACAAAAACATTTAAACACGTCTGAGGAAGAATCCTCTGTTTTAACTTCTTCGTTACATCCCATTGTCACTGTTTTACCATCCTCTACATCACCAGAACCTACATCTTCCCTACCTGAACAACAAGTTCCATCCTCACCTTCCTCTCAACCATCTACGTCAACCTCAACAGCCGTAACCACATCAGAACAAGCTTCCTCACCCTCATCTTCTGACATTTCTACACCAGATAATCCTTCACCTCCTTCTTTACCTATTGCACCTTCCCCTGTTCCACCTCCACCTCCTCCTCCGCTTTCCACTCGGCACAACACTCGACCAAGAAAACCAATTAACAAACTCAATCTTCACACCACTGTTAGACCAGTAACAGAGTTGCCTCCTCGCACAGTTGCAGAAGCTCTCAAGAATCCTCATTGGCGTAAGGCCATGAGTGATGAGTTTAATGCTCAAATTGGCTATCGAACATGGGATCTCGAAAATTTAACTAATGCCACTAATGCTGTTAATGTGGTAGGTTGCAGGTGGATTTTCACAATAAAACGAAATCCGGATGGAACCATTGCGAGATACAAAGCACGTCTTGTTGCTAAAGACTTCACTCAACGACCAGGCATCGACTACCATGACACGTTTAGCCCTGTTGTAAAGCCTGCCACGATCCGCATCGTCCTGAGTACTGCAGTCTCGCACAACTGGCCCCTTCGGCAACTCGACGTCAATAATGCCTTTCTTCAAGGCACACTTGAGGATAATGTTTATATGACTCAACCACCAGGTTTTGTTGATCCCGACAATCCTCATGCTGTGTGCAAGCTGCGTAAAGCTATCTACGGACTCAAACAAGCTCCAAGAGCTTGGTACAATGAACTCCGAAACTTCCTTCTTGAATTCGGATTCACCAACTCCTTGGCTGATGCGTCACTATTCATTTACAACAAACAGGGAGTTCTCATCTATATGCTTGTTTATGTAGATGATTTAATTATTACAGGCAATAATTTACCTCATACAAATCGTTTTATTGCATCTCTTTCACAAAGATTTTCTCTTAAAAATTTAGATGACTTGTCCTTCTTTCTTGGAATGGAAGTCACTCGCACATCTGATGGAATTCATCTAACTCAGACTCGGTACATTGCAGATTTATTGCACAAGACGAAAATGGAGAATTGCAAACCCATCTCCACGCCAATGTGCCCAAATACGATCCTCACTCTTCACTCCGGGAATGCTTTAGATGATGCAACAGAGTATCGAACAGCTGTTGGAAGCCTACAATATCTCTCGCTGACTCGGCCGGACATCTCGTTTTCTGTCAACAAGCTCTCCCAATTCATGCATCATCCTACAATTGATCACTGGGATGCTGTAAAACGAGTACTTCGTTACCTTGCTGGAACGATGACGAAAGGAATTTTTCTTCAAGCAAACAACACACCAAGTCTTCACGCCTTCACAGATGCCGATTGGGCTGAAAACAAAGATGATTACACCTCCACCAGTGCTTACTTCGTCTACCTTGGACAACACCCGATAGCATGGTCCTCCAAGAAACAAACCGGTGTTGCTCGCTCCTCTACCGAAGCAGAGTATCGTGCTCTCGCCTCCACCACGTCTGAATTATGTTGGATCACGTCTTTACTATCAGAACTTGGCATCAAAAGTGACAAGCAACCGGTGATATATTGCGATAATATTGGGGCTACATACTTAGCTGCAAACCCGGTATTTCACTCGCGAATGAAACATATTGCTTTAGATTATCATTTTGTTCGTCACTATATTCAAACAGGTCAGCTACGTGTTACTCATGTCTCCTCTACTGATCAATTAGCTGATGGTTTGACCAAACCACTCCCACGAGCTCGATTTGAATCGTTAAAGTATCAAGATCGGACTTTGGAACCGCCGTCCGTCTTGAGGGGGTGTGTAGGGATATAGAAACTAATGATTGTATACAACTCATGATTAGCGTATAGTTAGAATTCGTTAAACGTATAATTAAGATTCATTAAGTGTGTAAATTGTATTTCCCTTCCTTCATGTAATATCTGTGTATATAAGCAGAATATTCTCTTTTTAATAAGATATACAATTCCATATTGTAATAACAGTATTATTTATTTTCTTTGCTTTCATAAATTAAAAAATTGTATCCTACCCAAAAAAAAAAAAAATTGTAGGTCGTGAAAATATATCATTGTGTGAAAGGTAAAATAGAAAAAAATAATCTTTAAAAGTTTCGTTGAAAAATTTGGTGTAGATTATTTAAGAAAAAATAATTTTGTACATGAATACCGATAATCAATAAAATGGAAATAAATAAATAACATGTTAATGCAGCAAAAATACCCTAAAAGATCAGCAAAGAATTGTTTACGACTTAAAAGTTCAAAAAGGTTTTTTTTTTTGTCTTAAAAATATAACACCCATTATAGTGATAGAAGCTTTTAGATTTCTGTGAGTTGCGTCTTTTTCTTCTCTTCCGCATTTGTTTTTTTTATTCATCACCTTCTCTCTTTTTTCTTCTTATTCATATTACCTGGATAAAAACAAAAAAAAAAAACAAAAATGGCAGCTTCTATTCGATCCTTTGAGCTGAACACTGGTGCCAAATTACCTTCGGTCGGTCTCGGAACCTATGCCTTGGTCCCGGCAACGATCGAACTGGCCATTAAGGTAGTACGCGTCGCTTCCCGATTGAATTTCGAGGTTTTGTCTTTGATTATAAAATTTCACTCTGATACTTCTCTTTTCGATTTTAGATTGGGTACAGGCATATCGATTGTGCGTCGATTTACGGCAACGAGAAAGAGGTAAAAAATTGCTTCTTTACAAGTTTTTTCTTTCCATTAACAATTTTTTCTAAAGTTTGAAAATTTTATTTCTTTCCCATCTGGAACATTGATCTTGATCACTGGTGTTCCCATTCCCTTCACAATATTTCATTTGGCAATGAAATATGATTCTTGATTCTCCTAAAATATTGAAGCTTGTATTCGAATTGATTCTCCGTGTGAGTGTTAGTTAAAGTTTTGGCATTATGCGTAACCTCTTTGCCTTTGTTGAGTGTTTAGTTTTTTGGGAGGTTGAAATGTCCCGCATCTGCATATTTCGTTGTTCTCACGCTATGATTGCATTTACTAGATTGGTAGTGTATTGAAGAAGCTCATAGATGGTGGAATCGTGAAACGTGAGGAGTTATTTATTACCTCCAAACTCTGGTTTGTGTTCATTTCCTAACCAACTTTCTCCTCTGGACATTCTTTTTTGTTTTGTTTACTCATACATCTATGTTCATGTTTTGTCTCTTGTTCTGTTCTGTAGGTGCAATGATCATTTGCCTGAATATGTGCCTAAAGCACTAGCCAAAACATTGCAGGACTTACAGATTGACTACGTTGATTTATATTTGGTACATATAACTTTTTTTTTAATTCTTACAACTGCTTCTTTTATGATGTTCATTTTGCTTTTGTTGTTGTTGTTGTTGTTGAAAGATACATTGGCCAGTGAGCTTGAAGAAGGAATCACTTATGCCAAAACCTGAAACACTCACGAAACCTGACTTACCAAGTACATGGAAAGCAATGGAGTCTCTCTATCACTCTGGAAAAGCTCGAGCCATCGGCGTGAGTAATTTCTCGTCCAAGAAGCTCCAAGATCTTCTCAACGTGGCTCACGTGGTCCCGGCTGTTAACCAAGTGGAGTGTCACCCAGTGTGGCAGCAACAGAGTCTTCATGAGCTATGCAAATCCAAAGGAGTTCACTTATCCGTGAGTATACACATACATAGATACACATTCTGAGTTTACTATTGTTTTTTGATGGTATATATGGATTGATGAACATGCCGTCATTGGTTTCTCGGCTTGATGATAGGGTTACTCTCCTTTGGGTTCTCAATCTAAGGGAGAAATCAGGCTTAAGGTTCTTCAGAACCAGATTGTCTCCGAGGTTGCGGAGAAACTTGGAAGAACCACGGCTCAAGTGGCTCTACGTTGGGGACTCCAAATGGGTCATAGTGTTGTGCCAAAGAGCTCGAGCGAGGCTCGACTCAAGGAGAATCTTGATGTTTTTGTCTGGTCTATACCCGAAAATCTGTTTGTCAAGTTCTCTAACATTCCCCAGGCAAGTTCTAATTAAAACACCCTTCATTGTTGATAATATAGATCCTCGTATTAATCATGGTTTTTACGTCTCCTTTGAAATCTTGCAGGAGAAGTTAGTCCGTGGTGCTGACTTCGCGCATGAGACGAGCGGCTTCTATAAGACCATCGATGAGCTCTGGGACGGTGAAATTTGAGAAACTTAGACGTGAAGGACATGTTTATATATCCTTCAGGCATGTTTGTTCTCGGTTAGAACATTAACGCATGAAACTTTATGTAGTTTACTCTTCAGTCTTCAAACAATAAAATGTGTTACAAATGCAACGTAACACAAATAAAGTTGTTTTCCTAATACTAGAAATGAAGACATTTTTAAGACATAATATATATATAGTAAGCTTTCCCATATTACTTTTCAAATTTATTATCTTCAAAAGGAAAATAACAAGGTCGGCACCGACCAGTGCAAATGTACAGATGGCCTCACACGCGTGGGCCCAAAAACGTGTCAGTTTGGCGAATAAGATACATCCACGTGGTGGTCAAATCTGACGTGGCGATATGAGAATGCAAGAAAGTTAAGAAATCAATGTCTCTCTCCCCCACCAACTCCCGCCTCTGTCGCATTCCCTTTGTTACTTACTTTTTGTCAATTTGATAAGTGGAAGTTGAGAAATGCTGTATGCGTTTGCGATCTTAATCTCCACAGTCTCTGAAAATGGCGAACGCAATCAGATTCTTCGAGCTCAACACCGGTGCTAAGATCCCGTCGGTGGGTCTCGGAACATGGCAAGCCTCTCCAGGTCTCGTCGGCGATGCCGTCGCCGCCGCTGTTAAGGTTCGTCTTTAGATTCTTTGTTATGTACAATACTATACAAAATGTTATTTTTCCACTACAAAAAAATATGCTAATCTCCGAGATCTCCTAACGTAATTGATTCCATACTTTGTTTTAGAAAGATGTTAGATCTCTGTTTTGTTTTGGTTTTATGCTTATTGATTTTTTTCAATTAGTTTTTCTTCCTAAGTAACTGTAAAACTGAAGATAATTTTTTGTTTAATCTTAATTTTGGTTTGCAGATCGGATATCGTCATATTGACTGCGCTCAGATCTACGGCAACGAAAAAGAGGTGCTTGATTAAGGCAAATTGATATTACATTTGTGATTCTTCTTGAATTGATCTTACATGTACCTACCAAATATTCACAGTGTGTTTCTCCTCTTAATTGTCTTTGTGTTTGTGTGTGTGATGATGGCAAACATATGTAATTGTTGCTTTCCTGTTTCTGTCTCCGATGAATGATACTGAAAAGTCCTTCCTCATATGCAGATTGGTGCAGTTTTGAAGAAATTGTTTGAAGACAGAGTTGTGAAACGAGAGGAGTTGTTCATCACTTCCAAACTCTGGTACCTTGTGTTATATTTGTCTTTATTCGAATGCAGATTCTGTGAATTAACTGTAGCTTTTTTAATCTTGCATTTTCATTCTTCTTTTTTTTTTTGGGTATCATTAAAGGTGTACTGATCATGATCCTCAAGATGTGCCACTGGCACTGAACAGAACTCTACAAGATCTGCAGCTTGACTACGTCGATATGTATCTGGTAAGCAAGCATAACTTCGTTTGTAACAGTTACACATTTTGTATATTTGCTTACGCATATAACTGAGTAACAAAAGTTTCTTAATAATCTTGTTTGAAGATGCACTGGCCTGTACGGATGAAGAAAGGTTCAGTTGGAGCTAAACCGGAGAACCTTTTGCCTGTAGACATTCCAAGCACATGGAAAGCGATGGAAGCACTCTATGATTCAGGCAAGGCACGAGCGATAGGTGTGAGCAACTTCTCGACCAAGAAACTAAGTGATCTCTTGGAGTTAGCTCGTGTTCCTCCTGCTGTTAATCAGGTCGAGTGTCATCCCTCTTGGCGACAGACTAAGCTACGAGAGTTCTGCAAATCCAAAGGAGTTCACCTCACTGTAAGAACATCACTCATTAATTTTTCTCCATTTGTGAATTTGCATTGACTGAATGTTCTTGCTAGGCATACTCGCCGTTGGGTTCTCCGGGAACAACGTGGCTCAAGAGCGATGTTCTCAAGAACCCTATACTGAACACTGTTGCTGAGAAACTCGGAAAGTCTCCTGCGCAAGTGGCTCTTCGCTGGGGGCTCCAAATGGGTAACAGTGTGCTTCCCAAGAGTACTAATGAAGGAAGAATCAGAGAGAATTTTGAAGTTTTCGACTGGTCAATACCTGATGACCTGTTCGCCAAGTTTTCTGATATTGAACAGGTACGGCTAGTTTTTTTTGTACAGTTCATTACCGAAACTTAGTTGCTCTGTTCTTCCTTTGGTTGAACTAGGAATTTACGTGTTTATGGATTTAAAAAAATGCAGGCTAGGTTATTGACTGCTGCTTTCTTTGTTCATGAGACACTGAGTCCGTACAAGTCTCTTGAAGAATTGTGGGATGGGGAGATATGATATTCATTCAGCTGATCTATTCTGTTAAAACAAATTAATGTGTTTTGTCTTGAGGTTGAACTTGTCACTTAGTTCATTAATGTTACACAAAAGACATGCCACTCAAATTGTTTACAATTTTTAGTTATGTTGAATTTTAATTTATAGAAAAGAACTGATCCAGTTATATATATTTACCATTACTAATCAAGCTCTCACTAACCTAAGTATGTAAGGGTCAAACATTGGGATAAATTAATTTAAATTTTTTCGAACACATATAGTAAGTTTTGACTGAAACGGATCTAGGAGTGCAGATGTATAGATGTACTCAAATCAAACGTGTAACGAGATGGCAAAAAGGAAATATAAAAGGAACGAATGGGATACGTCCACGCGGCAATTTCAAGAATTTTTTTTGTCCAAGATTGAGAAAAAATGTGTAATCTTGTGGAGGAATAAGGAACAAGATGGAACTTTAGGTTTAAATCAAAGAAACTTATCCTGAAAATTAAAATCAGAAAGATAATAAAAATGGGAAATAGTATAAGTACTCACTGGATTTCCACATGATAACAGAACAGAGAGGTGTTAGAAACAGGGGACATGAACAAGATAAAACAGAGGAAATTATATCAGTTGACTATCGAACAAGTCTTCTTCTCTCCCTCGGAGCTGAAAATGTAACTTCAGTCAAAACGTAATCCGACAAGTAGGGGAACGCCTGGGCAAGAACGATAACTCCTTGATCATCTTAAGTTTCTCAACAGACCGTAGAAGATACTACCAGCAGGATATGAGTCCTGCATAAGAGACGGCATTAAGTACACAATGCAACCGAATTGATCACAAAAATAACCAAACTACAGTATTCAGATAGTTTTGATTCACCATTCCTGATAAGAAACCAAGAACACAGTAGGCGCATGACCTTAACACATAAACAGAGGCGCTTGACTGAAGTAATAGAACCCAGAACCTGCTCAGGATGGTCACTAGAAACTACAACCTTTGCCCCCACAACCTCGGGCATACAACTCCTAATGACGAAAAACGTTGTGGCCACAACATCTTTCGTTGGTAGTGACGACAATATCCTCAAGATAAGCTCATCAGGCAATTGACTTATCCTATTCATAGTCAAGAGCAGCTAAAAACCCTTTTTCAAACTCTAAAGCTTTCACCTTCCACAATCCACACCTTTCTCCGTCAATGTCAGAAACCCGAAATCAGCAAGGAAATGACTAAAATAAAAATGAAGGAAAACGAAATCCAAACTCATCGAAATTACCCAGAAATATATGCGAGTACGAAATCAAACAAATAAGACGAAGCAAATACCTAAAACCACAAATCAGAAACAGCAAATCAAATAAACGAGGAAGAAAATTCGTAACTTTGTATGTTACTGAAGAAAAGAAGAGAAAATCATAAATTTGTGGTTTTAGTTCAAAAGACAATGCCTTGAAGAAACAGAACGTCGAACAACATCTTAAAGCCAAATAAAACACAGAAACGGGAAACTCATTTACTCGTAACAAAGATGGCGGTTGGACTGCCTGGAGATGGAGGATTCTGCTTGAGGAGTGAAGCATGTGAACCAGCTTTAGCAACATCGTCAGGGTCAGTTGCAGAAAAGATCTCAACCTCTTCAAGACCGAGTTGCCGCTTGATCAAGTCCATGTTACTCTTGAGAACTTCCATCTCTCCAAAAGGCAGCTTCAAGTTCAGAGCCTCACTGCCCATGGCTATTGCCTCGTCCTTCTTGAATTTAAGGAAAGGCATGCAAAGCTTCTGAATCTGCTTGAAGTTCTCGGCTTGTCCATCCTTGTGCAGTATCTCCTTTAGCTCTGCAAGTATCTCTGCATCAGGCGTAAAACAACGGGTCTGTTGGTTAAAATTGCTTTGCAGGATCCCAAGGCAGTGAGCTCTCCATCCATCAAACTGCTCATTCACGTAAACTAGGCCCTTCAGCTTCTCCTCTGCCACGGCTGTTACTTGAGCACCTTTCTTAGCAGCCTTCTTGGAACCCAAGAGCTGTCTTTGTAGAAGCTTTCTCATTAGGACGATAGAGTCCTGCAAATACTTGTTAGCACCCTTGAGAACCAAATCTGGCTCATTTGATGCTGGCCAGCCTGCGTTTACCACACTGCCTTCCTTCTTCAAAAGTTTCCTCCAGATGTATTCCGCAAACTGAGGGCATATTGGTTCAATGAGGCGAGTTTGCACATCCATAAAGGTCAGTATCAAGTCATGGTTCATGCCGCCAGTGCCACAGGAGAGTCTGTACTCATCTCGAGCTGCTTGTAAATCGTAAAACCCATTCTTAAGTGCCTCCCTGAACAAACAATCTTTGTAGGCTTTTTCAGTCAGTCTGATAGCAATGTTCATGTCATTTTCAAACACTCTATCAGCATATGTAGATGCAGGGCCCGTTCTCAAAGAGGATTCAGCCGCCAGAACTTCCTCCATCCATGTCAGCTCCTTTGTCAGCCGCAAAATTGCAGCATTCGCAGTTTCAAATACAAAATTCGCATCGTCTACGCCATCACCAGCATCAGCCAAAGAAAACCTTGTAGCAGTGGCAGAGAACTCTTCAATAGCTTGCCGCAATGTTCTGAAATTGCCAGTTGACTTTGACATCTTCTCAGAGTTCAGCATAATGTGACCATTACATCTGATACCACGTGGCCAGTTACGAGTCGCCATAAGTGCAGTGTGGTTGTAGATAAAGAACGTCAAATGGTTCTGAATGAGATCCTTTCCTGACACTCGAAGATCTAGCGGGTACCAATAGTCAAATTCCTGCTTCATCTTACTTAAAACATCTGAGGGAATGTCAGATGATTTTGGGTACTGACCATCGCAGAAGAGATACTCCCAAACCTCATCGTTCATCTGCTGAGGGCTAATCAAAGACTTGCTGCCTTTGTACATGTCTCCGTCGTGAAAGATGTGGGAAACTGTATAGTAGGCCATATAAAGGGAGGAATCAGATAAGGATTCGACGAGGAACTGTTCATCCCAGGGAATACGTGTTCCAAGACCAAAAGAACGTGAGCAAGCCCACTGATTGAGCCAGCTCAAAGTGTGCTCAAAGCCATGCCTTGTTTCTTCAGAGTAGAGATTCATGTTTGACAAGCATTCCTCAGCCATTTTCCGCCATTCTGATTCGCCGTAAGTTATGTACCACTGATCCGTAAGAGCCACAACACATTCATCGCCGGATCTTGACATCACAGGCTTCTCCGGTTCACTGTATAGAATTGCCTCGCCAGAATCTATGAGCTTCGTCTTGATAATGGGCTTGATTTCTTGAACTTTCCTACCAACAAACTCTCCAATAAGCATGGTTCCTTCGGTGAATCCTTTCAGGTACGTCAACCTCTTAGCCTCTGCAAGCTTCTCCTTATCATTTTGGCTTTTGATTTTCAGATCCAAGCAGACCTTCTCGGCAGCCTTATCCCCAAACTCGGGAATGTTGATAATCGGAACAATAGCAGAGGGCACCCACTCATCTTTGACACCATACTTTGCTCGAAGAGCAGGCTTTGCATTCAAGTCGTGCAGAGCCATGTAATCATCAGGGGCATCACTAGGGACGCTGGTGACAATGCCAGTACCTTTGTTTGTCAGAATGGTTAACATGGGCAGAGCATAGATGATCTCGTTCACTGCAAGAGGAGACCTCAAAGGGAGCCCAATCAGATCATAACCGGTCAGCTCAACCAAGCAGGAAGGATTCTGAGGGATCTTTGACAAGTTCTGGTAGGCAAGGTTGAGAGCAGCTCTCTCAGTAAGGACGAAGACATCAGTTTCGCTGATTTCATAAGCTCCGTATTTCCCATCAGGCAACACCCATGCGTTTGTTTGTCCATACATGGTCTCAGGCCTCAAAGTAGCTGCAGCAAGAAACACTCGCTTTCCTTCCAAAGGACCCAGCTTCAGAGGGAACGGCTTCACTACTTCCATCTTGATAAGAGTATACTCTTGAGGCTGGACACCTTCACCAGTGGCACGGTCGTGATCAGCACAAGGCTGTCCATCTAAAGGCGAGAAGATCGTGTACCTACGGTCTTTCACAATCTTCCCCATAGATTTCAACTTGCGCATCTGCCACCTCACAAAGGCGTCGAAGAAAGGATTAACGTCAGTGGTAACGAACGACCTTCTCCAGTCACAGCCCAATCCATATGCCTTGAGATCTTCAACAGCCAGTGGTGGAAAGTAGTACAACCATTCATAAGGATCTTGGAACCTTGCAATCTCAGTGTCAGTGAGGCCAAAGCTGCGCATAATCTCCCATTGATAAACCTGTCCACCGGATTTCGCAGCCACCTTCGACTTCTTTCCCCTGAACTGATCCGGCAAAGCAGGTGTTGTATCACTCTCTTCCTCAACAGCTTCTGGAGCTTGTTTTGTGTCAGTGAACACAGGAGGGTTCCCAAACTGCTGCATCTCACGGGAAAGCTTATCCGCAGAAGCCTTAATCGGCATACCAGTGCAGTGGAAGCCAAAGGGAAGGAGCACGTTAGCGCCTCTCAGTCTATGGTAAGCAGAAGCGAAATCAACCTTGGAGAGTGAGAAGGCATGCCCAATATGCAGATAACCATTCATATACGGGAAAGGGAAAGTTGAGAAGAACTTCTCTCCTGCTTTTGGAGGATCCTTACGAGACTCAGCCACGAATACTCCTTCTTCTTCCCACAGCGATCGTGCCTCTGCCTCAAGCTCCAGAAGACGATCTCTCCTCACGAAGCTTTTCGCTTCAGATGCCATTCCGTGACAGTGCCTGCGCAGCACACAACCATTCAATATCACCATGTCTACAGAAATCGAATCAATAGATGAAGAGAAGAGAGAGACTTTTTAACGGCGATTACCTTGAGGATGAACTTCGGGGGGTTGTAAATCGAGTCCACCGCGAAAGCAATCTGAGATTTCTTGATAGAGAGAGAGCCACGGTGGGAATGAAGATGCTGTAATGTCTCCGTCGCGTCTAGGGCTTATACTTAAAATCTCAATTCACCTTTTTTATGAACCAGGGAATCCCAATTCAACCGAACCAAAATTAGCCTCAACCGAGCCAAAATTAGCCTAAACCGGAAATCAGTAAGTCAGTTTTAAAAATTAGATTATGGTAAACATGCATATTGGCCAGATGGATTTATTCTCCACACTTTATAGCATTGGAAAGCTTCAAGATTTCTTGAATTCGAAAGCCTTCAATTTTCCAATTTCTTATTTACCAATTTTCCAATAAATTAGCTTCAAGAAACCAGGGAATCTCAATTCAAAAGATAGGAAACAGATTCGATTATTTTGAATGTCGCCATTGTCCCAACTCGGAATCTACACTAGACATGCTATTCTCGAGTGCCAATATTGCAAAATCTGTGTGGAATCTAGCACCATATATGATCAGACAAGCTTCAGGACTTGAGAAGCTTCCCATTTCAGAAACAGCAAATCAAATAATAAACGAGGCATTTGATCAGGACATTGTACTAGTTTCGTGGTTTGTGATTGTTTTGCCGATGCATCACTATCCCAATTTAAATCCGTAACTTGTAATGTTACTGAAGATAAAAATAAAATTTTATTTTTAGTTCAATAGACAATTCCTTAAAGAAACAGACTGTCGAGAACATCTTAGAGCCAAAATACAAAAAAAAACATAAAAAAAGGAAACTCAATTACTCAGGCGGTGGGTGAAAACACAAAGCTCTTTCTGTTCACCTCAGCCTCACCAAACGGTCTTGTTTTTACCTTGAACCGAGCTAAACCGCAACAAGATGTTTGATTATTAAGCATGTATCAATTTTCTCCATTTTTCTTGTCTAAAATTGATCAAACTTTCTTGTTTTAATGCAATTCCCGAGAAAACAAATATTAGACCAAAAGGGGTTTTTTACTAGTTACCCTCTAGTCTTTGATTTCACCGAACCGAGCTAAACCGAGATGGGAAAACGTACCTCCGGTATTGAACGGGGACGACACCGGCTTTGTATTGAGCGATACGGAGAAAGATGGGCTGAGCCAAATCGAAGTGATCTTGGGGAAGATTACACCAACCTCCCGCGTTGTTCGCCTGAGCAAAATTCGGCGGACAAAAAGTTCACAAAACAATTTATCAGCAAGTTTTGTCTGAAACGAATAGGATTCGTCCACGTGGCAATACAACAAATTTCAAGAATTTTTTTTTTGTCACTCCTCCTTTTTTCTTGGATTAGTGGAAGTTGTGAAGTGGTGTGTGTGCGTTGACCCAACAGCGACAGCAGAGATCTTAATCTCCAATCTCTGACAATGGCGAACGCGATTGGATTCTTCGAGCTCAACACCGGCGCTAAGATTCCGTCGGTGGGTCTCGGAACATGGCAGGCCTCTCCTGGCATCGTCGGAGATACCGTCGCCGCCGCTGTTAAGGTTCGTCGTTGTCTTTAAATTTCTTTTAAGTTTCAAGATCCCATGCTTTTTTCAAGAGAGATGTCACGACAGCTCTCCGTTTCAATTGGATTTTCTTTTGCTCAGTTGGTTTTCCATCGTAAGTAGCTGCGAGTGAAGCTGAAGTTATTTAGTCTTAAATTCTTATTGCAGATCGGCTATCGTCATATCGATTGCGCTCAGATGTATGGCAATGAAAAAGAGGTGACACATAGATGCTTGATTTAGCCAAGCTTTAGAGTGTTTCTTAAGAATTTGTGTAATTGTTTGTTATTCCTAATCTCTTGTACTTGTAGAGTGTTGCTTTCCTGTTTCTGTCTGGATGTGTCTCTCATGAGGATACTTATATAACTCATTTCATGTGCAGATTGGGGGCAGTTTTGAGAAAATTGTTTGAAGACAGAGTAGTGAAACGCGAGGAATTGTTCATCACCTCCAAGCTCTGGTACCTTGTGTTGTATTTTGTTTTATCTAATGAATAATATGTGATTGATGAGTGCAGCTGTAATATTGTATTTTCGAATTCGTGTTATCATTAAAAGGTTAACAGATCATGACCCTCAAGATGTGCCTGTGGCATTGAACAGAACTCTACAGAATTTGCAGCTTGACTACGATCTATATTTGGTAAGCATCACTTCGTTGAACGTGTTATTTGATAAAATGTTAAGTTTCATGTATTTTCCACTAAAAATAAACAATTGGTAATGAGTATATTGACCCCATGTATATATAAGTTTAGACTTCATATTAGTTCAGAAGTGAGAGATTCCAAACATATATCTTCAAGAAGTGTTGAAACTTCTTTATATTTTCGCTTAAACCTCATATATTATATATAGCATTGTATATGGGAATCGATTGTTCATAGAGGGGAGATTATTACATGAAAAGTTTGTTTGTGATCTTCTTGAAGATGCATTGGCCTGTACGGATGAAGAAAGGTTCTGTTGAATATAAGCCAGAGAACCTTTTGCCTTTAGACATTCCTAGCAGATGGGAAGCGATGGAAGCACTGTATGATTCAGGCAAGGCACGAGCCATAGGTGTAAGCAACTTCTCGACCAAGAAATTAAGTGATCTCTTGGAGTTAGCTCGTGTTCCTCCTGCTGTTAATCAGGTCGAATGTCATCCTTCTTGGCGACAGACTAAGCTACGAGAGTTCTGCAAATCCAAAGGAGTTCACCTCAGTGTATATAAACATCACTCATTACTTTTTCTCCATTTGTGAATTTGCGCCATACCTTTTTGCACTGATTGAATATTGTTCCTGCTAAGGCATACGCGCCATTGGGTTCTCCAGCAACAACGTGGTTGTTCATAAGCGATGTTCTCAAGAACCCTATACTAAATACGGTTGCTGAAAAACTCGGAAAGTCTCCTGCTCAAGTTGCGCTTCGCTGGGGAATCCAAATGGGACACAGTGTACTTCCCAAAGGTACTAATGAAGGAAGAATGAGAGAGAGCATTGATGTTTTCGACTGGTCAATACCTGATGACTTGTTCGCCAAGTTTTCTGATATTGAACAGGTACGGCTAAATCAACACCTCGTTTTTTTTTGGCACAATTCATTACATAAACTTAGTTGCCTTGTTCTTCCTTGCTTGATCTAGAATTGAGAGTTGTGTTACTTATTTTGAATTAAATGCAGGCTAAGTTATTCAGTGGTTACTTCTTTGTTCACGAGACAATGAGCCCTTACAAGATTGTCAAAGAATTATGGGATGGCGAGATATGATGATATTCAGCTCATCTACTTTTTTGTTTTTGTATGGGAGGTTTCTGTCTGTTTAGCTTGGTTTGTTCCTAAATGTCAAAAAAACATGCCACTAATATAACAATCTACAATTATATTTGCATATGTAAAACAAATATGGTTGTAAATACCGAAAATGTATTGTACTCACCTAATTATACATTTGCCATGTATTTATAATTCGATTTTAGGTGACTATGTGATAGTTTTTTTTTGTTGGTCAAGCAATATGTCTAAGGTGACTACACACAATCAGACATGACAAGAGAATCTGAGATAATTTGATCAAATTATACATTTGCAATGTCTTGTGTACATGCAGTCAGCTAAAATCGGAAATATAATATTTACATATGGCCGTGAGAATACCAACCAAACCCTACACTCACATTGCATTAGAGCTCAAAAAGATCGAACGAGTAATATTGAAACCCAAAATAAAATACGGAATTCTAAAATAACAAGGATTCAATCTAACTTGAATGTGTCATCAAATTGTAACTTTGAAGACAGCATATTCCACATATCGGAAGGAAGGAAGAAAAATAAGATATTTCAGGATTTATAATAAGGATCGTACGTAAATCATTCTTCTTTTGTCTAACCAATTTTGAGTTGGAAAGATCTAGTCATTTACAATCATATGTTGACAAAGAGAGTCTTTCTCGAATTCTTGTATTTACAAGTATATATATATATATATATATATATATGTCTTTGTAGTCGAGATCTTTTCAAATAGAACTTTGGTCTATTAATTAAAACCAAGATCGACATCAACGACACGGAGCAATTTGCAATCATGCGGTTATGTGAAACTTAGATACATACATGACCATGCATATAATGAACAACAACGCCGAAAATTAAAACACACCAACAAGTAAACAAAATCATCACAGAATAAATTATTGATCTTCAAACTTGATCGGCCCCCATCGTTGCAGCGGCGATTTGGGCTGCTACCGTAAACGTTGCAGATGCTACAGCCCCGAGGCTTCTTATAAAACCTCCCTTTTCCTTCTTAACCTTGCTTGGATCTGCCTTGGGATCTGCTTTTGGAGAACCCGGGTTCATGTGCGGATGTTGATGATGAGGATGATAACCACCACCATGAGGGTATGGCCCATATGGATCCATATGTGGATAACCATAAGGGTTTCCTTGACCATAGTGGTGCGGCGGCGATGGCTGTCCCTGTCCCGCAGGGCCATGCAGGCTTCTCTGCGTCGTTACGGTTGCATCGGGAGACGAGACATGCATTGGGCTTGAACCATGCATTGGACCGTGTGCGCAAAGCGGGTGGGATTCAAAACTACAGTGCTTGCATTTGTAGAACAACCCTTGGATGTAAACTCGGCAAACATAGCAATAGCACCCGCGCTCGGCCGTGTGCGTGGGACCGGTGATCAGGTCGAGCTCATGATCAGGCGCGTGCCATGAGTTTCTGAGGCTCGTGGGACACGTACCGCAATATTCGTGGAGATCGTAGTCGCAGTCGCCGCACCGGTAAGCCTTGCCGGTTCCGTACAGTTTGCAACCATCGCACGTGTACGTTCCAACAACGTTGATTTCGCTCAAGGGATGGTTATGTGTAAAGTGTTGAATCGTGTGCGGGTTTGACATCCTCGCCTGCCGTTTTTGGGGTTTGAACTGGAGAACGGTTTAGGTTTTTCTATCTTCTTGGTGGTGCATAGAGATGTTTGCAAAATCTGCAATAGCTTTCTTGTGTTATTAATACAAATTTAGTTGACTTTGGTGGAGTTGACTGATCCATACGAAGAAAATGTCACTTTTGTTATAGATTTTTCTGTTTCAAATTGTTGATATTATACAAGAATCTAAGTTGAAATGTTCTATTACATGGCTGGTTCGGACGTGTCTTCAAGTTTTCAACCTTTACAATATACTAAGTATATACTAAGTACTAGTGTATATATATATAACAGTTGCAAACTGAGCCGGCCATTGCCAATGTCATATCTAGAACAATTAAAAACTTTGATGTATATACTTTATTTTTAAGTAATCTGCAAACATTGAACATTTGAGTAAAAAAATAAACATTATGATTTTTTTTTTAAAGGTTACGGGTTGACTGTAACTTTTTATACAATTATGATTATTTTATACTTAGTTTTTCTTTCTAATAACACACACTAGTAAAAGTCTAAAACTAAAGAAATATATGCTCATTTGAACGAAATAATAAGGCCCAAGTGTCGCTGACAATTTCTTTTCCCCTTAATGGGCTAGGCAACTCTATTATATACCCCCCAATTCATCTCCTTCTCTACTTTTTTCCATCACTCACACACAGCTCACACACATATCGTATTCGTAGCTCCGATAATGCCGGAGGAAATCAGATCCTTCGAGCTCAACACCGGGGCGAAGATACCATCTGTCGGTCTCGGAACATGGCAGTCTGATCCTGGTCTCGTCGGAAACGCCGTCGAAGCAGCTGTCAAGGTTCGTCTGTGATTTTCGCGGTTTCGTGGTCACTGATCGTAGAATTTTAGGATTTATAGCCAACTCTATATAGCTAAATTTCTGATTCCTCTTATTTTATGAGTTGAATCAGTCATTTCACCTAAATTGATTTACATTTTTAACTGAAAAAAAAATGAAGATTCTTCTACTATGCAGATCGGCTATCGGCACATTGATTGTGCTCAAATCTATGGAAACGAAAAGGAGGTAATCACTCATACTTATTTTCAAGGATTTTCGTATATTTCGTTTAGATTAGGATTCACTGTTCCTTGTATAAGCTTTGAAAGTTAAGCTGTATTGGTTCATGCTCTTGCTCTTGCTTATGCGTTTGTTGTGTTGCAATGGTTGCTTAACAGTTAACACTTGTTTATTTGCCTTGTTTGATTGATCGTATTCTAATTTTACTCGTTTTGATCACTGTTAAAATGTGGAGGTGGGCCCTTACAATTTTGTCCTCAAATTTCAATTTTTTTTATTCATAGAAGTGTGTTCCCATTATTCTGTATCTCTCTGTTTTGATGACCAAGAAAATCTCTTGGAACAATATTATTTTCACTCTACATATCTTGATTTTGGTCTGTTATTCTATTGACATGATCTCTGTTGTTTGTAAACCGTTGTATTTTTTTTTTCAATCTAGCAATAACAGGCTCGTACTTCTCTGTATGATCTAGTCAGTAATCAATTAACTGACAGAATCTACCTGTCTTTATTGACACTAACAACAACTTCTTCCTCCTGCAGATTGGGTTCGTCCTGAAGAAACTGTTTGATGATGGAGTTGTTAAGCGTGAGGAATTGTTCATCACATCGAAACTCTGGTATTCTGCATCACTGTGCTTTTAATAACTTATGGATTGTTTCCTATTTTCTTTAGCTTCTAACCTGATTACCTGCTCATATGGAAGGTGTACTTATCATGATCCTCAAGATGTGCCAGATGCTCTCAACAGAACTCTACAGGATCTGCAGCTTGATTATGTCGATTTGTATCTCGTAAGTAAACATATTAGGAAACCCTGTCTTGCTCCTTTGACGAATTATCCATGTGTGTTTCTCTTCAACATAACTTGCATTGATCCATATATGTTTCTTGAACCCGAGGTGTGCTTTTAGATGTAGTTCGATCTACGTATATATTAAGAATCTTAGGACTAGTTTTGTGGAACATATAATTCTCTTTTCAATTGACATCTTGCGTCATTTTGTGGAACCATTTCAACTGACACCAACAGTTTTTTTGTGACCCTTTTGAAGATCCACTGGCCTGTTAGCCTCAAGAAAGGTTCTACTGGTTTTAAGCCAGAGAACATTTTGCCAACTGATATTCCTAGCACATGGAAAGCAATGGAGTCACTCTTTGATATGGGAAAGGCCCGAGCCATTGGTGTAAGCAACTTCTCCTCGAAGAAACTCGCAGATCTCTTGGAAGTAGCTCGCGTCCCTCCCGCTGTAAACCAGGTGGAGTGTCACCCTTCGTGGCAACAAACTGTGCTCAGGGATTTCTGCAAATCTAAAGGCGTTCACCTCTCCGTACGTAGAAACAAAACATGTCCATATCCTTTTTTTTGTTGCAAAACTGATGAAAAGATGTCTGGAAATGAAACACTGGTTGATGTGTTTTGTTTAGGGATACTCTCCTTTGGGTTCTCCAGGGACAACTTGGCTCACGAGCGATGTCCTGAAGAACCCGATTCTAGGCGCGGTTGCTGAGAAGCTCGGCAAGACTCCTGCGCAAGTCGCATTACGCTGGGGTCTCCAAATGGGTCAAAGTGTTCTTCCGAAAAGCACACAGGAAGACAGGATCAAACAGAATTTCGACGTTTTCAATTGGTCCATACCCGATGACATGTTGTCCAAGTTCTCTGAGATTGAACAGGCAAGTGATTGCATTCCAAATAGATCAAAAAGATTTTTCTCTGTTTTTGCTGCTAGGCTCGGGTTATCTAAAACTGAAAGATGTGTGTTTCAATGCTGCAGGGAAGGTTGGTGAGAGGTATGTCATTTGTTCATGAGACGAGTCCTTATAAGACTGTTGAAGAACTTTGGGACGGCGAGATATGAGAGACTCATCATTGTTATGTGCCAAATCATTCACGGATTCGTCATTGTTCAATTTATTATTACATTTTACTCATAAACTCTCTCTAGTGCCTAGTGGTCCTCCTACGTTTTCAAAATCTGCCCCCAATTCCTAATAAATTATTACGAAACTATGTTGGGTATAATTAAAGATTGTAAACACGTACATTATGTAAACTTATTTCTTTAATAAACTTAGAGTTAAACTTATTGCAAAGAATAAATAAAAAAGCCCAACATAAACAAATAAAGAAGTCAAAACAATAATGGCATGACGTTAGGGACGTGCCATTTTCAAAACGAGCCGGTACAAGGGCTGCGCAAGCCGTCTGATCAGAACGAAGGTAGACCCATTAGAGTCATCACAATGCTAAACATTATGCGTTCTTTACTCACACCCAAAAGTTGCTGACCTTGATTTGTATTTCCGTAATTGTATCCGCACCCACATGCATGATTGTGATAAGGTTGGTGATACTGCCAAGGCTGAAGATACGCTTGCGACCCGGAACTCGTTTGCTGAATGGTTGCCGCTGCTGACGCAGACGAATTAACACATGCCATGTGAACATCGAACCGGCATGGACCACACTTGTACCGCCAAGACCGGATCGCACCGTGGCAGACCATGCACATGTTGCTTGCTCCCATATGAGACAGCTCCAAGGGATGATCCGGGTGAGGCACGTGGGTCACGTGCTGAGGCAGCTGTGAGCAAAGTGGATGCACTTCGAAGCCGCAAGGCTCGCACTGGTAGTAGAGCCCCTCGGCTAGTTCGTGGCAGATGTTGCAGCCACGTCTGTCCTGAGGCGTCTGCGCTGGTCCTTTAAAGACTAAGCGGAGCTCGTGTTCTGGATGCAGAAAGCTGAGGAGGGTAGGGGGACACGTGGCGCAGTACTCGTGAAGGTCGTAGTTGCATGGTATGCAACGGTACGTCTTCCCAAAGCCGTAGGTTTTGCAGCCATTGCATATGAACCCGCCAAACCCTTCAACCTTCGTCACTGGATGGACATGGGTGAAATGTTGGACTACTTGTTCTTCTCTTGCCATCGAAGACATATCTAATTTGTTTTTCTTTTCTTGAGAGTGAATATAATGGGATTTGAGAGAATAAATAGTGTTAAGTAGAGGAAATCTTTAGAACTGTTTTGGATCTGATTGGTTGATAATGTAACTTAAGTGTTTAGCTGTAAAATTAAGACCGTAGGATTTTTTTGCTGTGTCTATAGATTTTTTATTGTGATTTGTTTTTTGTAAAATGAAACATAATTGGTAAACTATTTGTATACTGTAAAATGTAAATTATATTTATTGTCAAAATTAAATATAGGAAAGATATGATAATAGCTATACTATAAAGAATAATAATAAAAAAATGCACATAAATGAATGGTATTTCATATACAAATACATTTACATATATAAAATATTTAATATAATTCACAAATAAACTCTATATTAGTTGAAAATAATATATATTCATTTAAAAACATGTAACAAAAGTGTTGATACACATGCATTTTTTTTTATTATTGTTAACCGATTATTATTATGGTGTGGTCAAGTAATAATCAAGGAGGAGAGATTTGTGGTCAAGTTGAGTGGTGTGATCTTGTTTTCACTGGGAATATTGTCATGATGAAACCTACACTTGTTATGGTTTGATGCAAAAACTCTGCTTACCTTATGTTTTTTTTTCTTTAACTGTTATGGTTTGATGCAAGAACTCTCCTTCATATGACTTGTGATATATTGTTTTCACTGGGAATATTGTCTTTTTTCCTTTTCATTACTGATTTCCTTGCTGCAAATGAAAATAGTCGGATTTGAGAATCCATAATGTTTAGACTATCTGTTTGCTGTAGGTTTTTAAGTAGTATTTGGAGAATTATTTGTCAAGAAGAAATCATGAGAACTTCACCCTTCTTCCTCACTAACTGGGAACACATCACATGCATGAGCTTATCTTTTTATCTGCTTTATGTTTCCACAAGAGATGTTGTACCATATGGGTAATACATGATTGGAATACATATATGCATGATGCGAAGATTACATGTGAGTATATCAATTAATTCAAGAGTAGCATTAAGAAGAAAAGTTTAATATTATTAGTTATCTCTTTAAGAAAATTTAAAATGCAATATTAAAACAAATACATGAGAGACTGAAAGGAGTACATAAATATAATTCAGCCAGTTTGCTGTCAACTTAATAAACACATTAACAAATAGAGGGAAAGAACAAAACACATCATCAAGTTTTGTTTATATATTTTCTTCAAATTCCGAATTCCTTTAGCTCAATCTTCCTTTTACTTCACTCACTTTCTCACTCAAACGAATCAATCCGAACAGAAACCTGATATAGAAAAAGAAAATCAGAGTAAGAGGGAAAAAAAGATATGACACGTCATGCATTATTAGTTAAGATCGAGTCTCCATGTGAGAATTCGTAGAATCAAGAGAGTACAACACTAAGATTTACAAAAAAGAACTCTCGCATAACTCTTGACAGTTGACAAACTCTTCTCCTTCTCCCTTATGAGCAGAGAAAACTGATATGAGTAAACCAGCTAGCGATTTCTGATTAAATCCTTTGCCAACTGTGTAAATCCAGTCTGATTTAAACCCAATAACCATGTATGGTTGTCACCTTCGATTAACATTTTAAAAAACCACGGCATTTTTGGCACGTAAAATATTATTCGAGAACAATTTTATTAGTATTTGCACTTTTAACCAACCATGTGGAAGAGGTTTTCAAGTCTTTTACTTGTGTGTTTCTCTACTTGACCGAATATGTAGAAGGTCAATAGGTTATCCCACATCAAAATAGAAAATATTAAAACCAAATTATGAACGAAGAAATAACAGTATATATGTAAAAGGCATCGACCTTGATGATTTGTATATCCGTGATTGTAAAGGTTGATAATGCCGTTGTGACTCATACATAACTCATTTGCTGAATTGGCGTCGTTGCTACTGATGCTGACGAATTTACGCATTCCTTGTGAACATCTAAACCGCATATTGGACCCGCCAAGACCGACTTGCGCCGCCGCAAACTATGCACGTGCCTCAGCTCTAAGATATGGGGGTAAGGGACATAAGGCACGTGCTGATGAGGCAGTGGCGTGCAGAGTGGATGGACGTCGAAGCCGCAAAGGCTTGCATTGGTAAAATAGTTCATCGGCTGATTCGTCGTAGATGTGTGCGTTGAGAACGGTTTAGATTTGAGAGAAGTGGTTCAGAAAAAAAAAAAAAAAAAAAAAAAAAAACTACCATTCCCAAACAGATTTCGTTTGGCAAGTTAGCAAAATAAATAAATAGTTGCTGTTTAGTTGTGTGGTTACAAATTATAAACTTTCGTTCACTTATTCTCCAAAAAACACGATAAGTTTAACGAAGTCGTTTACAAATTCTGAGAACGTGGTAGAGCAGTTAAGTTGACTGACCATAATATGGTCAATTTGACCACTCTTTTTTTTTTTTTTTTTTTTTGACGTTTCATAATTTTTGATTTTTATTACGTCGGAGTTTTTGGTTCCATTGCCTTTGAGACGAAATCTAGTCTGTTTGAGCTCGGGGAAGCGAGATTGGGGGTTGTTAAGGGTTTTGATTAAACAAGTCTTGACTTGAAGAATGGCTTCTTCTTTGGAAATTGGAGGAGAAGAAGGAGAAGGAAGAGAGGAATAGAGAGGAACGAAGAAACGAGTAGCGTTGGTGGATTTGTAGTTGGAGAAATTCTGGTTAAGCCGTGAATTGTTCGGAGCCGAACAGTTATGCAAAGTTTATTAATTCAGCATGTTACGTATAATTCCAATCATGTGAGATCCTACTCGATTCATTTAACCAAGTTCTATTGCAATCTTTATAACTAAAGATGGTAACACGTACGTACACTGTAAACTTATGGTAACACGTACATTTTGTAAACTTAATGCAAAAAAAAAAAAAAAGTCAAAAAGCTAACATAAGCAATGGAGAAGTAAAATATAATGGCACGAGTGACTTTAGTTAGGGACGTCCCCATTCAGTCGAGTCGCTAAGGGCTCCGAAAGCCGTATCAACGATCAGTTCGGAGACAACATCAACCGTTAAAGCCAACAAAATGCTAAACATTTTTTTCCCTGTACTCAGACCCGACGGTTGATCCTGTGGCTGACCTTGATTGTATAATCCCCATCCGTGATTGTGATAAGGTTGGTGATACTGAGAATGCTGAAAATACGGTTGTTGCGGTTGGTGATACTGAGGCTGAATATTCGGCTGCGGCCAGAAACTCCTTTGCTGAACTCCCCTTGCTGCTGACGCAGACGAATTAACGCATTCCATGTGAACATCTAACCTGCACGGACCACACTTGTACCGCCAAGACTGGATCGCACGGTGGCAGACCATGCATATGTTGCTTGCTCCTCTATCACTCAGCTCTAAGGGATGAGCCGGGTGAGGCACGTGGCTCACATGCTGAGGCAGCTGTGAGCAAAGTGGATGCACGTCGAAGCCGCAAGGCTCGCACTGGTAATAGAGCCCCTCGGCTAGTTCGTGGCAGATGTTGCAGCCACGTCTGTCCTGGGGTGTCTGCGCTGGTCCTTTAAAGACTAACCGGAGCTCGTGCTGTGGATGCATGAAGCTGAGGAGGGTAGGGGGACACGTGGCACAGTACTCGTGAAGATCGTAGTTGCATGGTATGCAACGGTAGGTCTTCCCAAAGCCGTAGGTTTTGCAGCCATTGCATATGAACCCGCCAAACCCATCAACCTTCGTTAATGGATGGATATGGCTGAAATGTTGGACTACTTGTTCTTCTCTTCTCAACGAAGGCATCTCAATTTCCTTTTTTTTTTGGAATGGTTAGGATTTGAGAGGATAAACGATTGTATAAGAACGAATAATTTCGAGACCATTTCAAACTTGTTTGGGAAATAACTAAGAACTTTTCTTTAGTCGTGTTACACAAGATAAAACTTTTGTTCACTTGTACAGCGCTATGAATAATAAGGTTAACGTACTAGAAACTCATATAGTGTGTGGTCTAGTTGTACAGCTATGAGTAGTCTAGTTGACTGATAATGGTCTCTTTCTCATAAGTCACATTTATTTTTCTTAATAATCAAGGACTGCACTACAATTTTCACAACAGAAAAAGGACTAGGTTACAGTGAAATGTTAAACTCAAAAGTAACTTATTTATTCAAAGTTAAGACTATCAATTAAAAAATAAGTTAACAAAGATTAATGATTGATGTATGGAATTGATTTCTTAGATTTTTGGAATTGATTTCTTAGATTTTTTTAGTGTTTCTTGGGGGGTTTCAATTCAAAGATTTGTACTTTTCTAGTTAAACATTTGGTCTCTCTATATCTTGTAGAAGTTCGAAATAGTTATGTTTAGTGAATTGTTGGGAACTCTAGTATTATACATTTAAATAATACGAAGAATTTCAAAAAGAACATATAAATATTTTTAATATAATTGAGAAGTGAGAATCATTAATGATTAAATCTTTGTTTTTTTTTAGAATTCCACTCTATTTTTCTTATTTTCATTTTCTTTTAGGTCCCCACATCAAAATAGAAAAGATTAAAACCAAAGTATATGAACGAAACATCGACTATTCTAAATATTGTCAGTTATATTAATTATAAATTTGAAATCCTCTATCATTCATGGGCCATTACTAAAATTGACTTGTTCTCAGACTATTACAAATAGGTGATTGATTAATGATCGCTCATTTATGTCATCCTTAATTTTCCAATTTCTAACGCAGCAACTTCGATTTTTCCTTTTCTTTTCGCATACTTTGACTTGCATGTTACGTATAATAGGTATAATACGTACTTTTAAAATTTTGGTTTGTTTTTAATTTTGTTCTTACATTTTTTAAGTTCATTGTATCAAACGCAAAAGAAAGCAAGCATAAGGAATAGAGAAAAAAGACAAATATAGTTGCCGGACGTTAGAGACAAAGGGCGCCCAGGACCGCACAGGCCGGCCCAGCGATGATATTGCAGACAACCCCATTTGTTAAATTCTTCAGAACATTAAACATTCTTCTTCCTATGCTCGGTTTGGAGTCTTGAACCTCATCAGTTTGATTTGTATATCCGTAATTGTGATAAGGCTCGTGATACTGAGAAGGGTGAAAATGCAGTTGTGGTTGCTGATACTGAGAAGGCTGAAAATAGGATTGTTGCATTTGCGGTTGCGGTTGGTGATTATGAAAAGGCTGAAAATACGATTGCTGCGGATGCGGTTGGTGGTAGTGAGAAGGCTGAAAATACGATTGCTGCGGATGCGGTTGGTGATTATGAAAAGGCTGAAAATACGATTGCTGCGGATGCGGTTGGTGGTAGTGAGAAGGCTGAAAATACGATTGTTGCATTTGCGGTTGCGGTTGGTGATTGTGAATAGGCTGAAAATACGGTTGCTGCGGATGCGGTTGGTGGTAGTGAGAAGGCTGAAAATACGGTTGTTGCGTTAGTTGCGGTTGCAGTTGGTGATAGTGAGGAGGCTGAAAATACGGTTGTGGCCCGAAACTCCTTTCCTGAATGCCACTTGCTGCTGGCGCGGTCCCATTAACGCATTCCATGTGAACATCTAACTTGCATGGACCACACTTGTACCGCCAAGACTGGATCGCACCGTGGCAGACCATGCACATGTTGCTTGCTCCCGCATGACTCAGCTCTAAGGGATGAGCGGGGTGAGGCACGTGGCTCACTTTCTGTGGTAGCTGTGAGCAAAGTGGATGCACGTCGAGGCCGCAAGCCTCGCACTGGTAATAGAGCCCCTCGGCTAATTCGTCGCATATGTCGCACATACGTCTGTTTTGTTGCGTCTGCTCTGGTCCTTTAAAGACTAATCGGAGCTCGTGCTCTGGATGCATAAAGCTGAGGAGGCTAGGGGGACACGTGGCACAGTACTCATGAAGATCGTAGTTGCAAGGGGCGCAACGGTAGGCCTCCCCGCAGCCGTAGGTTTTGCAGCCATTGCATATGAACTCGCCCAACCCTTCAACCTTTGTTAATGGATGGATATGGGTGAAATGTTGGACTACTTGTTGTTCCGGTCTCAACGAAGACATCCTCAAATTGTTTTTTTTTTTTTTTTTTGAGGATGGTTAGGATTGGAGAGGATAAACGATATTATAAGAAAGAATACTTTTGAGACCATTTCAAACATGTTTGGGAAATAACTAAGAACTTTCATTGGCATTCAGCAAGATAAAACTTTTGTTGACTTGTACGTATACAGCTATGAATTATAAGTTCGACGTACTAGAAACTCATAATATGTGGTAGAGTAATCTAGTTGACTCATAATGGGCGTCAGTCTAGCCTCTTACTCATAAGTCACATTTTCTTTTTCGTATGAGACTGCGCTACAATTTTAACAAACAGAAAAGGACTGGGTTACAGTGACATGTTGAACTCAAAAGTAAAATATTTTTATTCAAAGTTAAAACTATCAACTAAAAAGTAAGTTAAGAGACTAATCATTTATGTATGGAATTGATTTCTTAGATTAATTTTACTGTTTTTTTGGGAATGGGGTTCCATCAAAATATTTTTACTTTTCTAGTTTAACATTTTGTCTACCTATATCTTGTAGAAGTTTGAAATAGTTATGTTTGGTGAATTGTGTTGAACTCTGTTGCTCTCAAGTTGAGATAATATGTACTATATATACTTAACAAAGGGATTTTAAATAGAAACTTAAAATCGGTTTATCAAAATATCACAATATTATTCCAAAGAATTTGCATTAAAATTTTCAAAAAAGGTTATTTAGCTACGAATCAAAAATATATATGTGTGTACCAATTTTATTTGGACATGTAAGGCCAAAAACTAATTGAGACCTCGCATATACGTACAAATCTAATACAGTAAGAAGATTCGTGGAAATGTAGGTCGAAATGGTCACCACTTGGTTACCATTTCAATCTAATAGTAACGAGTTGGAAATCACTTGATTTTCTTGTTGGACTATTTCCACAAGATTTTTAAACGCGAAATCATTTATTTTGTAAATTAAGTTTTACCCAATCTATTTTAGGAGTAGAGGAGGAAACAATTACCCATGCGGCTTTACTAACGAATTTGGTTTATTCCAATCATATCTTTTGGAGAATCCCAGCTAGATCTGATGGCACCGTGAATTATGTGATTTATTACGGAAAGATAAAAATCAAATGATTTTTTAGTGTGTTCAACCGAAATCATCAGATATATATTATTAATCTAGATAGCCTTTCAATGACAACTAGCAAACCAAGTCACAAGAGCGTCTTCGTACGTCGAATATCTCTAGCTCGGATGGAATTGATCCTATTCTGTATTTGTAAAACCAGGATATTACCCACAATAATAAGTAATAAACAGTTTAGTATTTAAAAGAATAAAATCTTATTATTGCTAAAAGATTCAAAGTGTTACAATAGATAGCTTGACAAATGTGTTTTGAGTATGAGGTTGAATGGTATGTAGCTTTTTTTACGTTTTCACGTTTTGAAAACGTGATTCCACTAAATGATAAAAAGTGAAAATTAACATGCTATATTTCAATTTATCCCGCACGTTTTAAATTTATAACTAGTTTTGATAAAAATCTATTCATTTAATATCTAATAGATACTAGTTTTTTAGCGTTTTGAGTTTATTCAGTTTTCAGTTTATCCATCCTACTGATTCCACTAATTTATTATTCAGCTATTCCGCTATTCAGTTATTAAGTAGATATATCAGTCAAACTTTTGTTCTATATGTCCTCATCAATATCAAACAAATAATAGTAGTTGTTTAGTTGTGGTTACAAATTATAAACATTCGTTCACTTAATCTCCAAAAGAATACTAACTTTAACTCAGTCGTTTACAAATTCTGAGAACGTGGTAGAGCATTTTAGTTGACTGACCATCACCATATTATGGTCAATTTGATCTCTCTTTTTTTCTAGCGTTTCATTTTTTTTTCCCCTTTTAATAACGTCGGGGTTTTGGGTTCCGCCTTTTCGGACCTGAAGTTTAATGTAGTAAATAAACATTGTGTATATATCACCTTTTTAGTTGATTTGCACATTGGGATTTCGAGAAGGAATTTAGGCTGTTTGAGCTCGAGGAAGCGAGATTGGGGTTGTTAAGGGTTTGATAAGACAAGTCTTGGCTTGACGAATGGCTTATTCTTTGGAAACTGGAGGAGAAGAAGGAAGAGAGGAATAGAGAGGAACGAAGAAACAAGTAATGTTGGTGGATTTGTGGTTGAGCCATGAATGTCGTGAGAGTGATTAGGAGGAAATAACTAAGAGGACTGAATGGAGTTTGAAGGGAGTAGATGGACTCATCCATAATTCCGAATCAATTACTAACTTTATTTATTTATTTATTTATTTTTATTAATTATTATTACGAACTTTAGATGTAAAACTATTGTAGCATGTTGGTAAACACGTACAATATGTAAACTTATTGCAAAGAAAACATAAAAAAAAACCAACATAAACAAACAGAGAAATAAAACATAATGGCATGACGTTAGGGACGTGCCATTTCAACAGCCGCCGGTAAGGGCTGCGCAAGCCGTACTACTGATCAGATCGGGGATACACTCAACCGATAGAGACAACAAAGTGCTGAACATTGTCTGTCCTGTGCTCGAACCCGACTGTTGCTCTCCTTGATTTGTATGTCCGCACCCACATACATGATTGTGACAAGGTTGGTGATACTGCGAAGGTGGAACACACGCTTGCGGCCCGGAACTCGTTTGCTGAATGCTTCTCGCCGCTGAAGCAGACGAATTAACACATGCCATGTGAACATCGAACCGGCATGGACCACACTTGTACCGCCAAGACCGGATCGCACCCTGGCAGACCATGCACATGTTGCTTGCTCCCATATGACTCAGCTCTAAGGGATGAGTCCGGTGAGGCACGTGGGTCACTTTCTTAGGCAGCTGTGAGCAAAGTGGATGCACTTCGAAGCCGCAAGGCTCGCACTGGTAATAGAGCCCCTCGGCTAGTTCGTGGCAGATGTTGCAGCCACGTCTGTCCTGGGGCGTCTGCGCTGGTCCTTTAAAGACTAACTGGAGCTCGTGCTCTGGGTGCAGAAAGCTGAGGAGGGTAGGGGGACACGTGGCGCAGTACTCGTGAAGATCGTAGTTGCAAGGTATGCAACGGTACGTCTTCCCAAAGCCGTAGGTTTTGCAGCCATTGCATTTGAACCCGCCAAACCCTTCAACCTTCGTTACTGGATGGACATGGATGAAATGTTGGACAGCTTGTTGTTCTCCCAACGAAGACATCTCAAATTTGTTTTTCTTTTCTTTTTTTCTTGAGAATGAATATAAAGGATTTGAGAGAATATAAAGAGGAATTTTTAAAGACGGTTCCAGACATTGGATCTGATTGGTTAATGCTGAAGCTTTAACTTTTTGACTATAAAACTGAAGCTGTGGGATTTTTTGCTTTGCTTGTAAATTTTTTCCTTTGCTTTTTTGTAAAATGAAAACATAACTGGTAAGTTATTTGTATGCTTTTAACTAAACAAAAGAAGTTATTTGTATGATGCAGATTGCTTTTAATGTCTATATTAAAACAAATAGAAAAAATACTTTTTTGTTTCTAAATCCTAGATATCTTAGTTTAAAAAAATTAGATGTTTTTAATTTTCTAGAGTTAATTATTACTGTTTTTACTTAATTTACATTTATAGTATTTATTGTTTTTAGTAGCTCTGAAAATTTCAGGACGGGAACCCGGTTTCCACCCGTACCCGTTTTGAATTTCCCATCCTGTTCCTTTTTCCGTTTTAAAAAATTTTCAGGATCATTAATTTTATTCAAACGGGTAAAGAAAGGGTAAGGGAATCAAATCGAGAACCCGAATTCCCGTTTAAAAAAATTAATATTTCAAAAAATTACATAATTTCTCAAATTTTGTTGAATTTTATCGATATTTCCTAAAATTTTCTGAAATTTTCTAAAATTTCCTAAAATTTTCCAAAATATATGTTTTTAAATTGAGAGTTTGAGATTTCCGTTATCGTCACATACCCGCAGATTCTCGTCCCGTACCCGTAGTTTCCCATTCTATTTTTGTCGAATTCCCTTATGGGAATCATTTCTGAATTTCCAAATTTCGCGTTCCTGTTCCGTTCCCGTAAATTCTCTTCCCGAATCACAAAATTTTCAGGACTAGTTTTTAGTGAGCTTAAATAATACTCCCTCAATTCCTAAAAGAATCATGTTTTAGTTTTTTCTTTGTTTCACAAAGATTGATATTTTTGAGAATTAAAAATATTTCTTTGTTAATTAATGTTAACAAATGGTAAACTTTAAGAAATCTTAGGCTAAATTATTTGTATTCTTGAATTGTTATTGAATAATAGTTATTGAAAAGTAATTAGTATTATAAAAAGTAAGTCATTAGCTAACAATTAATTGTTTTTTAATTTGTGTGAACAAGGCAAAAATATCACTGTTTTAGGAACAAAGAGAGTAATTAATTTAAACAATGTTAGAAAAGTCTTATGTAGATTTTCTTAATGTATAAAAAATCTAAAATATATATTATTTAAAAACATAGTGAGTAAACTGTATGAGATTTTTGTAAAGATTATTCCAAACATTGTTCATGAAATAAGTAAGAAATTTTACTTAGTCGTAGCTCAGAAGAGAAAACTTTTGTTCACTTTGGACAGCTACGTCTAATAACTTTAACGAAGTCGTCAGAAACTCATATAATATTTCGCTTAATTAGTTGACTATATATGCCTTTATGGATTATGGTCAACGTGGCCTCTTTCTCATAAGCCACATTTCCTTTTCGCAATGATAGAGGACTGCCCTCAAAAAAGGACTGCGCTCGAGTGAAATGCTTAAACTCAAAAAAAATAAACAAATAAAGTTTTTCAAACTTAAAACTACATCAGTTGAAAAAAAAATGAAAAAACGAAAAAAGAAAGCAAACATATAGAATAGAGAAATAAGACATATATAATGGCAAGACGTTAGAGACGTGCCAATTTAAAAGCCGCCGGTAAAGATCTCAGAGACCGGCGAAGCCATGATATTGCACACAACCCCAACCGTTAAAGCCATCAGAATGCCAAACATTCTTCTTCCTATGCTCGGACGGGACTCTTGACCCTGACCTTGATATGCATATCCGTGATTGTAATTGTAATAAGGCTGGTGAAAATGCGGTTGCGGCCCGTAACATCTTTGTTGAATCCCCGTCGTTGCAGACGATTCAACGCATTCCATGTGTACATCTAACCCGCATGGACCGCACTTGTAGCGCCAAGACCGGATCGCGCCGTGGCAGACCACACATGTGCTGCTCGCTCCCCAATGACTCAGCTCTAATAGATGAACCTGGTGAGGCATGTGCCTCACGTGTTGAAGCAGCCGCGTGCAGAGTGGGTGGACGTCAAAGCCGCAAGGCTCACATTGGTAATAGAGCCCCTCGACGGATTCGTCGCATATGTCGCACATACGTTTGCTCTGGCTGTGCGTATGCTCTGGTCCTGTAAAGAGTAACCGGAGCTCGTGCTGTGGATGCATAAAGCTAGGGAGGGTAGGTGGACACGTGGCACAGTGATCGTGGAGATTGTAGTCACACCAGGCGCAACGGTAGGTATTCCCAAAGCCGTAGGTTTTGCAGCCACCGCATGTGTACTCGCCATATCCATCAACCTTCGTTAATGGATGGATATGGGTGAAATGTTGGACTACTTGTTGTTCTGGCCTCGACGAAGACATCTCGTAGTTCTTGTTTTTCTTGTTCTTGAGAACGGTTTAGATTTTGAGAGGATGAATGGTTTATAAAGACCTAGTTTTCAGACCATTCCTAAAAAAACTTCGTTTGGCAACTTGACTAGTTGAGTGTAAAATTTTGTTTTAGACCACATCAAACAAATAATAGTTTCTGTTTAGTTGCGGTTATATATATATATATATATATAAAATTTTGTTCACTAGTTCTCCAAAAATAATAACTTTAACTCAGTCGTTTAGAAAATCTGAGAACGTGGTAGAGCAGTTTAGTTGACTGACCATGCTATGTTATGGTCAATTTGACATCTCTTTTTGCGTTATAAATTTTTTGTTTTTTATAAGGTAGGACTTAGGTTCCATTGCCTTCTCGGATCTGAAATTTAATGTAGATGATTATTGTGTATATCACTTTTTAGTATTTTCCAATGGTCGAATTAAAGAACATGGAACATGATAGATCGCAAGAATTTTTTTTTTTTTTTTTTATTGAGTCAGATTGAATGTAAACCATATCGTAATCTGTTGTGTGAGAATCAGCTTTTTTACTCCATGGCTATTCCTCCCACATTGTATCCTCCATGTGCTTGTAGTAGTTTTGTAAGTTATGACCGCACGCACATTTGTTTCAAAAAAGAAAGATAGTTATGACCGCACATCGTTTGAAGAACCTGACTGAGAGCATAACGTCTGTCACTTACAAGATTGGGCCTATAATGACATTCCTCGGGTTGGGTTGGCTTCTCAACTACCAATTTATTAATGTTGTATTGTCCCCTGTTGACTTATTGATACGTACGTTCAAATGAATGAAACATCTTTTTAATTCAAACAGCATATTTATTTATCTATATTCTTAAACAAAAATATATATACACATCTAAATTGTATTGTTTTTTTTTTAATATCTGTATGATAATTAAAGAATGAGTACTTTTAAAATTTTTGCATTTATTTGAAAATGAAAAACTGGTTAATTTGAGTTACTTTGCCAAAAGTTATGAATGATGTTACGTCTTAGTATACAAATAAGGTTGCGGTATAAAAGTTGAATAACGCATTTAGGCAAAAAAAAAAATACACATAGCAGTCACAAGACAAAAAACAGAAAAAAAATAATACACGTTTGCGTTTCTCTTTGTAAAAATTCAAAACTCACGCAAAGAGACTTTCAATGGAAATCCCAAACAGGGCATTAGAAACCACCCCAATTGTTAGCCTCGATGCAATATTAAACATTCTCCAGCCTTTACCCGGACTCGGTTTTTGACCCGGTCCAGTCGCTGGTACTTGACCCGGATTCATATTGAACCCGTTCATGTAATTAAAATTATGAGGATAATAAGGTTGTTGCGCATAAGGGTAGCCAAAATGCGGCTGTTGACCCATCGGTCCATACGCGTAAGGGTAACCAACGACATGCGGTTGTTGCCACGGAGCCGATGATGATGGTTGTCGTCCTACCTGTGGCTTGAGCCCTCTGCTTTTAGCACCAGATGCTTCAGTCTGGTCAGAAGGTGACGTGTCGCACACGGCTAAGATACACTCCATATGAATATCGAACCTACATAACTCACACCTATACCTCCAAGATTGGCACGGTCCTTGACAGACCATACACGGGCTAGCTCCTCCGAGGCGAAACTCCAGGTGATGAGCAGGATGAAGCACGTGCCTCACGTGCTGAGGAAGCTGCGTGCAGAGCGGGTGCACGTCGAACTCGCAGATCTTGCATCGGTAGAACAAACCCTCGACCGACTCGTCGCAGATGTCGCACGTGCGCTCGTTCTGGCGCGTGGACTGTTGTTTGCGGACGACGAGGCTGAGCTCGTGCTGGGGATGGATGAAGGTCGGGAGGGTGAGGGGACACGTGGCACAGTATTCGTGGAGGTCGTAGTTGCACGGTTCGCAGCGATAGGTTTTGCCTGAGCCGTAGGTTTTGCATCCGTCGCAGATGAAGTCGCCGAGGCTGTTAAATTCCGTCAGTTGATGGCTGTGCGTGAAATGCTGAACGGTGCGCCGTTTTGGCGTTCTTGGAGCCATCTTTTACCGTTTTTGGTGTTGATGTTGGAATATAACAAAAAGCTTTTTTGAATATTAAAACTGAGAGTTGTATATGTATAATCACGTTTACTATTGTGACAGAGTGTGTGACACCGTTTATTCGTTGACTTTCGACGGAGTTGACTGACCAAAAGAGGTGGAAGTTGGAACTGATCTCTTCTTCATCCCTTTTTTTTGGTTTAATCTGCATTTACAATTATAAAAAAGGATATAGGTTAGTCAAAAGAACACACAATAAATATATCATCTACATACTTTGTGATGATGTTTTCATGTACTAATGTTTTAAGCTAAGTCCAGATAGTTCTACCTGTTTTAAAATTGTGACTCGAGTTTCACTTAATGATTTTTACGTAATTTGATATAGTTTAATTCAACTGTTGATTCTAATTAAGTCTAAAAATACAAACGACCAAAACAAATTAGAGCAGCATTTCAAGGTTTATAAACACCAAGTTGCAAAGACCATATATAACCATAGTTTATCAAACATGTCAAGCATGATTGTTCTTTGATGGGAGTTTGGTTAATAGGGTTCAGTAATGACAATGCGATCTGAACATATATAGATACAATGGTCTCCAATGTCTAACCCACCGAAACCATTGACATTTATTTCTACCAATACACTCTAACTTCATTAGCTTAGACAACATATTAATTACTTAAGCTCTAATCATGACACATGACTGTTCAAAACCCAAAGTTCATTGGTGTCTTTTATATACACTCAACTGTTAATACACATTCGCGATATGGCAACTTTGCGGATTAGTATTAGTTTATTGTACTCACAATTTAATTAGTTTTTACAACAATTGCTCCTCTTTCAATAGAGAATTAGGCACTACTTGACGGAGTTCTATCCACGCAATATCCAAGAATATAAAAGACTTTCTTCTTTAATTAACGCTCAAGAACAGAAAATAAATACTAGGGATTTTCAGAAATGGATTTAGACTTTTGGGGTGCTCCCCATCATCAAGTTAGATGCATGACATTACATAATGTATGCATCAATATAGTTAAATTTCTCCTTGGTCAATATAACCAATTATTTGCACTTTTCGATGTTTTAGTTGGCCTTAAAACATTTATCCGAACTACATCATTTGATAAAAGCTATGGCAGTATTACCATGTTATATATCTTGAATTATTGGTCACATATATAGCGTTATTGTAAATTAGGACACCAAACCAACTTCACATGAACTACAACTAATAATCAACAAATCTAATATACACCATTCAAATCTTATACACAAAACAAAGAAATCACACAGAAAATAAATGCTAGGAATTTTCCGAACATTAACTTATTCCAAAATTATATGAAACACCGAAGCTCACCAACCTCAACCTCCTCCGCCTCCTCCTCCTCCTCCTCCTCCTCCTCCTCCTCCTCCTCCTCCCCACCGCCACCTCCATCACCACCACCACCACCACCGCCGCCACAAAAACCTCCACCACCATCGCCGCCACCTCCGCCACCACTACTCCAAAATCCTCCATGTCCCCCAACATCAGCACCAGCTGTTAAACCTCCATCACCGCCAACGCTACCTCCGTTACCCATTTCTAAATCTCCGCAGTCGCCATCGTCTCCTCCTCCATCTTCACCTCCTCCTCCTCCTCCATCACCACCACCTAGCCCGCTTCCAGTCAAGACCGAAAGAAATATAGAAAGACCAAAGATACAAGCAAAAACTATGATGATTAGTACCCAAATCTCCATATTAAGCAAAATCACTACATATAATTCTCCCCGATAATATGTATTTATAGTTACTTGCTGAGGTATTCATGCATATAACGTGTTAAGTTTGTATTGACTTAGACTTTGATTATTCATATGTTTATATATGTATCTCTTCCGTCAAAACATAAAGCAATTCAGCCATTAATATATAATAATTTTCAAAAAAAAGAAATACAAGTAATACGCAAAATAATCAACAAATCGAAATACACCAAGAGAATTTAATATGCTTCTCAAAACTAGGAAATTTCCAAACATATACTTTTCACAATATGATAGGAAACACCGAAGCGATCAAAAACTTTGAGAAGAAGAAGTACCGTATGATGCTTGCTTTCTTTGCTGCAATATATAACAAATCTCTTGATATATCGATTGTCATATATTTGTCTAAGGATTCGATGATTTGACTCGGTCTGCTGGACTTGAATTCTAATTGGGTTTTACTTTCATTCGATTTGATGATATCTTTCACACCATCTTGACCATCAAAACATGAGAAGAAATGTGCACGCACGAACGCACGTTTTAGTTTTTGTAAGCTCTACTTCTATTTTGGTTTGGATTTAAGCAAACTCGGTTTATTTATAAGAAAAACGAATCTATTTTTGTGTTTTTTTTGTTTTGTCATGTACTATAAGTATAGAGAAATTTATTCTATTAGTCGTTGAATCTGTTGAAATTCTTCGGCATATATAGTGACAAAACTGTGTGATAGCTTCTTTTTCGAATTTTGTGATAACGTTCTGGCGCGTGGACTGTTGTTTGCGGACGACGAGGCTGAGCTCGTGCTGGGGATGGATGAAGGTTGGGAGGGTGAGGGGACACGTGGCACAGTATTCGTGGAGGTCGTAGTTGCACGGTTCGCAGCGATAGGTTTTGCCTGAGCCGTAGGTTTTGCATCCGTCGCAGATGAAGTCGCCGAGGCTGTTAAACTCCGTCAGTTGATGGCTGTGCGTGAAAATGCTGAACGGTGCGCCGTTTTGGTGTTCTTGGAGCCATCTTTTACCGTTTTTGGTGTTGATGTTGGAATATAACAAAAAGCTTTTTCGAATATTAAATCTGAGAGTTGTATATGTATAATCATGTTTACTATTGTGACAGAGTGTGTGACACCGTTTATTCGTTGTGGAACAGATCTCTTCTTCTTCTTCTTCTCGTTCATTTTGTATAATGTGCATTTAGAATTATACAAAGGTATAGGTTACTCAAAAGAACACACAATAACGTATTATACAATCTACATGCTTTCTGATGTTTTCATGTACTATTGTTTTACCTGTTTAAAAATTGTTATTCGAGTTACACTTAACTGATTTTTACGTAATTTTATATAGTTTAATGCAACTATTGATTCTAATAAAGTTTAAAAATACAAACGACAGAGAAAAGCAGCATTTTAAGGATTATAAACACCATAACCATACTTTATCAAACATGTCAAGCATGAATGCATGATAGCCATAAGCTTTAATGGAAGTTTGGTTAGGGTTCAATAATAATCTCTAAGCATATAATACATTTAAAACTTATAAGCATATAATTTATACAATAATACTAAGCATATACAACACAGTCGAAACTAAGCACTTCATGGTTATCACAAGTATTGGTTTTAGAGAAGCTCATGAAAGGAAATTTGTCTCGTACGGTGGTCTTAATCTCTTTTATATACACCCAATATTCAATATTTACATTCACGATACGGTAACTTTGCGGGTTAGTATTAGTTTATTGTACTATCACTTTTTAATTTTTACAACAATTACTCTCATCTTTCAATTGAAGTTAGGAACTACTTGACAGATCATATCCACGCATTATGATGAATATGATAAAAATAAAATATATGAAGAGTCTAAGAATGTAAAAGACTTTCTCTTCTTTTAATTAACGCTCTTTTCAGAATTGGATAGAGTCTTTTGTGGAGAGTTAGTCTCACCATCAAGTAAGATGGCGTCATATATGCATACATATATAGTATAGGTAAAATTGTCTTTGGTCAAAATAACCAATAATTTGCACTTTCGATGCTTTAGTTTGGCTTTAAAACATTAATCCAAATTATACATTATTGATATGCTATTACAGAATAATAATACTTGTCACCTAAATATAGCGCTTTTGTAATTAGGACACCAAACCAACTTCACAAGAACTACATATAATATACACTAATAATATATTATCAACAAATCCTAATAGATATACACCAATCAGATCTTATATATGCCTCACAAAACTAAGAGTATACACAGAAAACAAATACTAAGAATTTTCCGAACATCAACTTATACTACAATCATATGGAACACCGAGGCTCAGCAACCTCCTCCACCTCCGCCTCCGCCACCTCCACCTCCACCTCCTCCGCATCCGCCTCCTCCTCCTCCTCCTCCGCATCCGCCTCCTCCTCCACCACCATCGCCGCCGCCAAAACCTCCACCACCACCACCAAACCAGCCGCCACCTCTCCCACCACTATTCCAATACCCTCCACGACCCCACCCATAATAACCACCACCTCTTAAACCTCCATTTCCGCCGCCGCCATGCTCCCCTCCTCCACCTCCTCCGTCATCACCACCCTCACCTTTGACCCCGCCTCCAGCCAAGGCCACAATAAATATCAAAACACCAACACAAGAACCAATAGCTATAGTTATTATTACCCAAGTATCCATCTTAAGCAAGATCCCTAGATGTAATTATCCCGGATAATATGTACTGTATATATAGTGTCTTGCACGCTGAGGTTTTTCCTATAGTCAAATATAACGTGTTAAGGTTGTATTGACTTGGGATTTTATTATTCACATATGTTTACATGTTCAAAGTTCTCATTACGGGTAAAACTTGAGAAAGAAGTAAGCTTGGTTCGATGCAACTATGATACATCTTTTACTAAAGAATATATGTAACTATAGATAGTTTTACTATATATTATATTAGTCAAGGGATTTAGTTTGATTGACTTGGTCGTTTGGATACATGAATTCAAAAAAAAAATTTACGTTAAAACAATGTGACATATTTCAGACAGTCTTGACCAGATCCAAACATGAGAAGAAGAGTGCAAACACATAAGCACATTTCAGTTTTGGCCCGGTCTACTTCCGATTATGCAAACTCGGTTTATAAAAAAAAAAAACAAAAAAAAATGGATATGTAGTAGATTGATTTTTCTTGAAATTAGTCAGGTTTGTTGATACTATTATCTATCGCTCTTGTCATTATATTATTCTTTTGTGCCCAAGTGTCGTCGTCACATATGACATATCCAATTACAATTTTTACACCGAATATATCTTGAACTAATCCTTGAAACACTTAATCTACTAGTTTGTTAGTTTTCTTCTAGTTAAAAAAAACAAACAATGGGTTTAGTTTAGAAAACCTAACTTGGTTTAAGTAATGTTTAAATTTAGCTTTGGTTTAAAGGTTAAGTGGGAGTAATAAGTCTGGTATTACACCAATCGTTAGGAAATTGAAAAACAAAAACAAGAAAAGGAAGGGAAAGCCTTTTTGTGGCTCACTGATTTGATTGTTGAAAATGGTGGATAGTGCATTTCACTGGTTGGTTCATGACATGTCTAGAATTTAGTAGAGATATATATACGCTATAGTGTGACGTACGTGTTTGAAAATTCAATGTATGCTGACTTAATTAATTTTTTTTTTGGATGATGGAAAATACGGATAGAATGAGATAATTTAAAAGTTTCTATTATCATATATTTGTAGAAATACATTAGTTATAAGAATCTCCATTCTTGCAAAGAATTTTAAAAACAAAAAAGAAGGGGATACAGAGAATACGTTATCAATCTTTGAATCTATCTAATTCCGTCAAAACATAAAGCAACTAAGCCATTACAAATACAATCCTCATTCCCCACTAATCCATAATCTTAACGATGACACTAATCACTATTACAAGAGTTTCCAAATTCATCATTTATAGTATGCTATTAAGAAGGATAATAATATACATAGCGGTATTGGACATCAAAACTAACTTCCACAAGAACTACAAATAATATACATAAATAATCAACAAATCGTCGAATACACTTATAGAATTTTAGATGCTTCTCAAAACTAGGAGTTTTGCTCGGAAAACATAAGCTATAGGAAATTTCCAAACATTTACTTTTCAAAATATGATAGGAAACACCGTAGTTCAGAAACCTCCACCGACACCGCCTCATCCCCCTCCTCCTCCTCCACCTCCGCCTCCATCACCACCGCCTCCTCCACCTCCGCCTCCATCACCACCGCCTCCGCCTCCTCCACCACCACCAAAACCTCCGTCACCTCCTCCACCACTACTCCAAAACCCTCCATGTCCCCCAATATCAGAACCACCTGTCAAACATCCATCACCGCCAACGCCACCTCCGTTGCCCATTTCTATATCTCCGCCGCCGCCATCCTCTCCTCCCCCATCTCCTCCTCCATCTCCTCCTCCGCCTCCTCCTCCTCCTCCATCACCACCACCACCACTTCCACCTTTTCTTACAGTCAAGGCCACAAAAAATATAAAAACACCAAAAGTACAAGCCACAGCTATGATGACTACTCCCCAAGTTTCCATCTTAAGCAAAATCGCTACATATAATTCTCCGATCCCCGATAATATGTATATATATATATAGTTTCTTGCTGACGTACGTATTCATGCAGACAGATACCGTGTTAAGTTTGTATTGACTTGGACTTTGATTATTCAAATATGTTTGTGTATATATTCAAAGGTTTTCATTACGGGTAAAACTTGAGAAGAACAAGTACCGTATGATGCTTGCTTTCTTTGATGCCATATGTCACAAAATCTCTTAATAATTATCATAGATAGTTACATCTTTGTCTAAGGACTCGATGGTTTGACTCGTTCAACTCGACTTGAATTCTAATTGGGTTTTTACTTTTAATCGGTCTGATGATATCTTTCACACGATCTTGAATTCTTGATCATATCAAAACACGAGAAGAAATATGCATGCACGTAATTAATTAGCACGTTAATTTGGATTTATGCAAACTCGATTTATTTATAAGAAAATCGGATCTATTTTTGTATCTTTTTTATTGCATTAGTCGTTGAACTTTTCAGCATATTGATGAAACTGTGTGATAACGTTTACGGTGGAATTTAACATATTTCCTCCTCTACGCTCTCATTCTATGAATCCATCTCCTCCGTCAAATAAAAAAAAACATACTAAATTAGGGAATCTCAGAATACTACTAATTCTCCCATAATAATTCTCATGTCACACTAAAGCCATATAATCTTAACAATATGACATTAATTAGTAATTATTTATTTCCCGATCTTATCATATAAACCAGATAAACGGCAAAGCGCGTAAGATTCCTAGAATAAACTTGCATTTAAATTTAATTTAGTCACTAATCTTCTCTTCTCTCTCTCTCTCTCTCTCTCTCTCTCTCTCTCTCCTCATTATCCGAATACGCCCAATCGAATCCTTTTCAACCCGACGGGTCGTAAAATTCCAAAAGATTCAATTATACTTCGACTTGTCTCAGCTTAATTCGGAGCTCCGACCTTTGAAAATCTTCTCTCACACGACGATCCTCTAGATTCTCGGCGCCGGTTTAGTTTGTCGGAGGAAAAAAATGGCCCAGTCTACGGCGAGGAGCGGGCGGGTTGTTGGTGACTACTTGGTGGGTCGGCAAATCGGGTCTGGTTCGTTCTCGGTGGTTTGGGAGGCGAGGCACCGTGTTCACGGCACCGTCGTCGCTATCAAGGAGATCGCCATGGGTCGGCTTAATAAGAAGCTGCAGGATAGTCTCATGTCTGAGATTTTCATCTTGAGGAGGATCAATCACCCCAACATCATCCGTTTGCTCGACATGATCGAGGTTTTGTTGACTCTCATTTTCTAGCTTAGAAAATTTTGATATGATTTAAGCTTGTTAAGATTTATATGTTAACTCATTCAAACATCCAAATGTTAATTCTTTTAGCTCACCGCAACGTTTTTGCCATTGAATGATGCTTCTCTGTTTCTGATTTTTCTTCGAGTTCTGCTTAGGGAGAATTAGAACGAGAAGAGTTAGGACTCTGTTTTCTAATTCTGGTTTTATTCAAATTCATTCTCAAATATTTTGTTGGGAATTCATGATCTAGAAGAGTAGTGGATCACATGCATAGAGTTGAGCATTGACGCTTGTTGAATGTATTTTGTTTTGGGGAAATTTGGATGTAGTCTCCTGGGAAGATACATTTGGTGTTGGAGTATTGCAAAGGAGGTGATTTGTCTGTGTATATCCAGAGCCATGGAAGTGTCCCTGAAGCTGCTGCTAAGCATTTCATGCTGCAGTTAGGTAGACTCTGTGGCACATACTCTCTGTTTCTTTCTTTTGTTGGCAGAATCTGAGAGAGTTTTTTTTTTATGTAACAGCGGCAGGCTTACAAGTTCTTCGTGACAATAACATTATTCATCGCGATTTAAAGCCCCAGGTGTGTTTCAATCATCTTCTGTGCACCAAGTGTTTTAAATTTGTTAGTTAGATTAGTGTGTTAGTATGTGAGCTCAGTGAAGTTTCAAAGAGCTGAAAGGATGCTGAAGAAGGGTGATTTGTTAGTTTCCAATAGAACATGTTCTCTTCTTTATCAATCAATGGATATGTTTCCTCGGGGTTTCCTTGTCCAAGCAGAGATAGAGTCTTAGAGATTTCATCTTTGTTGAGATTTAGTTGCTGAGGTTCTTTCGTTCTTGAAACAGAATCTTCTTCTATCCACAGATGAAAATGATGCAGATCTGAAGATTGCTGATTTTGGATTTGCAAGGTATTGTCATCAGCTCCCCCCTGTTACTAGAACAAAGAGTGTAGTATGAGTGAATTAGAGAAGGTTTCGAATGGGCTCGAGCTGCTTTTGAATGTATATTGTCGAGTTCTAGGTAATTTCATTCTTTTCTCGGGGGATTCTGCTAATCACATCCCCACTCTTCGGAATCTTTAGTTTGCATTTGAACATCACACTTTTCGTAATGCAGATCGTTGCAACCTAGGGGACTTGCAGAAACATTATGCGGTTCACCGTTGTATATGGCCCCAGAGATTATGCAACTTCAGAAGTATGATGCAAAGGTGAGACCCTTCTCTTCCTAAGTTACCTAGACTTTTCTCTTAGCATCATCTCTTTACAATTTAGCTTAATACACAGGCAGATCTCTGGAGTGTTGGTGCTATCTTATTTCAACTTGTGACAGGCAGAACCCCTTTTACAGGAAACAGCCAAATTCAGGTTTTTGTATTCTCTGTCTCACAGATTTCTGCAATAGGCAAGTGTTTGTATTCTGGTTCATAAACCTAAAGCATTCTCGATCTTGTGTTCACAGTTGCTCCAAAACATTATGAGATCAACTGGATTACAATTTCCAGCAGACTGTAGAGATATAAGTTTGGAGTGTATAGATCTCTGTCAGAAGTTACTGCGCCGTAATCCAGGTCAGCATCAGACGAACATTCTTTTGCACGAGACCCATATGTCCCAGGCTCTAATGGCATATGTGGGTTGGTCTTATATAGAAGTGAGGCTATATATAATGTTGGATTGACATTTCAAAGAATTCATACAGTTATATGTTTGATTAACATTTCTGAAAACAGAAATTGTCACTGTTGCCATTTCAGTCTAAGACTGTCCTAAGTTCATGAATAACTCATATCCATGGGAGTTACTGATTTGTCAAGAACTTGGAGTAGTGCGTTGAATAGCGGTTTACAGTTACACTAAGCTTTATTCATCAACTATAACACATATATTACGCTAAAGAGCTTATGCTCCTACTCTGTCTTTGTCCAATGCGATTACAATCCATTCTTGAATCCCTTCTCTTTCGCAGTGGAACGTTTGACATTTGAAGAGTTCTTTAATCACCCTTTTCTTTTGGACAGGCAGATATATGATTTCTCAAGGTAGATGTGACAGTCATCGTGGCTAATGCCTTTTCTCTCCCTTTATGCGAACATTTGTACTGATTAAAACGTCTGTGCTGTAGGAGTAGATTGGGCTCAACAACGATGGACGGTTTTCTTTCTTCTGGAAGCAGTCCCTCGAGAAACATGGAAGAAAGTTCTCAAGAAGACTGTATGCCGTTCCTTCTAGATGATGATTCTAGTGGACCTGACGGGAGCCCTTCACATTTGAAAATGACGTCCTCAATGAAGTCGTCCTCTGGATTTAACATTGATGCCAGAGTTGAGAGAAAGGAGATGGAATCTAGTCCTTTGAAATGTACAGAGCTTACTTCCAGATATAGTAGAATCAACCAGGGAGCGGAAAACAATAGATTTAGAAATGAAACTCACATAATTTCGGATAGGAGAAACCATGGCGAACCTACAAGACTGACTGATTCCAGATCACTCATTCCTAAAGGAAGAGGTAATTTTGATTCTCTTGTATTTGCTTACGCCCTAGAAAATGGCAAAGCTTTTCTTGTTCAGTTTCTCACATACGTCAGTTTCTGCAGTAGATGATTCTCAAGACTCAATGGACCAAGACTACGTTCTCGTATCTGGACCACCAGTGGATATGCCATCATCTTCATCGAGTTCTTCAAAGCCTTATAATTTCCCATTCAAGTCTCAGTCTCCTCCTGTAGAGTTATTCAACAGAAGCATAAGTTCAACGGCTCCCATGCCAATAATCGGTGCTACTGGCAACAACCTTGGCCGGTTTGGAAGCCTGGACAGTCAGAATTCAGGCCCGAGCACGTCTCATGGGTCGCTGGATCTTGGGGATGCTTTTGAACAGCCATCAACTAACAGCCTGACAAGAATCACTTCTCTGAAAAAATGTGCAGCCACAATCGCAGAATTAGTTCATGAAAGGGTAACCAAACTTTTTAAGATGTTTACATACATAGTCACGTTGCTGCCTTCATGTGTTTCTGAGCATTTTTCTTTTCATGCTTCTTTATATATAGATCAAATCTGACAAATATCTAGAAGCTTTCTCGATCCAGTTGGCGATCCTGGCGATTTGGAAACAGGCACTGCACATATGCCATACTCAGGCAATTTCAGGTTCGGAAGGAAGTAGCAGCCTAAAACATGATACCCAAAATTCTGAGCGTAGCACTGATGATGGATCGGAGGACATATCCTCTCAGATTCAGATGCAGTTTATCCGGGAGATTGAGCTTGCTGAAGAACTTGCTAAGAGTATCAAACCTGGTATATTTTTTTCTCATAAATAAATAAAAAACATTTCTTCCTCTGTTTTTGCTGATCTTAAAAGAGGTTTTCATCTACCTAGGAAATACAAAAATGCCGGATGCAATGGAGACGATATTTGAAGCAGCCCTTGATCTTGGAAAACTTGGGGGAGTAAGTTTTCTTTGGCCTTTTCCCAAAGGACTTTGATGAAGGATCCAAAACTGAAAAACCAATAAGTGTATATACTCAGTTCCATTAGTGGCTGTGGCTTTTTCTCTGCAGGTGAAGGAGGTTATGGGTGAGATAGAGAAGGCGGGAAACCAATACTCGAAGGCGGTGCGTTTGCTGGTATTCCTTCTAGTGGAAGCACCAATGCTGATTCTGAATCCGCCATTGTCTCTCACAAACTCAGTCAGGTATCGTCTCCGAACGTATATCGATATCCTCAGCAGAAGATTAAAACATCTGCAATCATCTAAAAGAAGTTCAGGTGCTCAGATGCAAGGATCTTCATTAGCCACGATGAACAAACAACCATAACCATTTCACTTGGTTTGGGTGGGTTCTCTTGTTTCTTCTTCTTCTTGTTCTGTTTTTTGTTTTTGTTTTTGTTTTATTAAAAAGAGAAAAATGTATGTATTTGTACAGATGTGTATGCTTATTCTTTTGGGGGATCTGATGCGTGGATGTTGTAACATTTTCTTTGTTCTATCTTGATCCTAATCCCTTCTTGTGATGGTTCTTGGATACATAATGTATAAGTAGAGTTATGTTGATGTTTTCAATGAGTTTTCCCTTAAATGAAGTCAAAACTAATGTCGAGATCACTTATGATGCTATGTGTATCATGCAAATGAACTTATTCTTTAATTCTTGTCTTATATACTTCTTTTTGTCACACTTATCTCGGTACTTATTCTTACAGACATACTTTATTGTTGTTCTCATAATCGTACACACAATTTTAAAAGCCAGGACAAGAGTTTTCAGTTTTCTCAGTAAGGGTTTCAGTTCCACACGTGTTTAGAAAGTTGTCGCACGTGCAAGGTACTCGAGAGAAGTAAAATACACTGAAGCCGAAGAAAATAAGCGCCAGTGGCCCTAATCACTCTTGCAGTCACAACTCTCCGTCTCCTCTTCTCCTTCGCAGGGTCCATTTCTCCTCTCTCTTGCCAGATACAAGGTTAGGGTTTTGATCTTCGTCGACGAAAGTTTCCATCTTTTGAAATTTGCGTTATGCGTTGGTCTCCTCTTCTTTTCCCCTCATTTCCTCGTTTGTATCTAGTTTCCTAGGAAAAACGGGCAAAGGCTATACATTTTGGGTTTTTGTTGTCTTGCAGAGGCTTGTGTGTAAGAATCTTTGAGTGGACTCGTGCTTTTGTTTGGGATCGCTTATTAATCATCAGTGTCGTTAGATTGGAGTGTTCTATTTGTCGACTTATCCCTGTTTGAGGTATTGCAGAAGAGGGCAATGGCAGGATGCGCAATGAATTTTCAGTTCTCGAGTGTTGTAAAATTGAGAAACGAGATGTCTTCGCTGAGGATTTGCAATCGAGACTTTGTGTTTGGAGGTTTGGTTAAGGCAATGAAAGTGCCCGTTTTGCGGATTAGTGGTGTTTCGGGTAAGCAAAGGTCGTGGCTTTTGATGGTTAATATGTCTCAGTCTCCCGTTGAGCCCCGATCTAGTGTTGCGGCTACTGAGCAAACGAAAGTAGGAGAAGAAGGTGGTATCGTTTTAGGGAAAGCAGACAGTGTAAGAAGCTTGGGAGCTGATGAACCGGCGAAACTCGAGAGTGGTGGTAATGTTGGGGATGGGTTTAATGGTAGTGACGGTAATGGTGGGTTTAATAACGGTGGTGGTGGAGGCGGAGATGGAGGAGAGGGTGATGGAGAAGACTATGAAGAAAAAGAGTTTGGACCCATTTTGAAATTCGAAGAGGTCATGAGGGAGACGGAAGCTCGAGGAGCCACGCTTCCATCTGATATGTTAGAGGCTGCTAAGACCTTTGGCATCCGCAAGTTGCTTCTCCTTAGGTACTTGGATTTGCAGGTACGTTCTTCGCTTTCTTGTGTTCTTCGTTTTCTTTATGGAATTTAACAGTTTTTAGAGAAGAGTTATTGAGTTTTGGATTTCTTGGGGTTTTTTAGAGCTCTGCTGGGCTGCTTGGGTTTGCTATAAGATCATGGTCTATGCTTCGCAACAGAATGTTGGCTGATCCATCTTTCCTCTTCAAAATAGGAACTGAGGTAAGAGAGCCTTCACTTCATTTTCAGAGCCAATCTTTCGATTAGAACTTAGTTTCTCCTTGTACACTCACATTTGGGTATGCAAACACCATACTTGCATTGGCTCATGTAAGCCTTTGATATGCCCAATTTTCAGATAGTCATTGATTCTTGCTGTGCAACTGTTGCTGAAGTTCAAAAGAGAGGGAAAGATTTCTGGGCCGAGTTTGAGTTGTATGTTGCTGATCTTTTGGTCGGAGTTGTGGTTAACGTTGCTCTGGTCGGTATGTTGGCGCCTTTTGTCCGTTTTGGTCAGCCTTCCGCATCAAGTGGCTTCTTAGGAGGCATGCTTAATGCTTATAATGCGCTTCCAAGCAGGTAAAAAGATTCCCTTCCATTCAAGAAGATACTAATAATCATCTCTAAATTTTGTAACTCGGTTAATTAAAGTTTTTGAGATGTTGAAATGATGCAGCGTGTTTGAAGCTGAAAGACCAGGAGTTAGATTTTCCGCACAACAGAGACTTGCTACATACTTCTACAAGGTAATAAAAAATCTGTCTCTCTGTCTCAATTGCTCCGTAACTTTTTCTTGCTGTTGCTGATCAAAAGCATTTTGTTCTAGGGTATAATGTATGGTGCAGTTGGGTTTGGATGTGGCATCGTAGGTCAAGGCATTGCTAATCTGATCATGACTGCTAAACGGTAACATTATCTCTTTCCGCTAAAAGGGTTCACTTAGTTTTTGGATGTGGCTTACGTTTTCTTTCTCCTTTTTTTTTGCCGTTCTCTTCTCTCAGGAGCATAAATAAGTCAGAAGAAGACATCCCTGTACCACCTCTCATTAAGAGCGCTGCTCTCTGGGGTAAAATTCTATCTTATTTACTTTCACTTTACTAAATCATTAGTCTCCACCATAACAATGACAATGGCTATTTTTTCAATCGCAGGTGTATTCTTGAGTGTATCTTCGAACACTCGTTATCAGATCATCAATGGTTTAGAGAGAGTGGTGGAAGCATCTCCTTTCGCCAAGAAAGTGCCTCCTGCGGCTTTGGCCTTTACCGTTGGTGTAAGGTTTGCTAATAACATCTACGGTGGAATGCAGTTTGTGGACTGGGCAAGATTGAGTGGTTGTCAGTGAAAAAAGACCCAAAACTCGTTTCTTTATGTATGTCTAATTTTATGAAAACCATATATTGTTGTAGCCCACTCGGTTTGATTTCGATATGTTCCAATATTACAGAACTCGCTAGGCGCTAGTTGAGCTGTAAAAGTAATGAATAAAAATGTTAGAATAAGAGAAACAATTTATTCATTTATGAAACAGAAAAAAAGAGAAGCAAAAACAAACACGCAAGAAATCAAACGGCTTAGACACAAAACAGATGGTGAAATCTAAATGAAAGCAACAAAAACAAATGATTACAGAATGAGAAAATGTAAAAGATCCATTACTAACCACCCCACTAAACATCTTATACTATAAGAATCATCAAAGCATTAAGAGTCTAAACACACAAACAGAAGAAAAACACTTTAACAAAACAATAAGAAGCATGATGAAGTGTTGTGTGTTTCTTGCAGTGGCTTTGATGAGTTTTTTTATCACATTGGTTTCCATTGAGGCGGCTGGTGAGTGTGGTCGCATGCCGATTGGTCAAGCCGCGGCTAGCTTAAGCCCGTGTTTGGCTGCAACAAAGAACCCGAGGGGTAAGGTTCCACCGATTTGCTGCGCCAAAGTTGGTGCTCTCATTAGAACCAACCCTCGTTGTCTTTGTGCTGTCATGCTCTCTCCTTTGGCTAAGCAAGCTGGAATCAATCCTGGAATCGCAATCGCTATTCCCAAACGCTGTAACATCCGCAACCGCCCCGCTGGCAAGCGATGTGGACGTATGGATTCGGTTCTTCTAAATCTCATGAAGTTAATATATGAACTTTTAACTTCACTTACCTTTCTTTTATGCCTTTGTGTAATTTGCAGGTTACATTGTTCCATGAAGAATTTGGATGTTTTAGGATCAAAAATTTAAAACGATGAGGGGAGTTCTGAAGATTAAATAAACGTTTTCACTTACCTTAATAATCTATGCTGTTGGAATACATATATCCTTATTAAAATTATATATAAGAGATTTTCTGCTTTGTCTAATATTGTGGCATTTTGGTATGTCGTGCTTCTGATTTACCTGTCCACATCTCTCAAAATAATTATAACATTGTATTAAATTATTATCAGACATATGAATACTGATGGAATTACAAAACGCATTTAACGTTATATCAAAAGAAAACCGCACTTAACGATTAAAGATAAGACTAAAAATTTCAAGATTCAATAATCACTATAATAAAATCAGGGGATGTATGATTTAATAGATATTCAAAAAGACTAAAAATAGTAATAATTGCTTAAATTTTCTCGTCAAACTAAAAGCATTAAATCAACAAAATAAAATTATGGGATATGATTTGTCTTTTTCAATGTGAAACATAAATATTTAGTGACCAACGTTTCTTGAAGTTCGCTCCAACACACAACTCTTTATTTTTCTTTCTATCCATTCGGAACGTTCGGCAGTGAATGACCGTGGTGCAGAAAATCGTACGGTTAACTTACAGCAACAAAACAAAACAAAACAAAAAAAATTGAATTTTAGTCATTCATTAATTGTTAAACGTCCCAAAAAAAAAGCCCACCAGAAAAAAAAAAAAAAAAAAACAAAAAACTCTAACCAATGAGCTGACTTCATCGCAATAGAATCTTTCCAGAAACAAAGAATCCAAGATTCACTTTCCACGTGGCGAGTTAGTAAAAATCCACGTGTAAATTACAGTCAAACCAGTCAAAGCCACAACGGATATTCTCCTGTCTCCCGCCTTTCTTTATAAAAAAGGGAACCCAACAACAAGAAAACAGAGATTTTCTCTGCTACTCTGATAACTCCGTTTCACCTTTTTTTCTCCAAAGCAATTCAAAGGCGAAAGAAGGATGACGAAAATCGACGTTCTCCGTCGTTATCTCCTACCGTGTATCACACCTCCGACGAATCCAACCACCGCATCGGCAACCGGAGCGGCATCCACCGGAGTCTCCAAGAAACGTCTCAGTACTTCCCTCAGAGACGATGTAGACGTTCAAGACTCGGCTTCTTCCTCCGCCTCTTCCTCCGAGGCCACATCTTTCGCCGCCGCCGCCGACTCCGACTACCTATCCCCCGTGACGCAGCCGCAGAGACCGTCGAAGACGATGGTGATTGGGACGATTTTCGGGAGGAGAAAGGGACACGTGTGGTTCTGTGTCCAGCACGACCGTCTCTCCGTCAAACCGCTCCTCCTCCTCGAGCTTTCCATCGCGACGAACCAGCTCGTCCACGAGATGAGCTCGGGTCTTGTTCGGGTCGCTCTCGAGTGCCCGACCCGACCCGAATTGAAGTCTTGCCTGCTGAGATCCGTACCCGTTTGGACCATGTTTTGCAACGGGAGGAAGCTAGGGTTCGCTGTACGGAGGAGCGCCAACGAGGAGACGAGGATGATGCTGAAGAAACTGGAGTCGATGACTGTTGGGGCGGGCGTGTTGCCATCCGGATCCGGGTCGGGCGAATCGGATCTTGATGAGGTTATGTATATGAGGGCGAACTATGAGCATGTTGTTGGTAGCTCTGACTCGGAGTCGTTTCATCTCATTAACCCGGACGCTAACTCGGCTCAAGAACTCAGCATCTTCTTGCTCAGGACGTCTTCCTAATTGCCTTCTTGGTGGTAACTTATGAATCCTTTTCATCAAGTTTGTTTTCTGGTTCAGAGATTGGATCGAGTTTCAGAGAGATGTAGAAGACAGTTGATTAAAAAAAAAAGTCAAGATTTTGTGGGTAGGGATTTAGGTTTTAGCGTTAGAGATCTTTTTCTGGAAAAAGGGTTTATTAGTGTTTTGAGGTTTCAGTGAGATGGGTCTTATTGGATCCAAGTTTACATTTTTTTGGTTAGGAAGATTGACAAAATTCTCATGATTTCTTTGAATGTAATGATAGACAAAACTTTCAGGATTTGCGTGAGTGAAATTCATTTCTTGCAAGTTAACAAAAACCTCGTTCTACAATTCTGTCATGCGTTGAAACCTTACATATACACAAACGCAGCATAGAGGAAAAGTGAACCAACACTTACTGTAACTAATTATCACAAGAGTGTATAATTTGGACCAAGAAACAAGACAAAATTGAGTTACCGTGTAAAAAAACAGTGTTAAATGATGCATTTGAGTATTTACCACCCAAATGCAACTAACCTATACACTGGAAAATGATCATCACTCTTCTTCTTTTTTTCACGGCAGTAAGAAAAGTTAAATATTACTACCAAAGATTTTGAAAAGATCAAAACTTGTTGTTCCTTTCTTCTCCTAGTAAAGCACTAAAAATTTCAACTAAATAGTATAAGAGGCGGGAGGAGACCAGAACTTCTTCAAACTCTCGTACATCATGAAGGTGATGCCAATGCCAGGAGCCACTTTGTAATATTCAGGCAACAATCCTCTGTACAGCCCTCTGATGCCTTCTGACTTGAATATGTGTTTGAATGTTCCCAAGAGTCCCGTCTTGTACACTCTCGCTCTCCCACCAACTCCTTCTACTTGCATTCTTCTTCTCACAAGATCCAACGGGAACGTAGCTACAGAGTTATATGGGCGCATCAGAACAAAATATTCTCAACTGATTCATATAGTAAGAGGCAGATATACGTAGTGTTTTTTGTAGTTAGAGAGAAGGTCAGATCGAAATAACAAACCTGTTGAAGAAACAATTCCAGCTAGACTTCCACAGGCAAGACTCATAATCAATGTTGAATCATCTGGCCTGAAGAGAAGAGTAAAGAAGATAGTAAGATTCCTATAACGAGCTATAGCATCGGGACGAACAGAGATACTCAATGGACGAGTGCAAAAGGAAACAGGAAATGCCAATTGATGATGACTTTTACCTAGAAGATTGGTAAAATGATTTCATAGCCTCATACACAGTAAAGTTGATTGCAAGGGTTGGCCCAACACCCTGAATCAGGAAAAAAAGATGTATAAAAGAATCAGTTAACAATCAACACACTTGGCAAAAGAGAACCAAAGGGAAACGTACCAACATTGTAGCACCAAGTCCTTTATACAGACCCACAAGTCCCTCTTCTCTGCATATGGTACGAAAAGCATGCCCAACACCTTGGTAATACATTGTATTTCTCTGCCAAGGATCAAATGTACAAGACAAAGAAAACACCGCTTAGATCAAAGGGGGAGAATTAAAGTTTTCAAACATCAAACACACGAAGTGACAATCAACAACCAACACAAGGATATGGTACCTGTGCGGCAAGACGCGTCCTAACAAGATCGAGAGGGTATGTAGCTGAAGCAGCTGTTAATCCAGCCAAGCCACCACTAACAAAGTTCACACACGGGCTGTAGCTCTCTAAGAACGGATTCGAATTGAAAAACTGCAAAACAAACAGCATTGTGTAAGCCTTGATGACAAATCATGATGACAATAAAAAAAAAAAGAGTAGAATGCAACTCACTGTCTTGTAATTCTCATATGCAAAGAAGTTCAGTGCAGAGTAGGGAAGCCTGTGGGCTACAGTAACGAGGTTTCCTTTCCAAAAGGCTCTGAATCCTTCCTCGTTGATAATACGCGAAGCTTCACACAATATACTTGGCCTGCTCAGCACTGCAGCTTCTGATTGCATACCTTGAAGCTGAAAGAGACAACAAAACAGAGACGAAGAAGCTGTAACCAAAAGGGCCAAACAAAATTCTCATGACTTGTTAGAATTCGCTAGAAGTTTCCAAATTTCATGAAACTTTCCCAAAACTCTTAAGCTCCTTAATGACCAAACCAAGCAGCAAAAGCTCAAACAACCCATTCATATGTGATAAGCACCATTGACCAAAGGAAAAAGGGAGAATCGATATCGAACAGGACCTGAAACAAGATGGTGAGGCGAGCTAGAGGAGCGGTACAGGTCTTGCCGAAGGCGCCGGCAATACCTCCGGCGAGGAGATTCTCAAAGGTGCCGAAATCCCGCTGCGGCTGAATCTGCGGCAGCTTCTTCGACAAACCCATGGTTCCGGCATCCAAAACGCCGGTATGCACGGTGGTCGCAGAACTAAGAGCACTCTGTGCTCCATCCACCGCCACACCGACTCTAGCCTCAATATTCATCACTAAACTATCACTCTTTCTAAGAGGTTACCCGTCTCTGGGTTTGCGAATCTGGAATCGAAGGTCACATGAATTGAAGGGAATTGGATTACGATGGAGATCGGAGAGATCGACATGGGAGAGAGGGAAAAAAGGAAAACTCCTTGAGAAACCCTAAATCTTGCTTGGAGAAGGATGAGGGTATATTGGTAAAATACCTAAATACGGAGATACCGGGAATATGCGTCACAGTTCTGTTTCTCAAGATTTTTCTTTTTTCCAATGAATTTTTTTTCTTTCATTGAAAGTATATTTTGGGTTTGAACCATTTGAAGGAACAATTACTCTTTTTGTAACGCATAGATATACTTCCATTTTATCTGGTTTTATTCTTGAGAATTATGTTTGTAGTCATGATTGATAAATGTTCCTCATAATTTTTAGTATTTGCAAGCTAGGACGAATATAATTAAGTTTTCATCATACAAAAGTTATGTCTCTTTCTGTTCTGTTTAATCGTTTCCATTTGTATCTTTGAGTTTCGATGAACTTGAATGATTCCAATAAGGACTTTCTTCGGGTTAAAAAAACGAGATTTATATAAATTTCAAACCAAATTTCGATTGACCGGAACCAAACCCAATTCTATTTTATTTTTTGTAACCAAACACAAATTTGCATGCAGTGTCCTTTTTTGTACCTGGTCAGAGACCGTGTGGAATAAGCCACACCGGTTCAGCGTAGAACAACCAATTCAAATCCAATTACAAGATTTATCATATAGGCTTTGGGATCAAAGCATCACAGGTTTGAATACACCATGTTTTTTTCCTTTTCCAAGGTTTTACTCGTAATTAACTCAATACAACATTCGAATGATTTAACTAAAACAATATCTTTGAACGTATACATATATAAGTATTAAAAACTCTAAGACAATGCAAACTTAACACGTTATTTGTTTGCCGGAAAACACCAGCAACAAACTATATCGAGACTTATATAAGTTGAAAATACTCAGCGATTTTATTTATTTAGGTCTATATCTAGACTTCTTCTATGTCTAGGTTTGTCTTTCATGTTATGTTTATTTGTTTTAGTAAAGTCTCACCTAAGGTGTTTAGGACTTGTTCTCTTTTATTTCGTTAGAATTATGGGTTTTCAAGGCTTGAATGTTTCGCAGGTTGTTTTTTTTGTCGAGGTATGATTGTAGTTTTTTTTTTTTTTTTTTGGCATTTGTTGTGAAATTGATGCTTTGTTTTAGTTGTAACTAAACTGAGTGAATATATCTTATTTGATAAAATGTATGCCAAAATTAATGGGTGGATCCATTCGTTTATGTACCTAAATCAAAATTCAGCATCAAATGCAATTAGATTAATGGCACTATAGAATAAAAGTGACGTACAAATGAATTTCACATGTATAAGTACCAATTTGGAAAGTCATATGTTTAGGTAAACATCCAAATTCCTGACGTTTTGAAAATCGTGCAAAATTAATTAAAATTATCTATTTACCCCAAAAAAAACTCTAATACAAAGATGACTAACGACATACATATACGTTTGTTTTCTAAAATGTTAAGCTTAACAACATATACTTGCATAGCATGATCATCTCTTTGCCACAATCACAAAGACGCATACTGTTCAGATCCTGCCCGAACCAAGAAGATGAAATATCTGAATTACTCATCATTTTATCTAGTTTTATTCTTGAATACAAAGATTTAGTCATAACTCATGAATGTTCCTTATAATTTTTGGTGGTGGAAGCTTGGACGAATGTCATTAAGTTTTCATCATACAAAAAGGTATGTCTGTTTCTTAAATCGTTTCGATTTGAATCATTCGACGAAGTTTATTAATTCCAACAAGACCCAAAGTAGCAATAACATTTTTTGATCAGAACCGGGATTGATATAAATGATTAATTAAAAACAAATTCAATTTTCAATAGACCAGTCAAAATCCAAATGTGCAAGGCACTTATATATATTCTCATGTTTGTATCTGGTCAGAGACCGTGTGGAAAATGTCTTTGAATGTATAAACATAGAAATATTAAAAGCTATCTCTTTGAATGTATAAACATATAAATATTAAAAGTCTAAGTCAATGCAAACTAATTAAACGTTATTTGTTTGCAGATAAGCGGCCAAATATGTATTATCGTGACTTGATAATTAAACGTACATAGAGATTTCAATCATTACTCTCAACTCAAACCGCAACGTGTGTTGTTGTAACATGGATTCTATGGCAATAATCGTCATAACCTTAATTGCTGTTATTTTTGTTTTGGGGGTTCTCACGGCCTTTTGTTGCAATGGAGGTGGTGATAATAGCAACGGACAGGGTGGAGATTTTGAACTCGGAGGTGGAGGTGGAAGTGGAGGTGAAGGTGACGGTGGTGGAGGTGGAGGTGGAGGTGGAAGTGAAGGTGGGTGTGATGGAGGTGGCGGCGGCGGTGGATGTGGTGGTGGAGGCGGAGACTGATTTAGGATATATGCAATCTCTTAATGATTTCTTACAGTTTTGGTTTAGCTAGTCTCCTTCTATATATATATATATGTATAGATTTGTCTTTCATGTTATGTTTGCTTACAAGTCCTCCTTGAGGTGTTTTAGGACTTGGTTTCTTTATTTCGTTAGAATCATGGGTGTTCAATGTGTGACAGTTTTTTTATATGACTGTATCTCTTTTCTTTTTTTTTTTAATTGTTGGCATTTGTTGTAAAATTGATCCTTTGTTTTAGTTGTAACCAAAATGAGTGAATATCTTATTGATTAAATGGATGCCAAAATTCAGTGGATCCATTCGTTTATGTATCTAAATCCAAATTCAGCATATACGAATGCAATTAGATTTAATGGCACTATAGAATCAAAGTGACATACAGTTTAATTCCATATGGATAAGTACCATTTTGGGAAGAAAAATTCGCCTACAACAAATAATTTTATACAAAGTTTAAGAAGCCATATTTGTAATTGTGTTTATGTTTATGTTGTATTTCTTTTACTTGTTAAAATCAAAGCACAATCTATCAATATTATTTTAAGGTAAGAATTTAAATCTAGTTTGCTAATTTTTAGTGAGTTCCAAAAAAATATATTAGATTTGTGTTCTCAATGGTACATTTCATATCATAGATTGTTTCAATTTTTGTTAATGCTCTGTTTATCAACATTTTCAGTAGTTTTTTTTATCTACACTTGTGTATTTATATTTTTTTATAATCTATCATATATGAAACTGTTTTTTTAGTTTTACCTACGACCTTAAAACCTTTAGGCACGGCTATGAGAACATGGGATGTTTTTATTCTCTATTGCATTTCTCATATAGCTAATAATGGTTTGTTCATCAATTGTTCTACTTCTAGTGGCAAGTGTTGTATTGAACTAATATACTACTTAAAAGCAAGCCTTTTAATTTTTAATTAACTAGTGCAAACTAAAGCTGAGTCTATGTTTTCGATACCATGTTTGTTCTACTTCTAGCGGACGAAGAAGATACGTTACGGCTTTTATCAACAGCTTCTTGAATTCATTCTCCAGTGTGATCGAGTAGAGTGATAAATTTTCTTGTTAAGGAAATCGACAAATTCTCAAGATTTCCTTTTGCGTGTAATGATTAACAAACTGCCAAGATTTGGTTCACTAAAAATCTTTTTTTGAAGTTGACAAAAACATCTCGTTCCACAATCATGTTTTGAAATATTGTCGTTGTTAAAAATACACCAAACGCTGCATAATGTAAAACCGAAATTATCACAAGGGTATAAAAGTTTTTAGATCAAGAGACAGAGACAACGAAGATGATGATGCAACTAAAGCTGACAAAAGTTGAACCAGAGTACCTAAAGGAATAGTAGTAACAGTTTATCTTGACAACGAGTCCAATTTTCAATAGATCGATCAAAACTCAGATGCTTGTACGTGCACTTAAAGGACTCATGTTTCATAGACCGGGTGAAAAAAACGTTACATCGGTTCATTGTAGAAAAAAACCAAGTGGAAATTCAAATCTAATTACAGAATTTATCATATAATATTTGGCGCCAAAGCTTTAACGAGACTGATTAAAGACATGCAAAATCGTATCCTAGTTTGATTAGCCAGACTGATTAAATTTTTGTCGGTCCGTGACCAATGGGCCAGACGTATCGGCCCACATAAACCAACCACAAGGTCCACAAGTAACTGTCATACACGCCCCTATATATGATAAACCTTCTTCTTCCTTGCTCTGCGTCGCCCCAACTTTTTTTTTTTCTTTCCTTTGTTCTCGCGTTTTCAGGTTGATTTTTGATTTTTGATTTAACCGTGTCAATCAAGTCTCTTCTCTGAATGCCTTAACTGATATGTTTGATTGGAGAATATTAAAGACCTAACTGCGATTTTGTTTACTCAATTTCGAATCCGATTTTATTTTAATATTTTTTTTAGGTTGAAGAAGAACAATATAAGTAAGTACGAGATGATGCAAAACAAGGCGACGCAGCAGGAGGAGAAAACGTTGGTGCTGTGGCACATCAACAGCTGTCCGATTCCCGATGGTTTCGATCCTCGTCTGATCGGTCGGAGAATAGAATCTGCGTTGAAGAAATCAGGCTACTGTAATGGTCCTCTCACCATCACTGCCATTGGCGACCTAAGACAGACACCTGTCACCCCTAGTGACGAGGTCCTGCGAGAGATTTCTTCCACTGGAATCGCTCTTCACCACGGCGAAGGTTAATCTTATTTCATCTGTCTTTCGTTACTTTTGTTACAAGTTAGTAACAAATTAGGGTTTTTAGATTCAGCGACGTTGCTTTCCTATTTATGGAAACAGACATTCAATGGTCTATGTATGAGTGGACCTATAGAAACAAATCTCGGGCTACTATAATGCTCATATCCGGTCCTGATCGACTGGATTTATTAGCTAGTACCCTTCACGGCCTAGTGAATGAGGGACACACAATTCTCCTGGCATATCTTGAACGAGATCCAGCTCTCTGGAAAAAGTATCTGCTTGGTGTTTCTAAAGAGTGGCTCTGGAAAAGTTTACTGGGAGGTGGTGTTTTGTCCTCTCTCTCTCTCACACACACACACACAGAGTCTAGATCTTGAAATTGAAGTATCCAGCAAAGCTGTTTCTGAAGGAAGTTATATTTTTTTTTCTTCCACACAGATGAAGTAGATTCAGGGACTAGGGATAATGAACAGGAGACAACAAGACTTGTTCTTCCGGACCTCTGCCCTAGAAAAACAAAATCTCCCTGGTATTGCTCAGTATGCAGGTTTGCTTCCCAAAGCTTTGATGATTTCACCACGCATCTCAAGAGTGTTAAACATGCATATGGAGTAAGCATCTCTCTCTCTCTCTCTGCTTCTAAATAATGGTATCAACACATTTGTCATTGTCCCACTGGATGTGTATACATTGGTTGTCAAGCAGGAGTGGGACGGTTTGGCTAGTCACCATGGTATAAATCGTTTAAATGTAAAGCCTGGACCTCCAAACAATGACCCTGAAACCATAAAGGCAAGCTTTCACATGTTTTCCTTTCAAAGAAGATGCCTCTCTGATTTCCACTTGGTTGTCATGCAGGAGTGGGACTTGCTGGTCGATGCAGACATTGCATGGCGTGTGGATGAGACCATGAGATGTGGATTAAAGGCCAGTTTTTAATACCCCGCGAGTTGAGTTTTGGATTTTACAAATGATGGCACGATTTTGGATAACACTGACTTTGGTTGATTCCAAAACATTGCAGGACGAGCTGATAATGCACAAGGATAAGAAGGACAATAAAACGTTGGTGTTGTGGGACATCAACAGCTGTCCCATTCCCGATGGTTATGATTCTCGTCTGGTCCGTTCGAGAATAGAATCTGCGGCTAAGGATTCAGGCTTCTCTGGTTCTTTGACCATCACTGCCATTAGCGACCTAACACATACACCTGATGACAAGGTCCTGCGAGAGCTTTCTTCCGCTGGAATCGCTTTTAAACATACCGGCAGTTAATCTTCTTCCTTTTAACTTCAAGTATACAATTATTTGTTTTTTTTTTTTGCTTAATTAGGGCTTTAAGACTCAGCGACGGTGCTTTCCTTTTCTGAAACAGATGTTGAAGCGGATTTTTGTGCATGGTCCCGTTGGAATCCACCTCCGGCTACTATAATGCTCATAATCGGTCCTTCTCAACTGGTCGACTTATGTCCTGTACTTCGCCAGCTACACGATGAGGGATACACAATTCTTCTGGCATATCCTCGAGGAGATCCTGCTCTAAACTGTCTCTGGACAGACTTGCTGCGTATTGTTGAAAAAGAGTGGCTCTGGAAAAGCTTACTGGAAGGTGTTGTCCTCTCTCTCTCTCTCTCTCTCTCTCTCTCTCTCTCTCTCTCTCTCTCTCTCTCTCTCTCTCTCTCTCTCTCTCTCTCTCTCTCTCTCTCTCTCTCTCAACTGAAACGAGCAAAGCAGCTATTTCTGAACTAAGTTAGTTTTGTTTTTCATATTCAGGGGCTACGGATAATATTCAGGAGACAACAAGACCTGTTCTTCCGGGTAAATCTTCCTGGTATTGCTCATTGTGCCTTTTTCATGCCCAAAGCTCTGAAGATCTCATCAGGCATGTCAAGAGTGTAAACCATGCATTCACTGTAAGCATCTCTCTCTGCTTATATAAATTGTATCAATACCATTTGTCATTGTCTGATTCCCACTGGATGTGCATAAATTGGTTGTCAAGCAGGATTGGGACCTCATGGCTGTCTCAAAGGCTAGTCACCAAGGTGAAATGGATTCATGATCTGAAGAAGACTGCGAATGATGGTCATCTACAGGAGGGCCATGTGAAGAAGAAGAAGAAGAAGGGACATGTGAAGCATTTTCAATGCTACGCTTTAGTGGGAGAATGTGCACTTTGCTTTTTTTCTAAATATGCTATCAAAATGTTATTAAAAAAAAATTGGTTGGTTTACTCCTTTCGTTTGTCGCTAATAAAAATTCTAACATCGAGAGATTATTACAAACGACACTCAGCTTTTCCTTTGGTTTTAGTTTGACGACATATACTTGCATAGCATGTCATGTTTATTTTAGGCAACGGACACGGACGAGTCAGTAAAGACTTGGCTTGACTGCACGCTTTTGTAAGGACATCTCTTTGCCACAATCACAAAGACGCATATGTTGGCAGCCGTTACACCGGCAAGAAACCAGTAGAACCGGTCCAACCGGCTGCTGTTCAGGTCCTTCCCGAACCAACTCTTGGCCGAGAAATCCTCCGCTAGAGTATCAACGGCTGTGATCAGGAGATTGTTAACGAAACTAGCTGCGCCTATCACGCTTAGGTAAAACGCTATACCCAAGCTTCTCATGGAATCAGGGACTTGGTCGTAGAAGTACTCTTGGAGTCCAACGAGTGTGAACGCGTCCGCAACGCCTATTACTATGAACTGAGGAGCTAGCCATATTACACTCATGGGTTTGTTGTTTTCGGTACGGTCCAATCTTTTTTTCTCAACTAGAGCTGCAATGATCATGGTGATGAGGGAGAAAAGCATACCGGTCCCAATTCTCTGGAGAATATTGATGCCTCTTTGATTCCGCGTGATGCGTCTTAGCAAAGGAACGAGGAGTTTATCATAGATGGTGACTGAGATGATGCATGCGAGAGCGGTGAGAGAGAACATGGAAGCGGGAGGGACTGTGAAGCTGTTGTTACCGGCGATGTGTCTGTCCATGATGGTTGCTTGCTTGATGAAGAAAGTCGTAGTTTGTGTGGCACAAAGGCCAAAGGCCAACGAGGAGAGCCATACGGGGATCACGTTGATAATCAGCTTCGCTTCCTCTACTTTTGTCAGCGTTACGAGTCTCCATGGACTCTGTTTCTCGAGAGCCAGAGGACTCTTGTCTTCGATTATTGCTGCCTTGTCAAGAAATCTGCAAGAAAAGACCCCAAACAAGAATCAGTTTAGGATGCACAAGCAGAGACATTTTTTGAGATTGTTTCTACTCACTTGAGATGGTTTGTGTGCGAGAGAAGCCGGCCATTAGTAAACTCTGCCTTGGGAACTTCATGAAGCAGAGAAGGATCAGAGGGATAAGGAAGGTTTCTTTTGGCAATGGCGGCAACAAAGACCTGCAACATTGGTGTCAAAGAGCTACCGGAAGGTGACCGGTAACGATAGGATTGTTTCCCGACGAGGAAGATGGCAAGTGAAATAGCCATGACTGAAGTGAGTATGATGCCGGCAACACCCCAACCCACCCGGTCTTCGATGTAGACAACGGCAGTCACAGCCGTCAGAATGCCAGCGCATAGAGCGACGCACCACCAGTTAAAATAAGACATCTTCATCTTTCTCTCTTGTACATGATCATCGTCGAACTGGTCAGCACCAAAGCTCTCAAGGGAAGGCTTATGACCTCCAGTCCCTATAGAGATCAAGTACATGGCAATGAAGAAGGCTATTTCGTGTGCTTTCCTAGCCTCTACGCACACTTCTTCATGACAAGGTTTCAAGCCCGGTATGAACCAGGACATTGTTAAAAGGACCAAACCCTGTTTTTTTTGTAAAAGAAACAAGAGAAAACAGTTTAACGTTGTCTTTGGAATCTTTTTGAGTTAAGATTGGATTAAAGGTAAGAAGTTAAGAAGATATATTACCATAAGGTAAATGGTGGTTGCAACCAAGACAGCGGTGTAACGGCCAAGATACGCATCTGCAACAAAGCCTCCAAGAAGAGGCATCAAAGTTGTGACACCTGACCAATAGTTCACATTCCTTATAGCCATCTTGAGATCTTGGTGGAGAATTGTTGTTAGGTAGACCACTAAGTTCGTAGCTAACCCGAAGTAACTCAATCTCTCGCTGAACTCGATTGCTGCGAAGAGAAGAAGATGGAACAAAAGAAGACTTTAACAAAGATTTATATTTTGGGCTACTGTAGCATACTTTCACAGTGTTACAGCTATGTGGTATAAAGTTTCTGAATAAAAAATAATTCTCAATGAAAGTTTTGTTACCGATGATGAAGAGTGCAGCTTTCCAAGCGCCAGTTCGAGCCCGAAGAGGAACACGTCCTCTGCTGTCGAGAGAAGAATCAAGAACCCATTTATGTTGATCCTCGTACGAATCTTGAAATTCTGCACCGATCTTCTTATGCTCCATCTGTTCAACGTTAACGAACAATAAAAACTAGACAAGAGAGTAAATTCTTCTTGAGGAGTGTGTGTGTGCGTGTGTCCTCTTTATATAGGCTTAAGCTGGCAGTGTTGACTCATCAACCTCAACAGTATATTATACATTATTTGCCCACATTGCCTTATTTTCAGCCTCAAATAATTGTCAATTTTCTATTTTGTGTCACATTCACGTTGAGGATGATGAGTCAGAATATTATAAAGACAGAACAAAGATGTAAAGACAGAACAAAGCTCCTAATTTGATTGCTTGTCCAACAACTTGGGCAATGTTAAAACTTATGTTTGACATCTTATTTTCATCAAATCCAAACAGAAAATGAAACCCCAACTTCAAAACCTTATCTTGAACTTGTTCTTCATCAAAGAAAGATTCCCTTATAACTCTACTGAAAGATTTATCCCCCTAGGTTCCCACCTACAATCTTATTGAAAACTCTTGATATTATTCCTCTTGTCACAATCATCTCTCCAAGCCAATACTACCATTTTCTTTAATCCCTAAACTCTAACCCCACTACGATCCAAGATGCTTTAGCTCAATAAAATAACAATCAAAGATGAATACTAATTAGTCCAATAAGTTCAATGCTTCTTTTATTCAATTGACTCTCTAGTTATCTTCTTTGTACGGAAATAGTTATCTTCTCTTAGGAAATTTTACCATTAACTTTACTAGTACCCAGTTCCCACACCTTATGATCATATGCATACCTAAAAATCCAACAATCACAAAACATTCAACTGCAACAGATCACAATGTCAAGCTACAAAAGTAAACTTCTGTAATTCTATCTCTTATCGCTTTTTAACCCTCTACCTTAACCATAGTTTACATGATCATTTTACTTTACTATACTACTATCACCACAACAACCCCACATGAAGAAAAAAGAATCTCAGCCAAGCATTTATCGTATAAGACAAAATAAAAACAAAGCTTAAAGCTTTGTACTATGCTTAATGCTATAAACACAGTACATAACATGTTACAAGACAGTCGTCTATATCATACAGTGATTCAATTGGCTTTTCTAGAGACCAATGAATGATTAGACTGTGATAGGCCCATAGGGAAGTTGTCACCGTTCAGTGGATTTGCAGTTGCTAACCAAAACCCAAACAAATCTTGCAAATCTTGTTTATTTTATAGGCTCCAATAGCATTTAAACAAACAATCAGTTTTTATTATCAAGAGGTCAACTCCTATCATGTACTATAAAATGGGATTTTGTGGCTATGGCTGAGGAAAGTGGATAAACCTTTTCCCATTGTGCTGTACGACTATTGACTAAATCATCTACAAGCAATACCAACAATTAAAAAAAAATAGTGAAAAGACTGAAAGAATCTTCTACCAAGACTTTAGCGCAATTTAGCAAGTATGACTATGTAAATGGTCGGCATCTTAAAGCAAATCAATTTTGCGTGTTACCACATCAAAACCCTCATCTTCCAATGAATGGTCTTTTTCATTCACCACCTTAGCAAAAAAAAAAACGTGTTTTACCCAATGGAAGTAGGACCACCACCACTTTCACATGGTTCTCATGGTAACAAGATAAAATACTTTCAAACGATGTGAGAATTGATGGAAAATACTAACCTCCACTAAGAATTCTTCTATTTCACGTGCGTTGCTCCTCATAATAAAAGATTCTCTCATTGTTATGCATTGCTAAAACAGTAGAAGTGGGTTACAAGAGACAGATGCCAATAGTACAAATGGCTGTAAACAAGCACCATGCATATATGGTTGATGAGTCAGAAGATGTTACCGTCAAGATCTAAAGATGACAAAACTGAAGGCTTAACCAATCAGAGCAGACTCTCAAAGTCCAATATTCTAACAATTGATCTCAAGACATACGAACCGCACAAAGCAGTGGCGGGAAAGTGAAATGAGGATCATTCCATTAACAAGAGAAACTTTATTTACTTACAACTAAGAGGATCCTTTTCATTATCATATATATTTCAGCTTCAATCAATATCATGTGAGCAAAACGAGATAATGCTAAAAGAAAAATAGCCACAATCTTGCTTTTCTCATTTTACTCATTTGTCAAATATCACCATTGAAGGAGACAGATGTGCAAAAGTAGAAAAATCATATATACTATAAGGCTAAAAAATAGTGCAATTGGAAAAGAAAAAAACTAGGAGTAGCTAATAGATATAAGATAGTGATATTCAATTACCGTGTATGAGCTTGTGAAGGTCTCCTAGATAGCACTAGTCAAAATTGATGAGGCTACAATAACATTCCAAGAGACAACTACTTGTTGGTATAAATGATCACAAACTCCTTTCAACTTCTAAACGCAGACACAACACTAACATATTGGCAGGAATACGACGCAACTGGAACACCACACTTCCATCACTAAATGCTGGCAAAAAGTTAGATAAACCATAACCTTAGGTTTGTATGGTGCTAATCATCAAAAAACCAAGTGGGTACTGCAGAAATTTAGGCCAATCAGAGCAGATATAGAATTCCAAATCGTGTCAAGAGACTAACTTAAGCCAGTCAAAGCAGATAACTCACTACAACGAACAATAATTGAAAAATAATACGAGACACTGAAAATAAACTATGGACAATGTGGTGGTGGAAGCCATTTCTCCTTTGTCATATAGATTTTCTGCATTATTTGTGATCTATTATCCAAAAAGGAGGAAAACAGAAGTACACCAAAACATGATGATGCTTCAAACTTACATCGCAAACAATTTTTTTGATTCACTCAGTAACGGCTCTTCTTGCATAAGAGAAGAATTAAACTATCTTTTTGGTCTAACATCAAAATCCAAATCTTATTCCTTGATGCATTAGTCAACTATAGGAGATTATCCTCTTTTTAGCAGAGAGATCACTAATACTAACCAACAAAATACACATCAGACACTTTATTCACTTACTTACCAATGTGAAACCAAGTACTAGAAAGGAATCAGGATTCAGGTAGGAGAGAGTTGAAAGGAACTAGACTTCTTGATCAAACATAGAGGTCAAAGAAGATGGCAGAAAACTAATCATGCCTCAAAGATAGAGAGACACTCAGTGATGTTGAGAATGTAGCTTACAAGATAATGGCTAAGACCTTTCCTTTGTGATATTACCACCTGCTACTTTGAGAGCTTTGTTTTGTTCTGCATCCTGTTCCATCATCTTTTTATTTTACTGCAGAATCATGTGTTGACATTTTACTGCACAACTAACAAAAATCTCAGTGGCTCAGATGTCTATAGATATTTGGCAACGCTTACAATTTCGATCAGTGATATTATCAAATCCCCCAAAACTGATATTGGAACGAATCTGTTTCACCTAAATTCAACTCCAATACAAAAATCAATAATCACATTGAACAATGACTAACATTTACACAGAGCAATGCAACAGAACAAGAGATGTATAATACTAAAACTGAAGGCTTTGCAGCATAAGCACGAGATTAAACTGTTACAGGTTACATTACACGTTTTATGTTCAGAGAAAACCATTTGATTATAAACACAGCAAAGAAGAAAACACTACTGAATTCTTGAAGCTAACTTATTCTAAGATCCAACTTGGTATCTCCCATCGTTCTGCAAAGTCATTTCGTATACCTGAGATCTTCCTCCATTTCTCGATTTGCCGCCATTAACACGATTCTCCACCTTCTTACCTTCTTCCTTCCTCGCTACGCCACTGATCCCGACTCTCTTCCTCACCCTACGACCACGATTCAACCCACTAACTCTGCTACCTTCGCCACTTCCTTCCAATCTCACTCCAATCTCTTCGCGTTCCGGCGAATTCTCTCCTCCGTCTGAATCAACGGAGCTTGGTAATCTCCGATACGGTTTCACACTGTGAACCACGCCTTTGGGGAAGAACCTAGCGGAAGGCAAATCATCGGCGGTCTCGAACAGCTGCGGACCATCCCGTTCCGTCCAGAGATCGAATCCACCGGGTTTCTGAAACCGATCCGCCAGAACCTTAACCTGCTCGTCGGCGCATACGGAGAAGAGATTCGGAGGTTTCTGAACCGGCTCCCATGGCCGCTCGAGCTCTGCGACCGCCGCCTTGAGCTCGGCGCGTTTCCGCATCTCGTAAATCTGGCGCTCCCTGGATAACCGCGCCTTGAGGAGCTGTTTCTGCTTCTTCGCCTGCATCCTTTTCCACTGCCACTTCGACACGCCGCCGGGAAACGTCCTCGGGCCTCCGCCCATACGGATGACCGTCGATTTCCGCGGCTGCGGGGACGGTTTGAGGGATAGGGAAGACAGCTTTGAGTGCAGGGAATTGGGCTCCGGCGAGGAGAACGACGACGAGAACGATAACGGTTTGCAGCAGGAGAGGTGGAATCCGATCATCGCAGCCATTGGTTATCCACCAAAGAGCCCGAGGAAGTCGAGAAACTCTAGTTTATCTCTATTCCAGAAAAATCTTTTACTTCTTACTTCTTACTGTATTTTCGGTTATTGACTTTAGTAATTTCTGAGTCACCTTAAACGAATGTATTGTTTTATATTATGTCATTATGTGATAGACCTTCGTCTTTTGTTGGTTTAGGAAAACGGTACAAACTATATTAATCAAAATTATCTCAAGACGATATTAAAAGTTGTCTTGTACGTACTATTGTAAAAAAAAATCAACTTATGCTTAGGGAAAAGAATCAAAGACAATATTCTTGAATTTGTATATTCGTGGAAATTATTATCACAAAAGAAATGAAACGAAAACCAAAGAACAAAATCAATGTATCACACGAAACATCTCTCTTTTTTTTGCATTCGAATGAAACACACACAGACACACACAGCAAATCAACAACCAAACAATTCCATTACCTCGTGTTCGATTACGTTAAATGCTGGATATATATATATATATTACCCGTCGACCCGACCCACATTTCGAAACGCCCGGCCACGGAAAACGGCAAACCCAAAAGCATGCCCCAGAATCGCGGCGAGGAAAACGCCGCCATTGAACGAAACAACGGCTAGAATCACAAGGTAGCTGAAGCCGGACTTAACGGCATACATAGCCGTACGAAACGCCACCTTGGCAAGCTTATCTGCCTCCGGTTTGATGGAGGAGGCTGCGTCAGAGCACCGAGTGAGCCACTCAGCTAAGAACGCCAAAAAGAAGACGAAGATAATTGCGAGAGCATACATCGAACGGCTAGAACCAGGCCATCCCGGGAAAAGCACTTCGCAGTTGTAACTCCAGTAGAATGTCGGGTGTAACAACGACGGTCTGTGTAGCGTCTGCGTTTGCGTTGTGCTAGTGTTCCATGCCTCTACTACGACGACGTTTGTAGTAGACAACATCTCCTTTAATTTGGCGGAAAAGAGAACTTGGGAAGTCGTTGTCGTAGTGGAAATATTGGGACTCTCTAGTCTCTCCTATAAAAAGTGTATCTTCATGAGAAGAAGTTAGGTCCTACAAATTATATGCTATGTTCATGTTATCAAGCAAACTCAAGATTTGCTTGTCGGACTTTTCTTTCAAAAAGCTATATACCATGTCCATTACTAAAGTATTTGGCCGTATAATTCTAATCTGATTTCGTTTTTCCTATCTTTACGTATCAAAACATTAATACTCACACGTATAATATGGTATATATTGTAAGCTAACTTCAGGTCAAAGTATCTTTTGTTTTTATTTTTCTACGTAAAACATTATTTTTCTTATACGTAAATAAACTTTACAAGTTTTACAATAAGAATAAAGTTTATCACAAACCGTTACAAACAGAATAGTTAGAGACGAACGTTTTGGCTTTAGTAGAAAACGTACGTGTGGTATTAGAATAACCAATTCGCGTTGAAGAAAATATATGATACACTAAAACGTAAATAAGTCAACTCGTTTGTTTGTTATTATTTATTAACCATAGAAAATTAATCCTGTTTTTTCAAATGGCATCGAAGCAAGTTTATACAAAGTCTTGTGTTTTTTTTCCTCATTTTTCTTGGACTTTCATTGTATGTTTCATCATTTTGAAAAAGGGAGACAGAAACATGTTAAACGATAGTATGTCTCTTACTTTTTTTACTTTATTTAAAATTAAAATAAAAGGGGGGAAAAGAGCAAGAGCTATGTTTGTGTTTAATTACCTTTTTTATTATTATGATAGACCTACAATTCGAAAAGATTCTCAAAATTCTTGTATAAGACCAATCTTCAATCACTAAACCAATACAAATAAACTGTTTAAAGATATCTTGCAGACTGAGATCATTTACACAACAAAAAGACTTTATCGTTCCATTCAATTCAAGAAGATATACACTAGGCTCTCTGTAGAACCACAGTGAATGAATGAAACGATAAAAGAGGAGATAAATTATATTTGCGCTATCAACTTATCAAGTTGATACTATCGACCATATTATTAGCTTAAAATCAATTCATTTTAGATATGTTGGACCAAATAGACGTAATCTCGGAAAGATCCTCCGTTTTATAAGCCTAACCTTGGATCCAACTATTCAAAGAAGGATCTCTCTATGGTACAGTTCACTCTCCAACAATACATCCTCTACACAATTTGTTTATGTATTATATGGATAGGATAGCCAACGAAATCAAGGTTCCAACTCAACTAAAATCAACTTTACACTTTTGTGATGAGTGAATTATCTCTTTAAAACCTACACTTTTCTTTTTATACATTTAAAATTCCACCGGATTGATGATTGTAAAAGCGTATATATTTTTGAATAAATTGGTTTCTGAATCTAGATCTAATGTCAAGACACCAAAAAAAAGAAAGATCAATTAATCGGAATTAGTTGCCTAGCTTTCGTTTTTTTTTTTAAATTTCGCCAGCTATAAATTAAACAGTACTTCGATTAATAATTAAAAGAAAAGACAAGAAAATAGACAATTCACAAAACAAAACAAAACTTAGCCGGACCACATATGCATCCTCCTTTGGCATAAGATGAAATCATCACCTCATGCGGCGGCACCACCTTTGGACCACCCACATTTGACATCACATCCAATCTATAGATTTCATCTCGACAACATCCCGAAATATCAAATTATAAAAGTAAGAGGAAGGATATAGTATTGTCCCACATTTTGGTTATATATCAAGAGAATGCTCGACTTTACATCTTTAGTTCTTGCATAATTAGTCGTATTTACAAATTTTTATACAACATTCAACCGATCATCGTTACAACTTACACATAACCCTTAAGCCTCTTTTTTTTATTCCTCGCCGAAAAGACGTCACTGCTTTTAGCGATATTTTTGGTAATTAGCGGAAAATTGGATATTTAACCAAATATTTAAAAAACCAATGATGGATCATTTTAAAGATAGTGCGACGTGTGGAATATAAATGATTAAAGAAGCGATTAAAGGAAGTAGTAACTGAAACTAGAGAGTGTGGTCGACTCAGACAAGAATCCGTTTGGACTTCACTGGCGGTTTTTAAGTTCTTTGCTTCGCTCAGAATCTATAATACACCTTCCTCTTCCTTCATCATCTCTGCTTTTTGATTTCGCGCCACCACTCTGTCTCTTTCTCTTTCTCGTTCTCTCTCTCTCTCTCTTATCTTTTTCCTCTCGCAACTTTCTCACTGAATTTCTCCGATCCGCCTGAGTTTTTCTTGGTAAGTGGTCCCACTTTTTCTCTCTCTCTCGATCTTGTTTTGTTGGAGTGAGAAAAATGAAAAGGGAAAGTGTGAGTTTCGTTTGCTTTCTTCTCTTTCTTCGTTTCACACTTCGATGATCGATTGGTATCAAAAAAAGTTCCTGATTCTCCCAGGTTTCACTTAGATCTGGGATTTTGTTCTTCCTTCCTTGCTTGAGAATTCGAACAATTCTTTCCGTGTGAGTGATTTTCTAATAAACTAATTCAGAATCGTTTGTGATATCCCCTCCAAAGCCCCCAATTTTTTTTCAAGATACTGTTTTTACCTTTGCTAAGAATTGAGTTTAAAGTATCAAAGTGTGTTATTTTTTCCCTTCTGGGTCGAATCTTAACGATTTTACTACTCCATTGAAATTCTCTAGTGAATGATTTTATGTCTTATGTTGTTGCAGAGTGTTTATCTTAAAAAGGTGGATGAAGAATGTAAGATTTGGCACAAGTCTTGAAAGCAATATAGAGCCGTTGCTTTGAGGTTGCAGGTCATTATATCGCTATGGTGAGGCAACAAAAAGCCTCCAAGGTTCATGAGGATAGAGATCCCTCGTGTCATTCCCGTGGAGGCAAGAAGGATGAGTTAGTGAAGCATGACATGTTGGATCCACCAAGGTATCTCCGAAGAACTGAAGATATCCGAGGAAAGGCGCTGAGTTTCGGCGTTTTGGATTGGAAACAGTTTGAGAAATGGAAAGATTCTAATTCTACAGAGGGAAGCAAAGGAGTGTGTTGTAGCTATGCTTCTTCGTACGCTGGTTCAGCGGAAACTGCTGCAAGTTCTTTGGAGCTAGATTTAGCAACAGGGGTTGTCAAGAGGTTGGAGCAAGACTTGAAGCCACAAGCAGCGTCTGTGACTTTCAAGGTTAGATCACAAGAGTGTTCAGATGGAACGAGAGTGGATGAACAGAGGAAACTAAATCACCAGCTTCTGAGTGTGAAGCAGAAAGAACAACAAGCGTCTCTGAAGAAGAATCTGGTAGAGAAAGAAGAGAGTAATAATGCCTCTGAGCTTGGTTCGTGTACTTTCGGCGGTCAGACAAATCCAGGGTCAGAGACAAGTTCCAAGCTTTTACCTGAGGTATCTACAACATCTGGATGTCAAGATAGAAGAAGACATGATGTCGAATGTTCAAGTCCGGTGAACCAGATTTCAGTTGAGAAACATGTGGCATCCAAGAAGGGGAGACATGTTTCTCCCAACAGGCGGTTTAGCTTCAGTTTTAGTCAGATGAGTAGAAGTTTCAGTTCCAAAGAAAGCTCATCGTCTGTTCCTTCATTGTCGAGCACGTCTCAAGCTTCAGCTAAATCAGGTCCTTTGACATTCCACGACTCAGTTTATGTCAGAACAAAACCGAATGGTCACAGCAGAACTAGATCAGGTCCATTAGTAATACCCAAGAGCGAAAAGAATGTGCCTTTACAAGTGGCTTCAAAACAACTTTCTACCAACACAAGACCACCAAGATCAAGATCCCACGCTCTTCTGCAATTCACTTTGAGAAAAGGTATCAACTTGTATCAGTTCGTGGTCGACAACAACAGCGATAACGTTCTTGCTGCCACCATGAAGAGCTCTGATTCTTCAAGACGGTCTTACACATTGTATTCCGTCAAAGAAGTGAAGAACAAGAGTGGGAACTGGTTAGGCCGCCACAGGAACAGCAACGAAGAGAAAAACCATTCCTTTGCGCAAACGATTATCGGTCAGGTGAAGACCGCTACTTCGTTAACCTCGGATTTAGCAACCCTCAAATCAGAATCTGTTTTGTTCGGTGTTGAGACGGCAAACGAGGAGCTCGCAGCGATTGTTCAGACGAGGAACAGGGTTCGGAGGCATAGCACAAGTACTATCATACTCCCGAGTGGATTCCACACACTGCCTAAAGACGGTAATGCCCCTTTACCGTTGATTGATCGGTGGAAATCCGGTGGAGCATGCGACTGCGGTGGCTGGGACATCGGATGCAAACTCCGTGTGCTCTCTAATGACCAAACAAAGTCTCAATCTTTCTCGAGCTTTCAATTGTTTGATCAGGTAACTCGTTCTCTTCAGTCTCCAGTGCTCTGTTCTCTTCAGTCTCCAGTGCTCTGTTTTTATTTTAACAGTTGAAATTGTCACAGGAAAGAGACGAACCGGCATTCAAAATGGTGACACACGACGATGAACTCCACTCGGTTGAGTTCGGCTCATCGGTCTCTCTCTTGGAAGCGTTCTTCATTTCGTTAGCAGTGAGCAGTCATCAGAATTGGTGTGAGGAGGAGGAGGAAGCAGAGTTGATCGGAGATAATGCGTTGATGAAGCGAGAAACATCGACGAAATACGCATCAAACCCACCGGTTTCTCCTATCGGTCGGGTCTAGAGACGTTGCTGACAAACAATGTAGGAGAAGATCAAGCAAAGGGCTGAGCTTGGTGGGCTTAGACTGTGTTGGATTGGGCTTTAAACAACTGTAATTAATTAATATAATTTATATGACATAAACCGTTTAGAATTTGCTCAATGTACAAAATAGTGAAAAGCATTTATTTATGAATAGTATAGATAGGGTTTTGCATATTATCATCATATTTTTTGTTTGTTCAGTGTCTTAAACTTTTGTTATCAACATGTTTTGATATGGTTGTCTCATCTTAACAACTTATGGCATTGCTTTCACCTTAGCTTAAGTTTTTTTTCTTCCCACTCACACTTTAGCATTTTAACAGTTTTTAAGCTCTCTTAATTTTTCTTAAAGCCTTTTTCACATTTTTGTTTTTATTGTGTTACTTTTTCTTGAAAAACTAATAATTTGTGATTAAAAAAAAAAATACATCCACATTTTTAAAAAAGTTTACAGGCATAATATTTTTTTGGTACAAAAGTTTACAGTCATGTTGGTAAACCATTAACCAATTAAGACCTAGAATTCTCTTTAACAGTTACAATATTTTTACCGGTTATTTTGTGGTTAGGAACGATGCTTAAAAGGAATCGAGGAGACACATAACTGAGCATGTGAGGATAAAACTGTATTAGACAGACATGCTTCGCTGCTTTACCCTACCCACATGCTCCTCCAAATCATATCCCTCTACGTGTAGTGTTAATTCTGATTTAATATTTAAACCTTATACTCTGTAATAATATTATTATGTTTTTATTTATTCGTTAATGAACCTTTATATAGTATTAAGTTGCAAATTGGCCACTACTAGCTCTAATCCCCCGACATCAACTTCGAAATTTTAAAATAAAGCGTCACTAACGGTTGGTGGGTTCTTCATCTCGTGACCATTGACTACTTTTTAGTTTTATTGAGAAAAATCTTCTTTCTGAAAATTTTGAAAATTCTTATACTGAGGCCATAGAGAGAGAGAGAGAGAGCGAGAGAGAGAGAGAGATCTTGTAAACGTAATTTGATCATCACTGATGAATTTGATTTATCATCTTATGACTTGATGTTATTTCGCGTTATGTACGTGAAAGATTCATATATTGATTATTTCATAAGGAGACTTTTGTGACTTTTCTAATTTTCTTACATTAGTCTTTTATACTTAGCCACCTTTTTTCCCCTCAAAACCAAAAAACCTTCTTTAGTAAAAAAAAAAACACATTCCTTAAAACTATTTTTTACACAGTTCATATTTTCCTTAATAATTTTAAAGTATTAGATTTAAAATAACTGATTTTAAAACAAAGAATGGAAAAACGTTCAAGTATGCAAAAATATGTTTTTGACTTTAATAAATTAGATTTAACAGAAGAAAGAGGATGAAGATGAAACGCTAGCTGTTACTTGTCATATATAATGTTTTCTAGATTTTGCCAGTTTATTAAGTTTCTTCATATACTATTTAGTTTAAACAAAATTAATACAATCTGTAGTTAAAGTTATAATTGTTGTAGATCACCTAATCTTTCATCAATAGTTAAATTTATAACCAACACGTATATAAATCATAGTTAAATACAACCAAATTTTAACAGAAACATCATATCACTTTCTAAAATTGGTCAAGACTCACAGCAGTTATATCATCAACCTGGTAAATGACAATCAATGTTGGCAAATGTTAAAAACTTAAAAGCACAGCACAAAAGAAAAACGAATTTTTAATTTTATTATTTTTATTCGTATAAAAAAACCTCCTTTTTCGACAAATAAATAATTCTCTCTGAAAATTATTCTCGGGGGTTGAATTCTAATTTGTTTTTTCATTTATTTTTTCAATTCAACCGTTTCTCCGTGTTGAACTCGCCTTTTTAATCTAGGGCTTCGTTTCTCAGATTCTGCTAAAGAAAATCTCTTTTCTTCTGTACTTACAAAGTTTTAAATCTCTTTTAGACTTTCGTCTTCGATCTCTCTGTTACCTTTGCTTTTTTTTTTTTAATCTTTCGTACCGTTCCTCCTTCTCATTTCTTCTTCTTCTCAGATCTTGGATTGACCCGTATCGATCGTTGACCTCCGAATTTGGGTTCGGCTGAAATACGATTTCCGGTGAGAAGCTCAAGACTAAGAAATTTGTAACTTACAAAAGGTTAAATTTTTTGTTGAGTGTTTGGTTTCGGGATATATGATGTTGACCCAATTTGTTGGGTTCTGAAGTACTATGGAACTGATTGTCACACGACAAGAAGATCAACAAACAAGACTAAGATGACGCTTTACATTCGTCGCGAATCTTCCAAGGTTGGTCATTTTTCCTCCTAATTCAGCTTCTGGGTATTTCAAAATTTTTGGCTGATTTTGTTATTTTTTTTTTAATAGCTATGGAAGAGATTTTGCTCTGAGATAACGACGGAGATCGGTCTTCTCGCTGAGAACTGGAAATATCTTCTGGCTGGTCTTATCTGTCAGGTTCCAATCTAAAAATTCTAATTTTTTGTTTTCTATTTTAGCTCGATTCATAACTAGAACTTTGGTACGTGAGATTTACTCACTTTCATGTCCCGATTTGAAACTTTGAGAGCTTTTTGTTGTCAGTTTTAAATGATTTCTCGTCAGATTCAGATTAAAAAACTTTAATTGATCGTTATTTCTTATGCTGAGTGTTATTGATGGCTCCTGTTTCTTGTTGTTGAAGTCTGATCATGGTTTTGTTATACATGGTAACTTTTGGGAGAAAAAGCTTTGTGCCTTTGGCTTAAACAAAGTTTTTTTAACAAATTCCAGCTGAAACAGTGTTCTCGGGATTGATTTCTTAACCAAAACAAAGATGAAATGTCTTTTGTGTGTTAGTTTTTAACAAATGTAGCTTTTAAGCATCTTGTGATTTACTTATTTCTTGAGTTTTGACACTGTGTGAATGCATCTGTTGATGTGCAGTACATACACGGCTTAGCTGCAAAAGGAGTTCATTATATTCATCGCCCGGGACCAACTCTACAGGATCTTGGCTTCTTTCTTCTTCCGGTTTGTCTCTTAACATTTCAGCTATTTGCTCAGTTCCGAGTATACTCTTCATCGAATCAGAATATATGTCTTATAGCTTTGGTTTTTCCATTGTATAGGAACTCGGTCAAGAGAGAAGCTACATAAGCGAAACCGTGTTCACTAGTGTGTTTGTTTCGTTTTTCCTGGTGAGTCTTTCGACCTTGGAAAGTTTTTGCTCACTATTCTAAGATATTATGTACGGTTTGGTATCTCTTTCTTGTAATATGTTCTTAGTAATAGCTGAAATCTTACTTTGGCAGCCATTACATGATTATATTCCGGTATTGATGCTCTTTGAGCCGTTTATTGCAGTGGACTTTCCATCCATTCATTCTGAAAAGCAAAAAGATATACACCGTGTTGATATGGTGCAGAGTTCTAGCATTTTTAGTTGTAAGTTTCCTGCTTTACTAATTACTATAAGCTAAGCTTGCTATGATTACTTTCTCTTGTTCATCTTCAAGTTGGTCTGATGTTTCTGCTTTTCAGGCCTGCCAGTTTCTCCGTGTTATAACTTTCTATTCGACTCAGCTTCCTGGCCCAAACTATCACTGCCGCGAGGTAAATCACAACTTAGATCCATACACGATGTCTCATGCGTCTAATCGGTTAAAGCTTATGTGTGTGTGTGTGCCTACTTTTGTCTACAGGGCTCTAAAGTTTCCAGGTTGCCATGGCCCAAAAGCGCTCTTGAGGTTCTCCAGATTAACCGTGAGTCCTACATGTTTACTTTCTGCAATCATAGATTGCGTTCACACACATTTTTCTCTGCTTATATGTTCTCATGTGATGGCTTTGATCTCATCAGCTCATGGGGTGATGTACGGATGTGGAGACCTGATTTTCTCGTCGCATATGATATTCACGCTAGTATTTGTCCTCACGTACCAGAAGTACGGCACTAAAAGGTAAAAAAACCTCATAAACTCTCTAGGCGATACCAGATGCTTTTAAAAACTGCTTTGAGAAAGACATTTCAGCATCATTCCTCTGTTTATACTATGTCGCAGGTTCATAAAGCTGTTTGGGTGGCTCATTGCTTTCGTGCAGAGCCTCTTGATCGTTGCCTCTCGTAAACATTACAGCGTCGACGTTGTTGTTGCGTGGTATGCTTTACTATCACGCAAAAAGTTTCTTCCCAAAACAAAATTCGTCATGAGTACAGAGATATATTGACTTGTTGTTTTTGATTCTTCCCCTGTGTTTAGGTATACTGTTAATTTGGTGGTGTTCTGTCTAGACAAGAAGTTACCAGGTTTGAATCTCAGAAAACCTTTTCTTCACAGAAATGAAACGCACTTTCTTGTCTTAACTCGCAGTTTCTTATATCTTACTCAAATGTTCATACAACAGAATTACCAGATCGGACAACGGTGTTGCTCCCTGTAACCTCGAAAGACAGAAGCAAAGAAGAGAACCACAAGCTGTTGAATGGGAACGGTGTTGATCCTGCTGATTGGGTAAGCATCTGAATCTGTTTTTTTTTGTTCCCACTTCTCAATCTGAACCAGTCACATCATTTGATCTTTAATGTTCCTTTTTATTTATACTGGTTTTGTTTAGAGGCCGAGGGCTCAAGTGAACGGGAAGATAGACAGCAATGGAGTTCACACTGATAACTCAATGAACGGCGCATGAAACACGTACTGGACTTTGGGGGCAAGATCTATATATATATGAAAACAGATAATCAACGGAGTCATGAAGAAGACTTGAGTGGTCTTTCAAGTTCCGACAATTTCCCAAATTTGGACTTGAATTCTGTAAGTGGGGGGTAAATTTTTGTTTTGGTTTATATTGTTTCAGAAAAGAAGAACACACTGATAGGGACAAGTTTGGGGGCGAATGCTATTTTGTACATTTTTCCAGTTCCTTATTCCCCAAGTAATCATCTTTTGTTGGATGTATCACGTTGTTTTTTTTAATCTTTTATGTCAAAGTCAATTTTGGTTACAAGAAAACTGTTTTGAGCTTTTTGAGACGATGTTGTTATGTGTGGTTCTCTTACAGCTTTAAGCATCTTTTTAAAACAGAAAATTATCTAATCCGATGACATTCGCTCGTATATAAATCTCACAGATTTCTTCTGTTTTAGTAACTTTGTTGTTTGATTTGCAAGAATTGGTGTATGGTTTTGTTTCATGAGGAAGATGAAACGTGGAAATGGAAAAGCCATGATATGAAGAACCCAAAGACCATACAAGCTAACACTATATTCACCATTCTCTGTGGTTGCCACCTGTTCTCTACCGCCGCTGTTGCTCCTCCGCTTACTGCCACCGTTTCCTCGCCGTTTCTTAACTCTCTCTCGTCCACCGTTAACATAACCATTTCGTTCGCACCGCTCACGTTTCGGGCCACCGATTGGCATATCTCGCAGATTCTGTTATCAATCAAAAGTGGTTGTTAATTAATCTCTTTCAACACAAGAAAAAAAGGAAAAAAAACATTTACGTGCTTAAACTGACATATTCCTCCTGATCAAATGGAAAACTAATCATTAAAGAATAAGTCAAGAAAACGTCCTTAAATAAATGGGGAAAATTATAAGTCGAGAGAAACAAACAACATGATCTCCTAAGAATCCTATAACTAGACTTTATTATGATCAAGTTAAATCAAAACCTCATAACTGGAAAATTCAAGAAAAGTAATCAAGAACTGAAATGAAAATAAAACCACTTAAACCAAAAAAAAACAAAAAGAAGAGAGAAGAAAAAAAGTAACATTACTTGTCGCCTTTGATCTTGAACCAAGTCTCAGCACATTGTCTATGAGCAACAGCTAAGTCGTCCTTACACGAACACCCCAACTCAATCGCACCTTCACCGCTCGTTTCCACCCCTAAATGACATATCCGGCAGTCTTTCTCCGGCGGCGCCGTCGCATCATCATCATCATCTATCTCCGAGGGACTCATGACCGACGACACTTTCCTCGACTCTCCTCCTTCGTATTCGAACGGTCCTCCCGTCGTCGAGTAGAAGTAAGAGTAGCATGACGTCATATCTTCCCCGTCTGAATAACAAAAGCTGACGTCACTTCCGTCGAACGACCGCCGGTGATATCCGTACGCCGCTCCTTGTTCTAAATCGATCTCTGCCATTATATTAAATGATGTATTTCTTTTTCCTTCGTTTTTTTCCTTTTAATGCCACAGTAATAGAATTGAAGAGATATAAGGAAATGGGTTTTGGTGGATTTGGTGATTTCCTACTTAACAACTTGAAAAAAAATGATTGTTAATTTATGAGAAATTGAGTAACGAAAATGTAGGAGGAGTGAGTAATGGTGGTGGAGCAGGAACAAGCTTGAGAACAGAGTGAAAGTGGAACTATATATTATGATGCAAGAAAGAAGAATGTATAAGTCTGGATCAAGAATAAATAATTTAAACAAGGGAACCAAAAATAAAAAGAACAGTGACAGATAAAAGAGAAAAAAAAAAGAAAAGGGAACAAGTTTCTACCAAAATTAAGGGATTCTACAACGTTTAAGCGACGCGATCTTACTTTGATTTCTTTTTATCTCCTCAAAAAAAGTAATTGGAAATAATTGGTGTAAGAAACTAAGAATGTTATATTTGTGTAAGTTATGAAAACCCAAATCGCTCCTTGATTGTTAGCATAAATAGAAATGTTGCAGGGGTAAATATGTCACTACATTAAAGAATTTATAGTTTTGGATTTACTTTTGACCCATTCCCGCCTCCGACCAGTTTAATCACGGCCGGATTTGTGTTATACTGTAGATTTACAGTTATACTCCATTTTTTGTCATATCACTCTCTGATTCTCTTGATTTGTCATAAACTAATGGAAGTCATGTATACCACTAAAATATTTAAAGAAGATAACATCAACCACTATTGAATAAAATGTTACTTAGCCAAGAAAACAGATCTACGAATTAGATTAATTTTTTTTCTTTTATGAGGGAGAAAGATATTTCAAACAAGCAAGGAATACCGATTTATTCATAAAGGCATAGAAATGAAAACTAAAAAAGAAATAGGAATCTCATTTTCCACGTCAAAATGTTGAACCACCATGGACAGACAACAAAGGAATAAAAGAAAGAAAGAAACAAAAAGAGTAAAAACGAATTTTGACGGGACAAAAATAATAAGAAAACAACAGTTTTTAATCAAGTTGGTGGGTCTGGTTCTAATGGACAAGACATACCTATTCTTGTTTCATTTTGAATCTTAATATTTGGAATTTTCTTCTATCAAGAAGATGTCGACAGATATTTTAAATATGTTCATTTATCTTATCTGGGAGCTAACTACAAGTATGAAACTCTCGCGATTTGTTATCCATATTAGGAGTTCTAAAAATGCTATTCAGACTAAACAATCATAAACTATGGCGATTATTTTTGTTTTTGTTATTGAACGGAGATGGTTTTAGCCTCTTAGGTGGTCCTATGATCTCTTAGACGGTTCTTCACATTCCTACAACATCATTAATAACTTATCATTTAATTTAGATAATTTGTAACTAGGACGCCATGAATGTTAAATTGGATCACCTCGTACAAGTGCATGATGCTCATATATTCTTCTCAATTTATTTCTCTTTTCTTTTTGACTCTTTATGTTTTGTTCCTTATAATGAACATGGAAAGGGACAACACAAGTAGTTGCACAGTCTCAACAGTTTCATGTTCAAACTGGAAAAGTTGTTTATGAAAGACCAGAAACTGGACGTATCTAAATGTTAAGTTTTGTTCAGCAGAAACCTTTGGATGGTGAGCCGGTGACCCAATTCAGGTGAACACTTTTTAAATCATCACAGTTATGTTCATTAGTAAATAGTAATCATGGTTTACTTGGGGTTCAAGTTTTCCTTTACTTCTATGTAATTTGTTTAGGAGAAACATTTGCTATGTTGTAAATTTGTTGCTTATTTTTCAAGTGATTATCTTTTGTTGGATAACTTTTGATTTCTTAATGTCAATTTTGATTTTGATTTTATTTTTTCTTAAAAACTGTTTTGAACTTTGAGACGATGTTGTTGGCCACTACAAACTTTGAGCATATTTTTTAAGAAATTTTTTTATCTATTAATAATTTTACTGAGCTAGTTAATTTTAAATTCACTTAAGAATACTGTAAGAATATAAAATTATCAATTAGAAAAGAATGGGGTATACTTACGATGAGGTGAAAGTCGAGGGGGTGAAAAAGAAAAAGAGAAACTAATAAAAGGGGTAAAGTTGTAATCGCGAACCCAGTTTTTTCCGTTTGCCATCAGAAATCAGAATTCTCAATTCGTCGCCGACCTCCTTAGGGTTTTGACGAAATCGGAAAGATGTACGACGTCATGTTGGATGAGGCGAAGATGTGGCTCGACGAACCTCCGCGGCGTAAGCGGAAGCTGGAAGCTCCGCCTCCTGCACCGATAGTTAGCTATAACCCTGAACCATATTCAGATTCTGACGAGGACGAGATCGATCCGGTGGAGAGGGAGAAGTATCGAATACAGCTTGTCGAGTCTGGGGTAATCCTCTTAACGCTTGATTTTGGTGGAAATTTTGCTACTTTACATCTGTGATGGAGAATTAGCGTCCCGGGTCGTGATCAGGCTTTTATGTTCACATTCACAATGATTTTTGATTGAATGTGTATGATAAATTTGCGTAGGGATTCGATATCGACCATGACTCTTTTCCATTTTCAAATTTTTATCCCATATGGATCTACTCCTACAACCATACTCTTCAGCAAGGTGGGACTCCATTGCTACAACTTTGATAAGGTAACTCTCTCTCTCTCTCTCTCTCGCTCTCTCGGTTTCTGTAGATTTCTTCTTGTTTACAATTCATGACTGGTTACGTGTTTCCCTCCATTCTTTCTTGTAGGGAACGAACTTACAATCCATCACTGTAAAGCAAGCCAACGCAGATTTCCATTCAATTGTTGCGTACTACATAACTTTGGAGGCAATGGATCCGTTCAGTGATTCACTTGTTACTTTCCAAACCTCTGTCTGGGATGCTTTTACGAGTAACAAGGAGAAGTTGAGATTGATCACAGAAGTGTGCAGAATCAAAGGTAATGGCGTCTTAACACATTTTGTCAGGCATAGTTGTAGATTAGTTGTTTTTAAGTTCTGTTTCCAAGTCCCTGGATCATTAAAATGATTCATGTGTTGTTGGCTTTGCTTGAACGATCTGTATTGCAAGAGTGTAGGTGTACTTCATTTATGGTTATGTTGTTTCTTTTAAATTGTGACTAATCATTTTTAAATTGTTACAGGAACTGAAGAAGAAACTCGCCTATGGGACGAAGATGCTGTAGATGAGTTTTATAAAGATGATATGTCTCAGTGGTTAGAGGGAGATGCGCTTACAGGAACTGATAAGCTACAATACTATGAGGTTAGGTGTTTTGTTACCTTTTGACTTATCTGCTCTCCATTTAGCAGCATGCACATGGATCCCTAGTGACACATGTTCTTACAAATGCAGTTGAAGGAATCGGATCTGCTTGACAACGAGTGGCTTTATCTATATGCCCAAGTTGCATTGTTCTCTGAGCGGGCAAGTGACCTGGTGAAGATAAGAATTAGCATAGAGATGCGAGTGTAGGACATTCATGCACTCTTCTCTCAGCAATGTTTTTTGTTTGATGTTTGTCTTTGCAGAGCGCTTATTTGCCGGTGGAGATGACTAAAGTAGTGGTACGAACAAGGGAAGATGTGGAGTCGAGTATGAAGCTCAAGTCAAAGGATGCAACTTTCTACATGAGTTTCAAGCAGGCCCGTGGGGGTCCCGAGTGCAGAGGCATAATAAGGCGGACGTGGGATGGAAGACAACAACACATGTGCCTTCAAGCTAAATGTTGGATCGACAAGTAGAGAGAGAGAGAGAGAGATGTGGTCTTTTTATGTATTTAATTCGTGAACGAGCCTAAACGGGCTCCTTGACAAGGAGTCATTGTTATGTATAAGACCCGTTTAAGCCCGCAAATCCGAGGCCTTAATCTTTTCAAGTTTTGGGGGCAAAGTCTTTCTATCAGAATGCAAAAGGGATGTTTTATCATGTTCCACGGTAATGATTTTAGTTCTTATCATCAATGATCATAAATAAATACAAAGTCATACTCTGATAACCGGTTAAGAAACAACAGTGAACCCTATGATGGGAATATGGCAAAGGCTGTGCAAGGTCACAGGAGATTTGAAGGGTTTAAGAAGACTATCAATCCAGACAGGTTTGGTTTAAATCATCATTGTAGCAAATTGCATTATGGCTATTACAACTTCATTACTGAGATGATCATGTCGTCTTGTGAAATGTTCAGGTTAAATTTTGTTAGACTGATAGATCGTTTTGACGAAGGAGTGATGTCTTGGGACGAGTTTTCTTCAGAGGTGAAGAGATTACACAGAGACAGGATCGGTGCGCCTTATGATAGACTCTCCGGTGAGTTCCCTCGGCTCGAGGAGAATTTCTACGCGAACCCACAACCAGATTGCATCTGTGACAAGTCTCACCCTGAGCAACAATGGAAACCAAATCTGAGAAGAGAGTCTAATAGATGGAAAGAGAGTGCTTCAAGCTAAGAAAGAAGAACACAAAACACTGAACAGAGAGAGACATTCAAACACTTTTTGTAGCCTTCTTGTACAATATAGGAAAGAAGAAGAACGATTTCTTGGAAGATTCGTCACACATACACACACACACACAAATCTTGTAGAATCGAATTCACTATACATCATGAGTATCAATGATATAGCCATTTTTTTGTTTTCTGTTGCGTCTCTTTCAGAGCAGCTGATTAGAATATGATTGATCCTTGTCAAGCAGCATGATTTGTGTTAATATTTTTGGTCCCATCATTAGTATTTCATCACATAATTGTTATTAGTGATCTCATAAATTTATTGTACATTGGAGTATCAGTTTCATCTTCCCTCCTAGTGCTCCTTACATGGACCCGAATATTTTCTAATCAGGTCCTGACCCGAATATCTTCTAATCGGGTCAATTCTCGATGAAAACCGGTTCTGGTTTATTCACGGTAGCTAAAAATGTGAAGAAAAGAAACAACAAAAATGTTGACAAAAAAAATAAGAAACAACAAAAATTGCAGGCTTCGTGGATCTTCTTCGTCACTTGAACAAGAGATCTCTCATATTCAACCTCAAATTCGATTTTCAACGCCGTCGATTTCGACTCACTTGTAAGTAATCTTTCCCTCCTCCTTCTTCATCTGGCTCTCTGTCCCCCGCTATTTTCTCTCTCTGGAGATGCTAATTTCCGGCGGGATGACACTTCCCCGGGGATACATCGGGAAAATTTGCACTTCGGTCGTGATTTAACTCTCAATTTTTCTGGCGTTGATGTGAAAAGCGTGATCTATATATTTTGTTTGAGATCGGGTTGCTGCGAGATTTGGGGTTGATTTATTTAGGGGGGTTAATCAATCAATCAGTTTGCTTGAATTTTACCAGAATTCGTGGATCTTGGATGAAACTATAGTTAGAATTGTATGTGAGCCTCTGTTTTGGCCGAATTTAGATTCCTCCAGTTTCTGCATCTAATTATCATTTGTCTATAAGAAAGTAAAATCCAGGAGATTGATTGATAAAATGTAATCTGCATTATACTTTTCTGCAGATACTGAGGCCACGATTCTAACAAGACTTGAGCTAAACGTCAAGTTCCCTTTACTCGGTATGCATTTTCTCTCAAAAGTGAAATCCCCTCTCTTTTAAATTCTAATAGCGTTTGTTTTCTTCACATCTCTCTTAGACGAAGTTACTCAATAGTACTCGTCATGTAAATATAGCACCCTAGTCTGATCTCGGTTGCTTCAGCTACTGAGAATTAGGATCCGATCATTTGATCTAAAGTATGGTTTACATTTTGGTGACCCATCCTTTAAGAAAACAGTGTCTAGTGTTCTTAGCTCCGAGGTTCTCTTGATATTCTTGAATGTGATTCTATGGCCTGAAGAGGGGTTGTTTGCAAGACAACACTGGAAAAACACCTTTGTCCTTCCTAGCTCGCGACAGAGGCTTATATACCTTTATAGTATAGTATTACAATTGATTGGTGTTCATAATTCTTGTGTCAGAATCAAGATTTTCCTTTCCTTTGCTTTTGTCATGGCTTATACTTGAACACTTATATAGAGTATTATTACAAGTGGTTTCAATTACATTGGTTAGATCAACTGTATATGTCTCTTTACGAATGATTCTTGATCCTTTCTCAATCATTTTGTGTGTGGTACAGAGGAATCATGGGATTCTGGACACTGATGGAAGGATTGCTGCTATTTGCAAACGCACTTGCTATCCTCAACGAAGACCGTTTTCTAGCTCCCAAAGGATGGACACTCGCAGAGCTACACCAAACCGGCAAAAGAAACTCTCTCAAAGGCCAAATCATCGGTCTCATCCACGCCTGCCAGTACATGAGGCTCCCTCTCATGCTCTTTAACTTAATTGTCATCGTTTTCAAGCTTTTCTCCGGTTAATAAGAGCAGTTTTAAAGATAGTTCAATCCAAACACTTGTGCAACTTGTTTTTGTTTTGGCCCTTGTCATAAGCACTTTGTTGTTGGTTTCACCCACATGTTCATTCTATATCATTTTAACATTCAAAAGCTCGTATTGTAGACATTCTTATCGTTGGTGTTACTTTTCAGTTTTCACTACAAACACAAAAGTGAAAAAAGAAAAAAACAACATCTTGAGACCGAAAGCTGGAAACTTTGGATAGTTCATCATTCAACAGGAATCATGACTTCGTTGGTCCTGAACGGAGGTAGCGTCCACGGTGGATTATACCTAGCAAGGATGAAATCTCCGGTGATCTTAAACCCGTCTCTCTCAAGATCACTAGTTAGCTTCTTCACCTTCTCACTCACCACACTCTCTCCCGTCGTGCCACTGAACTTAACCACGCCGTACTTTCTCCCTGCTTCCTCTCTGATCACCACTCTCGCATCCGTCGGACGCGGCGCCTCCTCCGCTTTCTTGTACATCGACGGCAACAGAAACTGCATCGTCACCAACTTCTTCCCTCCTTCACCGCCTCCTTCCTTGGTCACAACTGGGGAAGTCATCTCTATCTTCTCCCCTTCCTTAGTGATCACCGGAGAAGTCATCGCGATTTTCTCTCCCTCCTTCGTGATCACCGGAGCAGTCATCGCGATCTTCTCTCCTTCCTTCGTTATAACCGGTGAAGTCATCGCGATTTTCTCCGGCTTCTCGTTCTCCGGGTTGCCAAACACGCCTATGTACTTGGCCAAGACCGGAAATCCGCCGTCTTTGTTGCCTTTGAATTCCGAAGGATCGTAAGTGAGCTCCGCCGCAACCGCCGGTGGATATTCCCGGATCTCATAACTGTCGCTGGATTTGGTCACCGTGTACTTAGGAGTCTCGACAACGATTTTACCAAAAACCATTCCCATTATGTAAGTTTTACCGAAAACTATTCCCATAGGATTACTATTTATCAGTTTTGTTTTCGTCGTTGCTAAACGCAAATGTGTGGTGAGCATTTGATATGGTATGTTGTGTATATGTAAGTATATATAGAAGAAAATATCGATAAACTCAAAACGGATTTTGGCTGTTGGTAGAAAAATCAAATGTTACTACTTTTGCTTGACGACCAAAACGATGGAACCAGTTTGACACGTTTCTGGGTTGTGTGGTTCAGAGAATTACTTCGTTACTAATTAATTTTCCTGTGGAGCTTCTGCGTCCACGACGACGATGACGACGATAGACCAATTGCTCGGTGGTTTCAAAAACGGCACGTATGTTTGAAAATTTAAGACAGAAACAGCACGCAGTTAGCGACTAAGGGGTTTAGTGTGTCCTTTCCGTGTTACGGATTAAACATAAATGCGTTACCAAACAGAGGAGTAGGGTTTTGTTTTGTGTTTTCTCAGCGCCTTATATAAATATTTCTTGAAGACCATCTTTTCTGGAAAAATCTGTTCGGCGATTTGACTAATTTTTCGTTTGATTTTTAATAGGTTATTCTAGTTTCGATAGATTTTCTTGTTGTGTTTTTTTTTTGCCTTTACGATTCCATATAGTTCGATCTTAGTTTTTTTCTTTTCTTTTGGCTTTGTTTTAGTTGAGCATCGGTGATGAATCCATGAAAAAATTGTTATCCTTGCACTTTGATTGTTAGTGAAGATAAAATTGGGGTTTTCAATTCTGAGATGCTTCTGTTTTCTTTTTCTTTATCGTGTTTTGTTTTCGTGCGACTCAGTGATCGATTATGTTTTCGTGTATAGATTGGATCGATGATTTCTTAGTTTATTAAACTGCGTTATCTATCTGCAAATCTCTTATATGGGTTTGAAGATAAACCATAAAAATCCTGAGATCCCGTGTTTATACTAGCACTTTTCGTTTTTTTTATCAACGTGTATTCAAGTCTGATTTTGTTAATGATAGAATCAGATCAATGATGTCAATTTTAAAACTGCGTTATCTATCTTAATATCTCCGAAACAGGAGTTGCAGAAAACTATACAGAAAACGCTGAGATCTGATAGCCTAATTCAACTGATTTGTTTATGATAAATAGATCTTTGTTTTGTTTTTTGGTTTTGATTCGCGAAAGCCTAATTTGCATTTGGTAATCGTAGATGTCGAGGAGTTAGACATATGGAATGTGACATAATAGGTTTATGACACGAACCCATAGATTATGTAAAATGAGAAAGTGCTGGTGGTGTATTGGCTTCCTAGTTAACAAATGTATTTGCGATGCGGGTCGAACAACCGAATGTGTTACTTGATGAGCCAACCCAAATCCAAAGTAGTCCCTTAGTAATCACAAAATAAGATAATTAAGCGAAGATAATTAAGTTTAAGATTGAAATGAAGGTGTCTTAATCAATTCAATGGAGTCCTTGTATTAATCACAAAAGTTTTAAAATTAAGATGAATTCTGTTATGCACGAGAATATATATCATTAAAGACGATTGAAGATGGTTTATCATTAAAGACGATTGAAGATGGTTTAATCAATCAAAAGGAGTCCCAATATTAGTCACAAAAGTTTTGAAATTAAGATGAACTCTGTCAATAAAGACTAACATTGCATTTCATAATTAATTATTTTTAAATTTTTCATTTTTTTTTAATAAAGTATGTTTATTTCGAGAAAAATATATAATTACATACGGAAATATATAAATTATGTAAAATGATTTATATGTTAAGTCTGATTTTTGTAATTTACGTATGAAAAATAAACTGGAAAATTCCATTATGTTTCAAGATGACTTTAGTGAAATTATTAGGCCCAATATTAATGTGGTTAAAAAGGTGGACATCTCTAAAACTGGTATAATTCGGAATTACTTTCAATTATGTCCCTTTGCGCAAGAAACAAAGATTTGGCGTTACCGCCAAAACGAGAACTTATCCCGGCAAAATCGAATTCAGTGACTCGAAAATCTCCCGCTCTTTGTGTAATCATCATCTTCTCTCTATTCCAGATTTCTCCATCTCCCCCTTTTGTTCATTTTTCCTTCTTTCTTCACACTCGTTCTTTAGGGTTTTTCGAATCTTAGTCGGAGCAATGGTGAGGCCGAACAGATCCAAAACTGCGGAGCGTGTAGGCAAGGGTAAAGTCACTCCGGTGCAGGTCGCTTACCTCGTCGATCGATACCTTTGCGATAATCGATTCCTAGAGACCCGATCCCTCTTCAGATCTGAAGCTTCTTCCCTCATCTCCAAATCCCCTGTTCGTGAAGTACGTACGCGCCTGGGAATTTTTTCATTTTCATTCTTCTACTTTGATTCTATTACAACGCTTGTCTTACAAGATTTTTCTTTACTTCCGTTCGATTTCTTAGGTTCCGAACAGTTTGATACCTCTTGATGACATCTTGAACGAATACATTAGCCTCAAGGAGCAAAAAGTGGTGCTTGATCAGGAGAAAGTTAGACTGGACCAGGAGAAAACCCGGGTTCAGAACCTATTGAATGGAATGCAGAATGTTATGAACGTTTACAACTCCACCGCAGCAGCTCCTCCTCCGGCGATCTCATCGGCAGCTCCGGCGGCTATGCAAGTGGTTGCCTCTACTTCTCAACCGAGCAACTTGGGCGTCTCTCCTTCAGGTACTGAAGATTTCTCCTGCTTGCTATGTTAGTTTACGTTGCCACATGCTCTGATTTAGATATTGAACCTTCCTGAGGTGTTGTTTTAGTAATCACAAATAAAGTTATATAACCTGATTTTGCTTTAATTGGTTGATTTGATTCATGACAAGTTTCATTGGAAAGATGATATATAAACTGATTTTGCTTGATGTATCTGGATTTGTGTTCTTTCTAATGATATGTTTTTTTTTTTTTTCAGACGGAACAGCTAATCTTATGCCAGCATCATTGCCAGGAAACAAGAGAGTTGGGAATTTCACAGAGCCTTGTTGCAGTCAATCTATGAGCAAGAAGCGAAAGAGTCCTGAGGTTTCTGTAGGAGCTCCTTGTGTCTCTAAGAAAGGTCGTTTGTTCTACTTCCAAGTTTGTTCTTTTGCATTACCTTTGAAGTGTCTTCTCCATTATCCTTAAACGTGGGTTTGTGTCTTCTTCTTCTTCTTCTTATTTCCAGGTATGAAAACGATTCCACGACCTGGTAAGGCCGTTAACTACTTGACGTTTCAAACATCATCACCCGAATTACAAACGCCGGTGGATAACAGCGCAGCTAATGAGTCATCAAGTGTGGCAAAGTGTTTGTTTAGCAGACCAGAGATGTCAACTCCGACCAACAATTCAGCTGCTCTGAGGACACCACAAAAGCAAGTATCTCCGCGTAGCGATGTTTCTTCTGTCACTCCCCAGGAAGAAGTTTCTGCTGCAGTTGTTACCAAAGAGAGAATCACAGTCAGCCCTCACAAACAAATGGCTTCTTATACAGTGGAAAGGAGCCATATGGTTTCTTCTTTTTCGCCGGTCAAGTCTAATCTGAAGGTGTCGAGCAAAAGAGGTCACGTGAAAGGAAGGCTCAACTTCGATGACACTGAAGCCACAATGCATTTCGACGAACCTGCCACTAGAGATTTGGTTTCAACTTCTTCATCTGGCTCCGAAGGAGAAGCTGGTTTGTTTGACTTGGATTTCTCCAACATAGATATTCTGAGTGAGAACTTTCCATTTTCGGAGCTGCTAGTCGATTTTGATCTTGGTTGTGAAGCAACGCCAGACCCTTGTCTGCCACAACAACCCTCAAACTCCCTCATAGAGACTCCTTCAGGGTATGTATTCTCCTCTTTGGCTTAACAACAACTGAAAAACCAAAAAAAAATCCATTTTTCTGCTGCCATTTTACTTATCAGATCCAATTCTGAAACACACAGGTCATCTCCTGAATCAATGAACCGGAATCTAGTGCCTGACCAGGTTGTATCAGAGTATACATCAACAATGACACAAGTGATTCAAGGAAAAGACATGAACACACAAGGTGAGTTTTCTTCACTTGATATTTATAGATGACATATAGGAAGCTATTATATCTGTTTTAACTGATATAGTCTTGCTGTTTCAATTTGCAGGATCCGACTCCATGACTACTGTAAAGTCCATAACAAAATGCCTAAGAATCTTAAGTCCAGGTAAATTGCTTTTTCTCAATGTGACTGACATATAAATATACCACAGACATCTCATCGCGTCTTAATTAACAATTTGTCTTCTATCTTCAGCCAAGAGTTGCAATCAGAGAAGCCACAATTGAGTGATTTGATCTACACTTCAGCTCCCAAAATGAAAAATGCAGATCCTCTTCTCCTTGATATTTTCATGGCTTTCAATGTAAAGCAGAACCCTTTGATGTATTATGTACTATATTGAAAGATGTTTCTGATACGAGTAATCATGCATTAACAGAGTATAGGACCATAGGTATAGTCTATACCTGAATGTTTTATCATTCCCTCTAGTAGAATTAAACTAAACCAAATGTGATATTTTGATAACTTACTTGGAATGTTCTGGACCATAGGGAATTATCATCATTACTAACGTATTACCCGTCTGCCCGAGAGCAAAGGATGGTGACGAGGATGTCTTTGACATAAAATTATCAAAATGATATCTTTTACATGTATTATTTTATATAAGAATTATTTAATCATTAACCCAAAACAGAAAATCACATGCTACAAAGATAACCTAATGGATAAAATTATGTAAATAAATATATTTTGGGACTAGCCTGTTTTAGATTAGTCAAGCCAAACCAATTAGTTAACGGGGGAATGACTCTAGTTACACTACACTTTAGTTGAGTTTGAAATGTGGTTTTATAACAATTGGTTACTATGACGCAACGTACGTCACGTCTACAGCAATTGTCGCTTCAATTGCTTAAAGTTAAGTATTTTGATAGTTAATTTTGGTATTTATGATATCAGTCCAAGTAAAATATAAAATATAGGACACTTACAAGAGATCACGAGTGGCTAAAGAGACTAAAAAGATGTTAAAACACCTTCTATTTTTAGAAACACTTACGCTTCAGAGACCTCAGACATGTCTCGTATCAACTTTTTCTTATTTTTACGAGAAAAAAAAAATTGATACTTTTTTGAAATTTTCGTTTTGTTATATTTTATTTGCTTCTGCTTATTCATTTTTCCTTAAACTTGTTGCTTTGAGCAGCGAGAGTCCATTTCCACTAGAGACACACGAGATTCACACTAGTAAGTGTTCTAATAATCTCTCTTCATGGATTTTTGGGAGAAGTATGCATCTAAGCAAAAGTCTGATACACCAAGTTTTTTTCTTCTCAAACTCCCTTTATATCAAAGCTTCATCATTATTCATTTTTCATAAAAGCTTCAATCTTTTTATGTAAGAACTTCTTTTATAGTTAAAAGGTTCGATCTTTTTGATGACAAACACTTGATGTATGTCAAAGATTCAATTTTTTTTGTTTTTTTTGGGTGAAAAAGCCTCAAGCTTAGATCTTTATGATGAAAAACACTTGATGTATATATCAAAGATTCAGTTTTTTTTTGGTGAAAAAGCCTCAAGCTTCGATCTTTATGATGAAAAACACTTGATGTATATAGCAAAGATTCAGTTTTTTTTTGGTGAAAAAGCCTCAAGCTTCGATCTTTATGATGAAAAACACTTGATGTATATATCAAAGATTCAGTTTTTTTTTGGTGAAAAAGCCTCAAACTTCGATCTTTATGATTTATGATGAAAAAAACTTTATGTATGTCAGATTCAGTTTGTTTTTGGGGTGAAAAAGCCTAAACTTCGATCTTTATGACGACAAAAGCTTGATGTATGTCTGAATCAACACATCAGTTTATAATTCTCTAATTTATGTTTTCAAGGTACTTACTTGTTGACATCTTGAATAAGACTATGGTAGGAGAAGAAAAAAATCCGAAGTCTCAGCCAGCTAAGCCAGCTAAGGTAAATAGATGAAACAATGGTTTGGGTGTTGTGTGTTACATGTTCAGTAATGATTATCTATTGTGTGTGTTACATGTTCAGTACTGAATATCTATTGTGTGTGTTTCAAGGTACTTATTGACATCCCAAATGAGCATCTAAATGCACTCAATGAGATTATAAAGCTGGTTGACCCAGAAATACAACCGTTGGTCGCCGATGTCCTTCATATGGTGCCTAAGGAAATCCTAATAGCCATGATAAATTCTCAGCCTGATTCTAAAATCAGAATCACTGAGTGCATCAACGCAACAGGTGGAACCACCAGATGTGTGAGATATGCGTCTTGGACAAAACGAAAGGTACATCTATCTTAGTTAGTTTCGTAACAAATTAGAGCTTTGCAAGTGCATCATAAACAAATAAACTGTTCCTATTGTCTCTGCAGCTCATCCCAGATTTCTTGAAGGGCGTGAAATGGCAAGCATGTATGGGGCAATTGAGAGATCAAGAGGCTCATGGTAAGATATAATTAATTAATTAAACCAATATGTAATATACGCTTGGTTGGTGAGAAGCTTTTAAGTGTGGGCTTGTTTTGTGTAGATGTGTGTTGGGCTATCGTGGTGAGTGAACTTGTACGTGCTCTTAGACAGATTGAAGGACTTGATACGGACTCCAATATAGAATATTCTCCACAAGACTTGATTGACTTTGTAGACATTGAGAAACGAAGAGTGGAGAACAAGAAAGGTCACTATTGCTACACCTCAAATCTCACAAAAGGTTTTGAATATGTTAAGAGGAAAGGAATTCTGAGAGAAGAAGACAGACCCTTCACTGGATGCTCTCAAGACGTTCCTCCTGCTCGCACTGCGTCTTCCCAACTCGGGTATATCAAAGACTATGTAAGGCTCAAGACAATCGATGAGGCCCTTCTCCACCTTAAAAAACATCCCATTGGAGCAGCTATGCCGATTTTTCTCCCAGAGTACAAAGAGATTGGAGATAATGGAGAACTAGTAAGTCGTGTTTGTTTACACATATAAGTTATAGCTTATTAAATATATATATACTAACCTTAGTGTGATTGTGTGTGTCAAAGATATACCGCGGACCTGTTAGTCAGAATTCTAAATTTCACTCTATGCATGCGGTTTCTCTAATGGAGGTGGGTGAAGAAAACGGGGAGAGTTATGTTCTTGCGAGAACAAGCCATGGGAAGAATTTCGGAGATGGTGGCTACATAAAGATCTCACTGGATGTTGTCTTTGTCTACATACCTACGCCTGGAGAAATCGTGAACTCTGACGCTATGAAGTATTTTAGCAAGCCAGGATCACTTCTCTCAAGGTTCAGCTATCCATTGTTATTGACAAAGGATGAGGAGTTACAAAAGAAGATCGATCAAGATAAGGAAGCTTCATGCGACAGAATGGATCAAGACAAGCAGTTTCATGCGACGGAATGGAGTTTTGAATGGAGTTTTGAGGATTGGTTTGATGGATAACTTTCGTCTTTCGTATTTGGGACATGTGCTTATTTTCCAACTCTTTTTGTCCAACTCTTTTGTCCAACTTCTTTTTACAACTCTTTTGCCATACTCCTTTCTGGTGGTTTGGTTATTTAAGAGGATTCTGATTCCTATTTGTTCAATGACTTAGGCAAACGAAACGTATATTTTGTATCACTTGCGTATCCGTGTGGTACCTATTTGTTAGGATATTAGATTTAGGGGGAAACCAAACGTAATAGGTAGAAACACACCAAGTTATCTTAATAATAAAGTGGTTCCTACAGCGATAGATTATATAACATCTTGAGTATTTCAACATGGCTTAAATACATAAGAAGACCACATCTCTCTCTCTCTCTCTCTCTCTACTTGTCGATCCAACATTTAGCTTGAAGGCTCATGTGTCGTGGTCTTCCATCGCTCGTCCGCCTTATTATGCCTCTGCACTCGGGACCACCACGGGCCTTGAAACTCATGTAGAAAGTCGCGTCCTTTGACTTGAGCTTCTTACTCGGCTCTACATCTTCCCTTGTTCGTACCACTACTTTGTTCATCTCCACCGGCAAATAAGCGCTCTGCAAAGACACACATCAAACAAAAACATTGCTGAGAGAAGAGTGCATGAATGTCCTACACTCGCATCTCTATGCTATTTCTTATCCTCACCAGGTCACTTGCCCGCTCAGAGAACATTGCAATTTCAGCATATAGATAAAGCCATTCGTTGTCTCGCAGATCCGACTCCTTCAACTGCATCATGTGGCACTAGTAGTTAAAGCGTGGGATCCATGTGCATGTTGCGAAACGGAGAGCAGATAAGTCAAAAGGTAACAGAACACCTAACCTCATAGTATTGTAGCTTATCACTGCCTGTAAGCGCATCTCCCTCTAACCACTGAGACATATCATCTTTATAAAACTCATCTACAGCATCTGCGTCCCATAGGCCAGTTTCTTCTCCAGTTCCTGTAACAATTTTAAAATGATTAGTCACGATTTAAAAGAAACAACATAACCATGAATGAAGTACACCTACACTCTTGCAATACAGATCGTACAAGCAAAGCCAACAACACATGAATCATTTTAATGATCCAGGGACTTGGAAACAAACAAGCAAAGCCAACAACTAATCTACAACTATGCCTGACAAAATGTGTTAAGACGCCATTACCTTTTATTCTGCACACTTCTATGAGCAATCTCAACTTCTCCTTGTTCCTCGTAGAAGCATCCCAGACAGAGGTTTGGAAAGTAACAAGTGAATCAGTGAACGGATCCATTGCCTCCAAAGTTATGTAGTACGCAACAATTGAATGGAAATCTGCGTTGGCTTTCTTTACAGTGATGAATTGTAAGTTCGTTCCCTACAAGAAAGAATGGAGGAGACACGTGAACAGTCATGAATTGTAAACAAGAAGAAATCTACAGAAGCCAAGAGATAGAGAGAGAGAGAGAGAGAGAGTTACCTTATCAAAGTTGTAGCAATGGAGTCCCACCTTGCTGAAGAGTATGGTGTCACGAGTAGATCCAAATGGTTTAAACTTTGCAAATGGAAAAGAGTCATGGTCGATATCGAATCCCTACGCAAATTCATACACATTCAATCAAAAATCATTGTGAATGTGAATATAAAACCTGATCACGACCCGGGACGCTAATTCTTCATCACAGATGTAAAGTAGCAAAATTTCCACCAAAATCAAGCGTTAAGAGGATTACCCCAGACTCGACAAGCTGTATTCGATACTTCTCCCTCTCCACCGGATCGATCTCGTCCTCGTCAGAATCTGTATATGGTTCAGGGTTATAGCTAACTATCGGTGCAGGCGGCGGAGCTTCCAGCTTCCGCTTACGTCGCGGAGGTTCGTCGAGCCACATCTTCGCCTCATCCAACATGACGTCGTACATCTTTCCGATTTCGTCAAAACCCTAAGGTGGTCGGAGACGAATTGAGAATTCTGATTTTCTTTTGTGATGGCAATCGGAGAACTTTCCCCGTTTTATTACCTTTTTCTTTTCTTTATTTTTCACCCCCTCTACTTTCGCCTCATCGTAAATACACCCCATTCCTTTCTAAATTGATAATTTTATATTCTCACAGTATTATTTTATTTGAACCTTCAGACTTATTTACCGTGCGAATTTAGTTAGGAAGCTAGATCCACCAAATCAAATTATTTTAACTGTGGTGGCCATAATTATTAACTCTTTTAGCTAATGTGAATAAACCAGAACCGGACATTCGGGTCAGGAACCGATATGAGTTTCGTTGAGGAAAAAAAAACAAAAAGAAATTCGAATTTTCTTGATGAAGAGCCACTGTGAGGGAAGAAGACAACTTGTAGGGTGATCGTATATGTTGTAGTATAATTCGTAATCCAATGAATTTATGAAACAACAAATGTGATGAAAAGACTAATGGTCCGTAATCCAATGTACAAGGAATTGGATCAATTATATATCTCTATTAGTTTTGGGATTGTTCAATCAGCTGCTCGAAAGAGACACAACAGAAAACAAAAAATGGCTATATCATTGATACTCATGATGTATAGTGAATTCGATTCTACAAGATTTGTGTGTGTGTGTGTGTGACGAATCTTCCAAGAAATCGTTCTTCTTCTTTCCTATATTGTACAAGAAGGCTACAAAAAGTGTTTGAATGTCTCTTCTCTGTTCAGTGTTTTGTGTTCTTCTTCTTATCTTGAAGCACTCTCTTTCCATCTATTAGACTTTGTTCTCAGATTTGGTTTCCAGAGTTGCTCAGGGTGAGACTTGTTACAGATGCAATCTGGTTGTGGGTTCGCGTAGAAATTCTCCTCAAGCCGAGGGAACTCACCGGAGAGTCTATCATAAGGCGCACCGATCCTGTCTCTGTGTAACCTCTTCACCTCTGAAGAAAACTCATCCCAAGACATCACTCCTTCGTCTAAATGATCTATCAGTCTAACAAAATTTAACCTGAACATTTCACAAGACGACATGATCATTTCAGTTGTAATAGCCATAATGCAATTTGCTATAAGGATGATTCAAACCAAACCTGTCTGGATTGATAGTTTTCTTAAACCCTTCAAATCTCCTGTGACCTTGCACAGCCTTAGCCATATTCCCATCGTACGTATACACGAAAACGTCGCTCTGGAGGGCTACGATGTAATCCAACGCAGCCAAGCGGTTCTGGTATGGCTTAAAGGGCTCTAACTCTTCTTCAGTCGTCAACATTGAGTGAGAGAAGACGTTTGGGTACTCTTCTCTGAAAGCATCCATGCTGTTTCCTCCGTAGATCTCACCGGCGACTATGTACACAGTCGTGGAAGAAGGATACCCCATGGCCTTTAGAAATATCGCCGCTTCACGGGGAGACATCGGACAACCGCCTTGGATCCGCCTCTCTCTGCTGTCAATCTCTTTCTCCTTCCAGTGTTTAACACCGTACCTCATGATCCTCAGCTCTTCAGCTTCTCCAGCTGTGAGGTTGTGGCTGCATCCTGTGAAGGCAAGCATGTCTTTCTCGTATCTGCATTCTCAAAATACACTCTCAGTTTTTTTAGAAACCGAACCAGTAAGGGATGCAAAAGGATAAATGTATCAAGACTATATTGTACCTCAAGTGCAGAGCAATGAAGGGTTCACTGTTGTTTCTTAACCGGTTAACCAAAACTTCACCAAAATCTTCAATCTCCTTGGAGTAACCTAACGCCTGGTAATTAGCACGGCATCTCAGCCGTTGGATTGATGGTGGCAAGCCATTGTTGGCCAAACGTGAATCGGTGTGTGTGAACTTGATCACTTTATGTTTTTTCAACAATGGGAGCATCTCGCTTCTGTAGTAACTAGCCTGCATTAAAAAGCTTACAACTTTTTTAAACTACAAGAACTTCTAAAAGGTCTGTTTGGGAATGGTACAAAGCACAGACCTTGGACCAAGAAACAGGAGCCTTGAGGAGAGGTCTCATGGCTGCATAACGAGGAGGCAAGTACTCGATAATGTCGACGTCATCTTTCAATACGTTCATGAAGTGTCTCCAGTCAAAGATATCTTTGAAAGTGCTGCAAATTTTACAAAACAAAGAATGTTTCTTCAGTATTTTCACTTCTTTTCTTTGAGGAAGAAAATTTTGTTTTTCTTGTTGTGCAGAGTACATACCTCGGGTCAGTCCAGAAAGATTCATGGTCGAGGAGAGGAAGAACAAGAGTCGCATTCATAATCTTTGCTGCAGCAACCATGTCACATATCTACAAATTTTGATTTTGGAATATCAACAAATAAAGAGTTCAAAAATAAAAAGTTAAAGTACTTGGAGATGAAATGAAACTCACCCCAGTTCTCATCTGATTCAATCCTCCATTCGCGTGTACTAGAAGATAACCGTTGGTTTTCCTACGCAGCCCTGAACCAGACACAACTTCAGAAAACCTGAAACTGTATTGTGTAAAGAATCTGAAAATGCGAAAGATAACACAGCTTACGTGAAGGGTTCTTGGGACGTGACGCACACTGGCGATAATTTCCGATTTCAGGTTTCTGCCATATCTCTGGAATCTGTAAAAAAAACAGTTAAAAACGTCGCTAAATCATCAGAAAATCTAGTCAAAGAGAATAATGATTTTGGCTTTCATACGTTACAGAAACAAGACTTTCTTATTGTAACTTAAACGAAGCTAAATCTTAGTCAAAAGTTCATAAATTGCAGTCATCTCAAACGATAAATGCATTGTTTGGAAGTTAAACGATTACAAAAAAAAAACATTGCAAAACCCCAAAAGAGTAAAACATTAAAGATCTTACCCTTTAAGTCGTCGTCTCCAACAAAGATATGTCACAAAGAGACAAAATCTCAGGTCTTTTCGAATGAATGTTCAATGATACGTCGGTTTCAATTAAAACAATAATAAGTAAAGGTCAACGGAAGCTATTGAAAGTGGTGAATCATCCTCACACCAAACAAAAGGCAAAAGGCTTCTCGAATCCATTTGACTATTCTTCGTCAAATTCATATAACGAATCGCGGAAAATGCAAAACGAATTTTGATTGGTAAAGCCACAATACGATTCGTTAATTTAATCTATCAGTGACGCAATCAAATAAGGATGTTCCAAGTATTCCACGCTGTATCCTACGACCTTTACCCCACTTAACAGAATTTTCCCGAGAGAATAATCTGTTAAAAATTCGATCTTTTTAAAAAAAAAAACAGAGGAAAAACTGGATTGTGTGTGGGTTTTGATCAGAAAGCTCTGAGCTTTGGTTGGTCAAATGACGAGAGTAATTGCAGATTTGAGGTGTTCATCGATCAGAAAAAAAAATCCTTAATTTTTCGTTTTTAATTTCTCGGGAAAGTAAAATTTTCAATGCAAAGAAAGAAAGAGAAAAAAAATTACTCACGGGAAGCTTCTCAAAAGCGACGTTCTCCGTCATTGCGCGTTGAGCCATGGACCAATCTTCGTGAAGCGTCCTAACGACGACGAGCTCGTTCAAATCCCTCCGGTGAGCGTGGTCAACGACTCGGCCACTCATGAGAGAGACTCTGAGGAAGAGAGAAGCGACGACGAGAACCATGAGGAGACCCAAGATCCGACGGCCAACGTTTCTCCCAGAGCAGAATCCTTGGCCCACCACAGCCGTCGATCCACCACCGTCGCATAGAAACGGCAATTTGAGTTTACGGAGGAGGAGGTACCGAATCGTGGGGTGATGGTGGTGGTAGTGATGATCGTGGTGGTAATGGGATCCGCTCGACGAGGAACCCATAGAGGAAGGTGAGGAACACGCGCCGTTTTGTCCAATGGCATCTCCGTCGTCTAAATCCGGCGAGACGGAGATGTTGACTATGTTGCAGTAATCGGAGGAAATCGAGGGTCGTTCTGAGGTGGTCTCAAGGGAATCCCCGACACGACGGCGTGTGGTGGTGGGTCCGGCAGTGATTGGTGCAACGGCCAAAGGGCTAACGCCGGCCGCCGACATATCGCCGCCTGAGAAGCAAAATCAATCTCGGAAAAGCGCCAAAGAATGTATATTTAGAGGGAGAGAGAGAAGAGAAAGAGTTGGTTTTTTTTTTTTGGTAATTTTGTTATGAGGGTTAGTGGTTTGCCATATTATGGGTTTTTTTTCTTTTTCCTTTCAGTATTAGCCACCGTGATATTCGGCGAAGCTGAGAGGCGTCGAAGCTCTCTCTAATCTCTGTTTCGCAATGTATATATACGCATCTTTATTGTTCTGTGTGTATTATGTTTGTATGTTCGTGTGGGCCTTTCGCCAATCATTTATTTTCGGTTAGTATTTATTTTTATTTATGGAAATACGAACATCTTGGTTTCTATAACAAAAAATTTATATACTGAAAGTTAAAACCCTTTCTATAAAAAAAAGTCTTATGTTTGGGTTTTCTCTTGTTTGTGTAAATTATACATTTAGATAATAATTATACATTTTACATAATTCGACAGTACTATTTGCCATTACCTCACTTAGCACGACACATGTGCCACGCCACACATACCGCTCGTTTCCCCTCGATTTTTCTTTATTTTTGTTTTTAATTATTTAGAAAATCAAATTCCAACTTAGTTGCTATCATTACCTGTTTAGAAAAGTATTTTCTTTTTTCTTTTTAGTGTTCATGTTTCAGCTATTTAGGTTAATTAGGAATTAAAAAAACGTTTAAACACTGAATTAATTTGTACTATCATGTGGACCAAACCTTAGATTTGCCGCCAATATAATTGGACACGTAACCCTCTCACCACATTCATCAACCTCCTCTCCGATGCTACCACGTGGATACATTCCAAACACTTTCCGGATCTCAAGCCGGTCGGCAAAAGCACCAGCGGGAAATTCGTTTTTCAGCATTTTATTGGTGCATTTATGGCCGTTGGATCCGAATCAGACGGCCGATACACGATCTCTCTCGATCCTACATGTGAACTTGTCATTTGCGTAAGTAAAGTACCATATCATTTGTACATTTTTCAGATCAAATATAAAAAAAAAACTGTGAAGACGGCAGAAGATAAAAGAGCACTGTTGCAAATCGATTTAGGTGTTTAGTGATGCCTCTCTCAGTTGTAAAATTTTATAATCAACGGTACAATAAAATAACTAATAACAGTTTGATGGTCTACGCGATAACGCAAAAGATAATTTTTGTCTTAATTTAATGTGAAATCTTTTGTGGATTATAAAACCAGTCATATAGAAACGGTAGAATTGTATTTCTTAACGCAAAATGCAATTACAAGAAGAAACCGTAGAAGACTTAATTTCCTATAAAAATCTATAGCTAGTTTATGTTAAGAATTGTTAATGTTGATACTTTGGTAATTTATTTAGTTATTTCTTGAAGAAAGGTAAGAGCTGTGGAGTATGAAACAATGTAAAGACTTAGACACGTTGTCTTCTTCTTCCGAAGAAAGAATTGAAACGGAGCGATAAGAACGTAGAAGTTACATGTGTGTAGCTTCAAATGATTTATTTGCAAAGAGATCTTGCGGGTATATAGAGGGCAAATAACAAAGACCTACGCAAGAGAAAACCGGTACGATGTGACTGAGAGATGATGCTTGCTCTAGTTCTTTGTACTAACCATACATCATTATCGTATAATTAAGATATGAGTGCAGAAGCTAAACCTTCACATGTTTGTGTTTTTATGAAAAAACCTAATCTAACTCTACTTAGCAGTTGGATTAGTGGACAGCTTGGAAAAAACTAACCAATACCCACCGTGTATCACTTTTTATGTTTTTAATAATTTGAACTTGTTATATTATGGCATTTAATCAAATATCTAACAGGAAGACTGATAAAGTTTTGAAGCTTCATTTTTGACAATGATTTGATCTTGTTCATTTGAGAATATAATCATAGATATAACCACTAAGAGATTGAAATTCGTTTACAACGACGACCATACTTACTAAAACTTAACATAGATACCAAATATTTTCTTAGTTAGATATTCTATAAGATTATTAATGTAATTATTTTCCAAATAACTCAACATATGCGAAGCCGTAGGCACACATTCGTTTTTTGTTAGATCCATTGAACTCATGATCAAGTGATTATCTACTGGCTTGTCGTCTTTTTCAGCTCTTTTGGATAAACATTTTGCCAAGTACTGTTTCACCTCTCTCAAATGTGGATGTATCATCAACATCAATAAATTTGGATGTATCATCAACATCTAGCATAAGCTTAAGTAGTCAAGAACCTCAAGTTAAGCTCCATAGATTAAAGTCTAATTTCTTGTCAATTTCTTGATTTCGTTTCTATGCTGGTTCCATGTTAAACGGAATACCTTCACATTCTTCTTAAAGTTAGGTCTTTTGGTGCATCTTCGTCTCTTCTTGCTTCAATCTATCAAAGACCAAGAGAAACATTGCGTCTTGATATCACTTGTGGAGTCGCAATCCAAATACCGTGTTCTTAAACTATGGGAAATTGGGTGTTTAGCCCACTTTGAAACATTCATATAAGGGGTAGGAAACAAACCGTATCTGGAAAAATCAAATCGAACAAACCATAACCAAACCGAACAGAATAAACCCAAAAAGTTACTTTTATGTCATAACACCAAAACGAAACAAAATCGTAAACCGGATTGGCAACACCTACATTAATATTAATTACTATGTCTAATTAGCATATCTGTATATGTACTACTCTCGGTTATCTTTTCAGGTTTTAAACAAGAGCACATGTCGGAATAGCCGAATAGGGTTGTGATTTTTGGGGAATTTTCAAGCAAAAGCATGAGATTAATTTAAGTATTTATTTTTGGTTAGTGACTAAATATATGTTACGAAAAGGTTAAAAACCTTAAAAATTAAGAATTTAATTACTATCACTTGTTTGACAAATAATAATAGGTAAGTAATTTTTTTAATTACAAAGTTAAATATATTATTTTATTTTGGCATTTTTAGATAGGGCAATCTCAAGGAAAAAAAAGATTTCTGAGACAAATTTTCGTTATTTAATTGGGAGAGAGAGAGGAAGGTTTAACTCAAAATATCCCAAAACCCTAACAAAAAGTTCCGTCTTCCTTCACTCTCAATTCCAAACACTGCGACGGGAAGACATGGACACGGAGATGGACCAAACCCACCAGGTCGATGTCGGAAATCTACTGGCTTTCAATCCAAATCACCGCTTCCCTTCTGCTCCTTCTTCAAGGTTCGTCTTCCTCTCCTTTCTCGTCTTATCTTCGTGTAGCTCGTGTTGAGCTCTTCGGCGGCGGCGGCTTGATTTTTGTTTCCCCCCTGTTTTATGATTGCCCTTTATCTTGATCTAATTGATTTGAGCTGGCTTTATGTTCTTATCTGTTGAAAACTTTTCGATTTGCTGAATCAAGACAAGTAAAGTACCCATTTTTCGTAAGAGTAATTGAAAACAAAAGCTTTTCTTATTTCGTTTGTCTGGGTCTCCAAAGTCTCGTAATATTCCTGTTGTTGCTTTCTGCTTATTAAAATTGAATATGGATTGGTGAAGCTAGCGAGACCAAGATAAACCTTTTTTTTTGTCATGTTGTCCTGTGTTTGATTGAGATTAGTTGTGTTTTAAGTGATGTAGTCTCTTTTAAACTACAAAAGCGAGATATGTCAGTGTATGTTAAGAGTTTTGGCAAACATACTTCACAGTCACAATCTTTTGTAACTAGGGAGCAATGTTGAGTTACTTGTTTCTGTTTGAGAGTTTGTTCTATATCTTTTGCTGATGACTCTTTCTCCATTTTACTTTGTAGGGATGAGCTTGTGCAAGAGTGCATTACGGAGGGAACAAAACTTGTTCAGGCAATAGCCGATGCTCTTTTTAACTTTCCTTCTACTGAAACTATTGATGGTCCCTTTGTCCAGTTGCCCCCGCCTACAACCAAACTTCCTAGAGAGAAACATGTAAGATCCTCTTTTTATTCTTCACTACCTAAAAAGACAGAACGGCAGATCTAGCATCTTACAAGGGTGTTCATATTTTGTATGCTAACCTTGTCCTTTTTTTTCACCAGCTTCCAAGGCCCAAGCCTCCTACAAAATGGGAAGAATTTGCTCTTAAGAAAGGTAAAGCTGATTGAAAACTAGTTTTAAGGATTGAATGCTAGACTTCGTTCAGATCTAATGGGTCAACGACGTCTTTGTTGTATAGTTTCAAGGAAATTAATGTTTATTTTGTTTGAAAATGTTTTTGGTTCTGTTTTCTTAGGTATACAGAAGCGCAAGAAGGACAAGATTGTATACGACGAGCAAACCGATCAGTTTAAGCGTCGCCATGGTTACGACCGTGTTAAGGATGATAACGATATTCCCATTATCGAGGCAAAGGAAACAGATGGTATGTCTTGTGAGAAAAAAGCTTTCCAGTACATAGATTATGTGGTTACTTTCATAATGGGGAATTGTTGATATTTAATCTCTTTTGAGTGTGAAGAATAGGACATGGAGTTGCATTACAAGTTTTATTTGATTCTTTTTCTACTACTTATGAAAGCTTTTGGGTGAATGCAGAACCAGGAGAAGATCCTTTTGCCAAGAGACTGGATGAGAAGAAGAAGAGAGTTGGGAAGCAAGAGAAGAACCGTCTGGAGAATTTGAAAACAGCTGCAAAAGCTGGTGCTTTACCTAGGTATAACAGCTTCTTTGATTGGTTTTTGCAAATGTTTCCCATAGCACACAAGATAGGATGATACCACATGGATCATGGTTTTTTTTGAGAACTGAAGATCCTGATGGGTTTCTGCAGCCATGTCCAACTTGCTGCAACCGCATTGCCCATATCAGGCACGAAATCTCAGCCAAAGAAAATCGGAAAGGAAGAGCTTGGAGACGTAGCAGGTTTAGCTGCTACTTCAACCGCTAGTGGTGGAAAGTTCGACAAGAAGCTGCCTGGAGAGAAACCTCTTAAGAATCTAGGCAAACACCACAAGGTACATTCATTCAGCCATCATTTCCTTGCATTAGTCAAAATCTGTCTACTGAGTAATAATAGTTTTTTTATAAAAAATTTGTGGGATTTTTTTTTGCAGTATTTACCGGTTGTATCAATGTCAAAGAAGAAGGTAAAAAAGGCCAAAAAGGAAGGTAAGGTGGTGATTGACGAGGAAAAAGAACAGACAAGTAACGTACTTGGCAAGATACTCTCCAAGCATTCGCATGAGATCCTCAATGTTGGCAAGGTAAAACCAAAGAATCTTCTCAGCTCTCTCCTCTTTGGCTTTTGTATATGAAATGATTTATGTTTTAATCCGTTGTGTTTAACTGTGATTCAGGCGATAAACATGTACAACGACAAGAAGGAGAAAAAGAAGTCAGGAAGAAAATCAGACAAATTGAAACCTAGGAAGGACATCACCAAGAAGAAGTCTGCCAACAAAGCCTAGTGATCAGAGTTTCCCGCCTTTGTCTTAATTACTTTCTCTGTCAGTTTCTCATAACTAAAAATTACAAAATTTTGTGTTTCATCTGCTCCATACTTTATATTTAAGCTGTAATCTTTTCTGAATTCATTGCACTATAAAACAATTTTAAAGCCAAGACCAAGATGTTCTAAAGCTCCCAATTTCTCCATCCAAATAAGTATTTTGGTCACGATATACATAAGAGTATATATATGCACTACACATTTATTGCTCAGTTTAACATGTGATCTCACTCAGTTTCATACATTTTAGTAGAGATGATGAAAGATCAACACTGATTTCTTTTTCAAACCTTTAACCACTCAAGACAAGGACACAAACCCCAGCAGAACCTTGCTGGGTAATAATCTTTCATGTAAATCTCTTTACCATAGCCGATGATGTAAAAGTTGAAGGCCTTCCCACGATCTTCCATGGTGACGCGTGTCACAGGCACAACAGATATGGTGTGCCTCTCGCAGACCACGTTCGCTGTCTGTGGAACTTCAGCTCGCAGAGAGATAACTTCGGAGGAGAACTTGTTGAGGAAATATGAGTCTGCAAAGTAAGCAGGCGTGCACTGGTAAGCTTGTGTGTTGCAGAGCTGAACTCCTTCTGCTCTGTGAAACACCTCTTCAGGTACCGAACCAGCTCCGCTTGTTGCACTCACCTTCCGCTTCGAAAGTGTCTTCCTGTGAAAAAACCACCAAAAACGAAAAACCAAATCTTGAAATTGCCACTTGAAGAAGACATTATTATATGATCTTAAATTTTTTAAAAAACTTACCATCTTACAACTGCGAGACTGCTTGTCAGAAGAGAACCAGTACCGACACAAGTCTGACATTTGATCAACCCGCGAGATTGGCAATTTGGGCAAGGAAGCTTTCCCTTACCGTTACAATCTCCACATCTGTGGAGAAGAGAAGGCTCAATGTAAACAGGAGCCACAGTTTTCAGATTGCAACCATGAAGTTGAGAGAGTTCTTGATATGAACTTACATTGTGTCGGATCCATCTTTGTGAGCAATCAAACCTCTTCCATAGCAAGAGGAACACTTCATCATCTGATTCTCCTTGTAAAACCCTGGCTCTCCATCAGCATTGCACGTTGGACACACTACTTCTCCTCTTCCTGTGCAGCCTGTGTAAACAATTATACCGAGCCTCATCAGTATCTCACAATATATTTTATTTAATTGTCCTTAACAGTAACTATGGACATAAACAATTGTTACCGGTGCACTTGTCAACAGTCTCAGAATGAGGAACAGGGACTTGAGTTTCTTTGTAAGGAACAAACAGAGTAGGAAACTGAGATCTCAGGTCCAATTGCCATAACTCCGGTGCAGATCCATGTTTCTTTGCGTTGAAACTCCCGCCGGTGAAAGGCACCGTCTGCGTCAAAGCTTCCCTCTCTTCAATGAAAGTGTCGAGAGTTCCGACATAAACATTGCAGTCTTCGACAGCACGAATCTTCCATGTGCGAGCAGGACGGCTTCCCCAACAGCAACGATGGCCGATGTGATCAATAAGCAGCTCTCTAATCTCAACCTCATCGAGGATCTGCCTTTGCAATTCTCCAGATGCACTCGGATAGCCAATAGCTTGCGCTGTGAAACGCCAAGAAGAAATCAGAATCTCGCGGAAAAATTGTTTGTTTGGTAGGATCAAAGTCAGAAGCAGCATGTATTCGATCACCTTAATTACAAGTAAAACTCAAAAACTCAAACATAGTTTCAGTTACGAATCGTGTCATCAATTGCAATTGAGAAGCGATCAATACAAGATCGGAGGCTTACGAGTGGGCAAAGAAACGGGGGTGGTTAGAACGGGAGGATAGAGAGCGGGGGGATCGGAAACAGCGGAAGCGGAGCGGACTTCCTCGACGGTGACGCCAGCTCCGGCGAAAGAAGCGTTGCGAGCAGAGGAGCTGTTTCTCTGCAGGTACTGGTATGAATCCCATCTCTCGGATTCCTTCGTTTTCTCTGATCCCAGAAGAGAATTATCAAACAAGAACACAAATTCCTGATTAACAGAGAAATTCAAAGGAGATGATATAATGAATACCTGAAAGCAGAGGCTTATCCATAGATTACGAAATCTCTCTGCCTCTCTCTCTCTCTCTCTCCCTCTCGACTCCTTGTGCTTCCCAATACCCGAAATTAGAGATTTTTCTTAGAGATTAAGAAAAACCCAGCTCAATTCCATCCAGCTTCTTTGATTACTCTTTCTTCTTCTTCCCCGCGTGGCATTTCATTACAGAACTTAAGTTTTCTTGTCGGGTCGGGTCCAGATAGGACCGGGTTCAATCAAGATTTCGGTTCGGTTTACTAAAATCAAGATATAGTTATTAGACAAAATAGCATCAGTGTGTAATAAGTTTACTTTTCTTCTCTTACCCTTTTCAGGAAGCTCATGTTCTCGTTTACTTTTCAAACCAACTCAACAAACATCCTAAACACATGGTGGTTTTGAAACAATTAACACTGATTAAATTAAAGTTAACAAAGACGCGTATCCTAAATTAAGGAAACCACCTATCATAATTACCATAGATAATTTGCATCAATGGTCACGGTCTACATGATCTCGTATATATTATTATACTATAATACGACTTATCTACTAAAATATGAACATAGTCCAACAATAATAACGCGGGTTTTAAATATGAACTGAAATTAAATGAGTTTGACAGAATGTTTGGTAAGCCAAACCCAAAAGAGCACTCTCACTACCGACATCCACTCGCGTCCACATTTGAATTTTCTTTCTTTCACCTTCCCCCACTCTCTCCCACTCACACGCCTTTGTTACATTCTCAATCTTTCATGGCGGATTCTCTCTCAATTTCACTCCCTCCTCCTTCTCGCGTGATTCTCCTCTAAGATCCGCAATCTATTTCTACTACTACTACTCTCTTCTTCTTCTTCTTCTCCCTTTGAGCTCTGATCCAAAACCATGGCCGCCTCAGTGCCATTTCAGTTTCTTCTTCTTCTCCTTCTTCTTCTTATCTCCAGAGCGTTTCACTCGTCTTCCGAGTATTTAATCGGCGTCGGAAGCTATGACATCACTGGTCCCGCCGCTGACGTCAACATGATGGGCTACGCAAACTCCGACCAAATCGCCTCCGGGATTCATTTCCGGCTACGAGCTCGGGCCTTCATCGTCGCTGAGCCCCAAGGGAATCGCGTCGCGTTTGTGAATCTCGACGCGTGTATGGCGTCTCAGATCGTTACAATCAAAGTCCTTGAGCGTCTCAAAGCAAGGTACACAAAATCTTCCAGAATCTTCGGATAGCTAGAATCTGACATTTTTAGATTTTGATCTTCAAGCAGAGTGTTAGTGGGCTTTGAATCGTTTCCAGAGATTAGAATCTCATAGGGCATACGGAATTCGAAAAACCAATCAAAGCGAAATCGACTCTGCTGAAAATAGATTGAGAATGTTAAGATAACTTTTAAAGTATTTTTTTTTTTTTTTCCTTGCAGATATGGTGATCTTTACACAGAGAAGAATGTGGCGATAAGTGGGATTCACACGCATGCTGGTCCAGGAGGATATCTTCAGTATGTCACATATATTGTGACGTCGCTTGGATTCGTTCGACAATCTTTTGACGTCCTCGTTGATGGCATTGAGCAAACCATTATCCAAGCTCACGAAAGCCTACGTCCTGGTTCCGTTTTCGTCAACAAAGGTAAACTAAAAGTGTAAAAAAATCCTCTCTTTGTCTTCTTTAATGTCGTTTTTCAGATCAAAGTTTCCTCCTTTGATTAAAACCACTTTGTGTCTGTGTGTGTGTGTGTGATAATTAGGGGATCTCTTGGATGCTGGTGTGAACAGAAGCCCTAGTTCGTATCTGAACAATCCTGCGGCTGAGAGGAGTAAGTATAAGTACAACGTGGACAAAGAAATGACGCTTCTCAAGTTTGTTGATTCTCAGTCTGGGCCTATCGGTAGCTTTAACTGGTTTGCGACTCATGGGACTTCCATGAGCAGGACCAACTCTCTGATAAGTGGTGACAACAAAGGCGCAGCGGCGCGTTTCATGGAGGACTGGTTTCAGAATGGTCAGAAGATTTCTTCAGATAGCTCAAGTAAAATCCCTCGGCGAGTATCGACCATTGTTTCTGATCTCAGCAGAAACCGTGAGTCAAAACCCTTTCCCTTTGAGTTACCTAATGTGGCAGCAAGACTGATGAGGATGAAAGTTTTATGCGTTGTTTTTTTTGCTTTTTTTTTTTCAGACAGTAGACTTTTGGATATCGCAGCGAGTTTTAAGTCATCTAGAGGACAGAATGTGGCGAAGACTCTTGATGCTAAAATCCGAGTGAGAAAGGCTTCGAAGCGTAAATTTGTCTCTGCCTTTTGTCAATCAAACTGTGGTGACGTGAGTCCAAATGTTCTTGGTACGTTTTGCATCGACACTGGACTGCCTTGTGATTTCAATCACAGTACCTGCAATGGAAAGAACGAGTTGTGCTATGGCCGTGGACCAGGGTATCTATATATATACTGCTTCATATGTGTGTCTTTGTCTATCTTTTGTATATTCTGATGGTTTGTTTTGTAGGTACCCTGATGAATTTGAGAGTACGCGTATCATTGGAGAGAAGCAATTCAAAATGGCAGTGCAGCTTTTTAACAAAGCTACAGAGAAGCTACAGGGGAAGATTGGTTACCAACATGCGTATATAGACTTCTCGAATCTTCAAGTCACAGTTCCTAAAGCAGGAGGTGGCTCTGAGACGGTGAAGACATGTCCCGCTGCAATGGGGTTTGGTTTCGCTGCTGGAACAACTGATGGTCCAGGTGCTTTTGATTTCAAACAAGGAGATGATAAGGTGAGTTATTTAACTATCCTCTTGTTCCTATTTCTTCTCTCTGAATCTTTCTTTCTCTAACATAAAGAATCTGCTTCGTTATTTTAAAAGGGTAATGACTTTTGGAGATTAGTGAGGAACGTGTTAAGAACACCTGGTCCGGAACAGGTCCAATGCCAAAAACCAAAACCCATTTTACTTGACACTGGTGAGATGAAGACACCATATGACTGGGCGGTGAGTGGCTCTATCCTCTGTTTCCTCACAAAACTGATTTCAAAGTATTTGAAATTGTACATACAGTTTATTGACGATTTGTTAATTTGTGTGAACCGGCCAGCCTTCGATTCTTCCGGTTCAGATATTTCGCATTGGTCAGTTAGTCATCCTCAGTGTCCCCGGAGGTAAATCAAAGATTTATAAACTCTTATTAGTCCATTAATGAAGCTAAAGAGCCTAAAATTAGGACTGGCTAAAACGCTAGTTACTGAATCTATAATTGGATACAGAGTTCACGACAATGGCTGGAAGGCGTCTCCGTGACGCTGTGAAGTCATTTCTCATCTCTTTGGACAGCAAAGAGTTTGGCAACAACCTACATGTCGTAATCGCAGGTCTCACCAACACGTATTCTCAGTACATCGCCACTTTCGAGGAGTACGAGGTTCAGAGATACGAGGTTTGTTAAACTTTTATCTTTTGTCTCGGCTTTATTTACAATTCATGCCGCTACGCTTAAAACCAGACTGCTTTTCTTTGCTTTTCAGGGAGCTTCAACGCTATACGGCCCACACACACTCACTGCCTATATCCAAGAATTCAAGAAACTAGCCACAGCTTTGGTCAACGGTCAAACGCTCCCACGTGGGCCCCAACCTCCCGACCTTCTTGCCAAACAGATCAGTTTGCTATCGCCTGTGGTCGTTGACTCCACTCCTCTGGGAGTCAGCTTCGGAGACGTCAAAGCCGACGTGCCTCCAAAGTCAACGTTCAGGAGAGGCCAGCAAGTCAACGCGACGTTTTGGTCGGGATGTCCCCGAAACGACCTGATGACGGAGGGATCTTTCGCTGTGGTGGAGACGTTGCGTGACGGAGGGAATTGGGTACCAGTTTACGACGACGATGACTTCAGTGTCAAGTTTAAGTGGTCGAGAGAGGAGAAGCTTAGCCCGGAGAGCCAAGCCACGGTGGAGTGGAGGATACCGGAATCTGCCGTGGACGGAGTTTACAGGATAAGACATTACGGTGCTTCTAAGTCGCTGTTTGGATCGATTACAAGCTTCTCTGGTTCTTCTAGCGCCTTTGTACTTGTATGACAAGTAACCAATCCCATTTAGCTGGATGGTGTATAATTTATGATATATAAAAAAAAGAGATGAAAAAAAGAGGAAAGTTTGAGCTCATTTTGTTACTTTAATAAATTGCAGAGTGATATTGTTACTATGAGAAACAGCGATTCACAGGTAAGGAAAAGCCATAAGGAGAAGAAGAGGTCACGTTCATGGCGGAAATGTTGCCAAGATACTACTCGCCCACGGAGAAGATACAATAACGGAATAACCCTAGGCTGCCGCTTGAGATATTTTTCAGTTTTAGGGATTTGGGAAAGAAAGAGGATCACGAAAAGTAAATCATCTTTTCGCGTGTATAACAAGTAACACACCACACGATTTGGGCCTTCTTTATGGTAGTATCATATAAAGATATGTTAGTTATTAAACATGTGAAAATTATAATTGGATGAAAAACCTTTTGAAATATTTTCAAAGCTTATCTTAAATTTTAATGAGCATTTTTTTTGTTGGTCGGTATATAAAACAACTTGGGGAGAAAGCAACTCCACTTTTTTTTTTATTTTTTTTTCCAAATCATTTGAATTACACACTCGCTCCTATAATTATTTTTTACACACACTATTTTGTGAGTTTAGTTACAATCAACAAAAAAAACTCCAAGCCGAGCAAATGATATCAAAAGCTAGGAGACCCCTTGGAAAGGCATTTTGAGGGTATCAAAAATAGCATTCTGTGAAAAAGTCTTTCTGAATCTCTCCAGCAATTCTCCTCCATCATTTGCCTGAGCCGCCGCATCAGCCGCTTCCTTGGCCATTCCAATACGAGCATAAGCCTGAGACGACGCCACAAAATCTCACAATTATAGGATTTGATAAATGATTGAATTCAAGAAAGTGTACATATATGTGATATACAGAGCTCAGACCTCGCCTCTTTCCACAAGATCTGACAGCTTGGGGATGTATTTTAGAGCTTCCGCTTTCTCATCTGCATCGATGCATGCCTCCACAAATGGTCGGAACCCTTGATATAATATAACAACGCCAAGTTAAAACGCCGAAACGAATATTGCCTTAGCCTCTCTCTAAGTCTTCAAGGCTGTAGAATATTACCTGTTGGTGGTCTCTTTTCCTTTGAAAACTTCTCCAGCGCGTCCCAGTCTTTGATTGTAGCCAGAGCAAATGCTTTAAGCCAATACCATCTTTTATCAGAAACCTGAAAAAAATTCAAAAGGTACTTACTGTTGTGAAGATGGCCTTCGCATGATGGTTATCGCACAAAACGGAGAAAGGGAAACAAAAAAAAACAAATTAGACCTTGAATTCTGACTTCACTTTTGTTGCAGCGCGATTATTACGCAGGACAATACATGTACGTATAGTATCATTGATGCTTGAATCAACAAAGATAGCCTGCTTCGTACTAGCTTCTAGCTCATGTTGTATCCTAAAAACAAACATTGACAATGAGATGAAGAAGAAAGTACAGAGAAAAGAAAGAGCATACAATCTATTACGTTACCTCAGGAGTTTTGCGTGCTCCTCAGCAGCCTTAGACTCGAAAGTGTGCTCCTTTGTTTGAATGAATAGTTTGTTTGCCTGCTCTATTAGTTTTATCCGCGGACCATGCAGCGGAGATCCTTTGCTAGCCATTGGGTTTTTCCCCATATCCCATGATTCTTTCCATAAAAGGAAACCAACCTCCTGAAACAACAAGCATTTTTTTTTATGGTCATCAACTTCAAAGCTTTTTAGAACTTAAGCTTCTGAACTAAGATAAATTAATCAAGTATAAACTTGATCATGATCACGTACATGAATCTGACCCGTAGATAAAAAGAAATCCTTGAGAAATTCATGTTTATGACACCTACATCAGGAAAATGTTTTCTAACACCGTTAGATGCTTACAAAATAACATTGATTGATTACAACAAATAATCAAGTATGGTAGATAGAAGAAGAAAGTTTTTTTTGCCTACCGTGCATACGCTACAAATAAATCACGTGCCAAAACTCTGCCTTGGATCATCGCAAAGAATTCCAAAGGAGGCCTCTGGTCAATCCCCAACAAACTCAAAAACCAGTTAGTTCTTGTTTGGTTGCACAACATACATATTTATAGTTTAAAAGTCATAACATCAGATATCAAAAACTAGTATACCTTTTGCCATATGTGAAATATAACCAAATAAACCAAGTCTGTGTCACCACTCTCAGTTGCTTTCACTAAAGCCGTGTCTTCCTCCCCAATGCTTAATAAAAGAGGAACCTGTAATTACAGGAAGTGATCATAAGACAAAGTTTTTACACAAGTTATTACCCCGAAAGCTTACTTTTGCATTAATGACCCGAACAGGATCTGAAAGAGACAAACCTGTTTCGTGGAGCGTGGTTCATGTTCAACTAGCATTGCAGCTAACTTTCGACGTCCACAATTATCAGCATGAGTGGCCACTGCAGCATAAGATATTCCTCTACATAGTTGGAGCTGAAATTCAATGTAACATTATTCCTTTTAAGTCCATGTGTCTCCTTCATCTCGATATATATAGCTTGCGCAGACTTATATAAACTAGAATTTGCACCTTATCAAGTAAAACCTCAAGAAGATGCGCATCTGGAGTTGATGGTGAAGCAGTTATTTTTGCACACGCCCAATGCATTATCACCACTTCCTATACGAGCACCAATAAATAGAAAATTCACAATCACCCTAAGGCCAGCTAGAAAACAGAAAGTGGAGATAGAAGGAGCGGGTTGCAGGTTAATATAAAATAACCTCAGACTTACTTTATTCATTCCTAAGTATTCAGATATCCGGAGAGCAAGAAGGTGGGAATGAGCATTAATTAGGCGACTAATCAAAACCATTGCTGTCAGTAACTGCAAGCCAAATAAATTTATTTCATGAGGAACGAGTAGCTGAAAGTGTTTCTTTGTCGAGAAAAATTATATGATATTGCAAAGACCTTGTACTGCTGAATGCTAAGAGGTATGCCAATATCAGGATCACGAACAGCATTTAGCACTCGTAAAGTTCTACAAGTCTCTTGGACACGGTCACGCTGAAAATTGCTGTCCGAGTTCACCGAGCGTTAGTCTCAGAAGACGGTTAGATTACTCAAAACTCAATTCTTTCAAGACTAACCTGCTGAAAGCTTGTCCATAACTTGCCGCTCGTAACAGAGCCCTCTGACGAGTTACATCAAATTCATGGCCAGCAGCATCAATACAGGATTCAACAGCCTCAGACAGCGATGAACGAATTAATCTCAAATTTTCATCTGCCTGACAGAAGAAGAGCAAATCAACTTTCACCCATTTTCTCAACTCATTCCATTTTTTTTCTGCAAGGAATATCACATCATAATGCACCTACCTTGGCACTTCGCCTGTCAAAATGATCCAAGGCATCGTATAGCAAAGCTGCAGGTGATGTGCTTCCAATCTTAAAGATTGACTCAGTAGAATCAGGTACTCTTTGCAGAAACTCAAGGCTCGTGTTAGACAATATCCTCACTCCATCGCATTCCGGGATAAGAATCACAGGCTCGTCATAGAAATAGTGGACCGGATCTCCTAAAGGACCCACCATCATTAAATCTTCATCCCAATAGAGCAGCACGCTATCCATTCCACACCAAGCCATTTGCTGCGGAGGAAGCGCTGACTACAAAAGTATGTGATCAAAGACGCAGTTAAGGCACCTATGAGAAAGAACAAAGCATATCAAGAGGCAATGATGCATACATACCTCACAACTGTAATCAATAGCAATTTTTTTCGTTTCCATGCCAACAACAACAACCCGGCCATCATGAGTGAATAGCGTCAGGAATTTTCCATTAGGTGATACAATCATCTTCTGCACAGGTCCAATCAAATTCCCGTAATCAGCATCATTCTGCAACTCAGAGTCTTCGACGCTAGGCTCATCGAACCTAATAGTCTGTGCCTCGTCCTCATCCACAACGAAAATCTCATCGCCGACTGCTACGAGCACCTCAACATTCCCTGACATGGTGTACTGAGGCTCCCTCACAGCCAAGCAAGTCGGCTGAAGCATGTCGTCTTCTGTTAACCCCGGCACATCAGCCAGCTTATAAGGCTTCATCGTCTTGAAATCCGAAATACAGAACAACTGCCCTCCTTCCGTCAAGCAGACGACACCGTTTCCCCAAAAGACACACTCCACCACATTCTGCTCAAAGCACTCTTTCCCCATCGTCATATTGGGCTCGATGAGCTCCGCGTGGATGTTGTAGCGATAAATGGTGCCGTCTTGGACAATGCAGATGAGTGTCTGATCATCGGACCAGGACATCCCGATGAGTCGTCCTCCAGGGTGCTTCCACACGGTCTCGGAGAGGAGTACACCTGCTGAGTTAAAGATGCGGAGCTTTCTCAGAGCAGATTCAGCATATAGCTGGACAATCTTGGAGTCATCTCGAATGACTGCGATTGGACCACCAAAGGAGGCACAAGCCACCTTGTTTCGACTCAAATCTACATGTTTCCATCTCATTTGGTAAATCTCAGGCTTCCTGTAGTATCGATTGTAGAGAAGCTGCCACTCTGCAGCAACAGACACGTTCGCCATCTTGCTTCTTCAGGACCTGCGTTGCTGATTTGGTTATGGCACAATCAATTGAAATATGGATGTGCATAGAGAGACACTACACAGTGATTCATCGTCAATACAAGTGCACTTTGCAATGAATAGCTTAAACTTTTGGATTACAAAAAAGAGAAACCCCTTTGCACACAAAATCACATCTGATCATGTCAAATCGCAAATTCAGCACACTCAAACTGTGCCCAGCCGAAATGAAGGATCGAGACAAGAAATTTCAGCTCTCATTCTAATACTTTGACAATTCTATGAAGATGAAGGTTTTTTTATCAATCTCTTAGCTAAATCTACTTTGAGATCGACACAAACAATTGGTAAAGGAATCTCCGTTGCATTATTATCAATAAGAAAACTTACTTTCAGAAACGCAATCGACGATTGATCTTGGAGAAGAATCGAGAGGAATTTTTCATCGACTAGACGACGGAGTTTGAGGAAGAGAGAGATCGGAGGTAGGAGACGAACATCAAACATGCCACGATCCTACCGTATTTTCTTCAGATTAAAATTAGTTTTCTTTTTTTTTTCTTATAAAAAAACAATAAATTGTCCTACATAATAAATTGGTTTAGTTATCACTTATCAGGCGTTTAAATGAATCTGTTCGGTTCGGTATGGGAAATTTGGTATTCGGTTTATCCGGTTATATAAACAAGGAATAAAGAAGTGGCTACCTAAGAAAGAGGATTTGAGAGATAAAGCTTAAGAAGTTCTTCTCAGTAACATAAACTCATGGACATGAGCTAAAAAAAGGAAAACCAATTTATGCAGACAATTTTCTCGGTTCATTACATGTTGTAAACAAACTTGTAATGAGGTAAAAAGAAGAATATTAGAGGTCTATCGAAGCAAATCATAATGGTTTGTACCACTGTAAAGAAGCCTAACAACATTCTTGTTCTTGTTCCCTTTTCCCCAGCCTCCTCGAAACTCTCCTCCATACTCTGCAATCGGAATAAAACCCGACCCATACCCTCCTCCTCTCCCATGATGCTGCACATGATATAAAAATCAAAAGGACTGATTTGCTATAACACAAGAGACAACACACCAATTCTTGTCTATTTAAGACTCATATGTTTACCTCATGCTCTGGTATGTAGACGATGATTGGCTGTTTACATAGCTTTGAAAGAACCTGATGAAAGCAAAAACCATGACTTTTGTTTAGATCGTTTATCTGTGAATATCAGAATGTTTGAAATACAGAGGAACAGCTACTCACTAATAACTCGGACTCTCCTCCCCAGAAATCGTGTCTTCCTATCCGCTGACAATAGCTGAAGAAAACTTGTTTACATGATAATATCAATTATGGAAAAGAGAGATGGTTACTTATGACTCACTCACCGTTTCAGAGACTCGTCTACTGTGATTGCCACTAAAGCTTCTTTGTATTTGTCCCTTTCCTTGGGGTCATTGCATATAACCTCTTTCACAGCCATACGTAACTCATCTGTTTGAAGAAGTGCAAGTTTTTTTTCACGACGTAGAAACATATAATGAACAAGAGAATTGTAAAAACAATCAAACGAACAAGGTTTCTCAACTTCTCATCAATCGATAAACCAGAGAAGAGAACCCACAACACCTAAAGGTCAACAGACTGAAAAAACTCCATTTTTAATTCAAAAAATCTCAGCATATTTTTCAGAAACACTCTAATAAACATGAAAGATTCAAAAACAAGGCTATGATGGGAATATATAGTCACCTGCATCATCTCTCTCTCTTCTGGGGTTGAGAGTAAGACCCTTGTTAAAGGCCATTCCTTTCACCTAACATTGAACAAGAACTTACATCATTTCTTCAGGAACCCATCAAGAAACAATCAACGAATCACATCCAAATAGAACAGAGCCAGAAATGAACAATACCAATGCTCTAAACAGACAACGACCATCCCCAGTAACTCTATCCACAGCGTACTGCTCAACCTTCTTCGCTGCCGGAGACCGATTCCTGGAGATTGAGGAACAGCACAGTTCAAAAGTCAAAATCCTGCAGATTTAGGGTAAATACTCGATTTTTATTAAATGGAGGAGCTAAGAGGTGAAAACGGAAAACCCACATCGAGGAACCGATTCTGGCGAAGAATACATAGCTATTCCCCTGCGTGGCGCCTAAGAACGAAGCGGGGAGTGAAGCGGAGGAGACTGAATCTGAAACAGAAGGAGTAAGGGAGGAAACAAGCTCAAACTGAGCGAACCCATGTCTCAGCTGCTCAAGAATGTTATCTGCGCCAGAGAAAGCATTGATGATGTAGTTCCGATTAAACGAGAACAAAGCAAAAGAGGTGCAGAGAAATGAAGTAATTACTGTTGGAAGGTTTGAGCTCCATGGAAATGGAATCTCTTGCACAGGATAAGGCAATTTCGAATTTTTGACTCTCCCAAAAATACAGAAGATGCCCAAGAGTGAAGAGTGTATGTAGGTGCTATGTAAGTTTCAGTATAAGATGTTTGGCTATCTCTGGATTAACACAATTCCGTTGTAGTCTAGCTGGTCAGGATACTCGGCTCTCACCCGAGAGACCCGGGTTCGAGTCCCGGCAACGGAGTTTATGTTTTTTTTGCATTTTCCTACAGTTCATTCGGAAATTTTACTATATTTGTTATTTGCGAAAAGGATAGTCCAATAAACGTCACCGGCAAATAACCTAACCCCCCAACCAATCCACCGCAACATATCCAGTCCACATCTATTTTTTAAAATGCTGAGAAAAAGAAGTGATAAATATTATATAATCTCACACGGGCGAGGCAGCACGTGCACATGTGCGAGAGAGAGAGCAAAGGGCTAAACTTTTATGGTTTAACGACCAACCGGAAAATTCTGGCAATTGGCAAATAATCCATAGCTGTTTTTCCCCCAAATCTGCATAAGAAATATCGAAACACTTCCACACAACAAAATCCACGCGCTCTCTCACGCTCACACACTCGCATACACTTGTTTCCTCATTTCAAAAACCAACCACTCTCTTAATCGAATCGACGACGACGATCTCCTCGATGCTCTCTCTACCATCCTCATTCATTCCCTTCTGAAACAGCACCGTCTTCGTCTTTGGATCTCTTGTTTCTGTCCTTTGTGTTTTGAGGTGAGTTTTTCTTGGGATTTTCATTACTTGAGCTGGGTTTTTGTCTTTTGTTGGTAAAGTTGAGACATTTGGTTTTGAGATTTGGTTGCTTGTTTATGAGAGAGAAAATGGGGGCAGTGGAACGAATCTGCCCATTTCCATGATTCAATTTGATCTTTCGTGGATTCAATCGTGAATTAGTGATCGGTTTATTGCACGACGAGCATAAATCTGATTGCTTTTGATCTTTTACTGACTTTGTCTTTTGGTTTTTGTCAATGTCGGATATGTTCAATTAGAGGATTAAGATCTGTGTGGAGTGGATCCATTCAAGTAATTGAAGAAATCAAACCTCAGCTATTTGAGCAAAAACAAAAAAAAATGGCTTCGATATATCATTCCTCCATAGCATTGGGTGGAGCTTCAGCCTCTGCTTCGGATTACTTGCGTAGTTCGAGCAATGGTGTTAGTGGGGTTTCATTGAAAACCCTGGGAAGATCAATGGTTACAACCACCAGAAAGAAGGACCTGTATGTGACATCTCGGCTCAAGAAAGGTAAGAAGTTTGATCACCCATGGCCCGCGAATCCTGACCCGAATGTGAAAGGAGGAGTCTTGTCTTACCTCTCCACTTTCAAACCTTTGGGGGACACACAAAAGCCCGTCACGTTGGATTTCGAGAAGCCACTTGTTGAATTGGAGAAGAAGATCGTCGATGTACGGACGAAGATACTACTCATTGTGCTTGCATCTTCGTTTGGTTTCCCCGTTGGTGTGTGTGGTTTCTCTTAAACCTTGGTCCTTTTTGTGATGCAGGTGAGGAAGATGGCGAATGAAACCGGTTTGGACTTTACTGAACAGATTATCACCTTGGAAACCAAGTATAGACAGGTAAATATGCAAAGTATATAGGTTGGTTCTCAATTTATATGGTTGCTATCACTGACCCCGTCATTTTTATCTCAGGCACTAAAAGATCTTTACACGCATCTCACTCCGATACAACGTGTGAACATTGCACGTCATCCCAACCGTCCTACCTTCCTTGACCATATACATAACATCACTGACAAGGTCTTGTCTCTCATTACTATGGTCTTCTTGTCATACATTGGGAATAATCTTTGTTCTTTTTAAAAAAAAAAATCTTGGGACTCTCTGCTCTTGTTTCAGTTTATGGAGCTTCATGGAGACCGAGCGGGGTATGATGACCCTGCGATTGTGACCGGTATTGGAACTATAGACGGAAAACGATATATGTTCATTGGTCACCAGAAAGGTAGAAACACCAAAGAAAATATAATGCGTAACTTTGGGATGCCTACTCCTCATGGGTATGTTTTGCTCTAGGAACTTACTGGTTTATATAGTTTAAATATAATTATTTCAGAGTCAACAACAACACTCTCATCAAATTTTCTGTAATGCCCAACAACAGTTACAGGAAGGCACTACGGATGATGTATTACGCAGACCATCACGGTTTTCCCATTGTGACATTCATTGACACTCCTGGAGCCTATGCAGACCTTAAATCTGAGGAACTTGGACAGGTACAGGGAAAATGTCTTTTTTATGTTTGAAGTGTACTGGTGTGTGTCCTGCAGCACATGATGTTTTGCTTATCTGTGTAATAGGGTGAAGCGATTGCCAACAATCTGAGGACAATGTTCGGCCTGAAAGTGCCGATTCTCTCTATTGTCATTGGGGAAGGTGGTTCTGGTGGTGCCTTGGCCATTGGCTGTGCTAATAAAATGTTGATGCTCGAAAACGCAGTTTTCTATGTTGCCAGGTAAAAAATTTCCCCTAATGTAGATAACATAATTTGATTTTTTTTTTACAGATTGATTTATTCTGTCTGTTGTTCTGCATTCTCAGTCCAGAGGCCTGTGCAGCGATCTTGTGGAAGACTTCCAAGGCTGCTCCTGAGGTCTGTACACTGTTCTTCTACTCATTTTATTAAGTGGTCTTGTAGCATGTGTTGTTACAATTGAATGAAACTTCTTGTACACAGGCTGCTGAAAAGCTTAGAATTACCTCCAAGGAGCTGGTCAAGCTTAATGTTGCCGATGGAATCATACCTGTAACTGATCCTACCTCTAATCTATTTGTCTTTTTCTCTTGCGCCTCTTTTGTTGATGTGGATCAGCGACTTACTCTCTTGCATATTGTACAGGAACCACTTGGTGGCGCCCATGCTGATCCTTCATGGACGTCGCAGCAGATAAAGATTGCCATCAATGAAAACATGAATGTACGCATAGTTCTATTTGCCTCAAAGCTGAATGTCGATCAGAAAATATGTCTTAACTTTTGTTTTCGGTTGTTTTTTCAGGAATTCGGGAAAATGAATGGGGAGGAGCTGCTGAAGCACAGGGCTGCTAAGTACCGAAAGATTGGAGTGTTCATTGAGGATGTTCCAATAGAGCCGGAGAGGAAAATCAACATGAAGAAGAGGGACGCTGTGGTCTCCACTAGCCGGAAGCTGGAGGGGGAGGTTGAGAAGCTAAGGGAGCAGATTCTGAAAGCCAAGGAGACTTCTTCTTCAGAGGACGAGCCTTCGACTGAAGTTCTTAATGAGATGATTGAGAGACTTAAATCCGAGATCGATGATGAGTACACTGAAGCTGCAAAGGCAGTGGGTTTGGAGGAGAGACTGACGGCAATGCGTGAAGAGTTCTCGAAAGCGAGCTCAGAGGAGCATCTTATGCACCCGGTTCTGATCGAGAAAATCGAGAAGCTCAAGGAAGAGTTCAACACCCGTTTGAGTGACGCGCCTAATTACGAGAGCCTAAAGTCTAAGCTGGACATGCTGAGGGACTTTTCCAGAGCCAAGGCAGCATCAGAAGCTGCTACAGTGAAGAAGGAGATCGATAAGCGGTTTCAGGAAGCCGTGGACCGCCCTGAGATCAGAGAAAAGGTTGAGGCAATCAGAGCCGAGGTTGCAAGCTCAGGGGCATCATCTTTTGACGAGTTAAGTGATGAACTGAAAGAAAAAGTTCTGAAAACGAAAGGCGAGGTCGAAGCAGAGATGGCTGGTGTGTTGAAATCAATGGGTCTCGAGCTGGAGGCTGTGAAACCGAATCTGAAGGATGTGGCTGAGCAGGTCTTTGTTCCAAACCAAAACATTCAAGAAAAGCTTCAAAAGCTGAACCAAGAAATCACAGAGAAGATTGAGGAGGTGGTGGGGACACCAGAGATCAAGAGCATGGTCGAGTTACTGAAAGTGGAGAGCGCAAAGGCTAGCCAGACGCCAGGTGACACCGAAGCTAGTCAGAAGATCGAGAAGCTTGAGCAGCAGATCAAGCAGAAGATCGCAGATGCTCTGAGCAAGTCAGGACTGCAGGAAAAACAAGAAGAGCTCGAGAAGGAGATCGCAGCTGCACGTGAAGCAGCTGCAGTGGGAGCAGACGAGAGTGTGAAGGAAGATGATGACGACGAAGGTAGTTCAGGATCCGGTAAACCAGAGATAATAAACCCCAGCTTCGCCTGAAGCACAAACCAAGACATTGTCTGTAAGTAAATAATCTGATCAAGCATCATCTCTTTTAAGTCATGCACAGGAGCAAACCAATTGCTAAACTAACGCAAAGACAAAACTCGCAGGATCTTGAAGCTCTTTCGATTTTCAGGCTTTTCTTAGAACCGTCCGTGATCTGAGCAATAGCAAAGAGAAACACAAAAGTCTAGTGGAGGAACAGCGAACTTAAAAGCTTGCTTTCTTTAGTTTTAGCTTCTGGAACATGATTTTCTGGATTGGATCAAGCATTTGCAGTGAGTTACTTTTGTCTTTGGATTCATTTCTGTATTGTTATATGTCTTGTTTCGTTAGAACACTAGTTTTATCTTTTGAGTCTCACATGACATACGTAGCACTTTTCCACTCTTCTGCTCAAACCTTTGATATATTTATAGATTTGTCTAAATGATACACAGTTTTGCCCTTTTGGAACTAAACCGGTTTCTGAATTTTGAAGAACTAGTTTTGTAACAAAATGGGACATAAAGTGTTTTGGTTTTCTACATTCTCAGTACACAAAAGGAATAACAGCTTTCCGAGTCTTGGGATACTCATCCTTGAACTTGTCAGTGTACCATCTGTGGCTCGCACGTGCGCGCGGGATCAAGTTGGAACACGTGTAGAGGAAAAACCCAATACCGGCCCAAGACCAAGTCATTACAGCCCAGCCCAACCACTCAGCCACCTCACCGAAGTAATTCGGGCAGCTAACTAGCTCGAACCAGCCTCCCCTCGGTATCGCATAACCTCCCCGGTTCTCTTTCTTCAGTCGTACCAGAGTCCGGTCCGACGTGATATTAATCCACATTCCGGCTATGAAAACCACCATACCAATAATTAACCGCCACCAGAACCACTGTCCGTCTTCGTAGTCGTTCTTGTAATGAGAAACCCATCTCACCTGTTTGAAAACCCAACCAGACATGAAAAACAAACCAAACCAAAATTTGTGAAGCTCTGAATCGAGAGCCTAGACTTTAATCCGGTTCAGAATGAAATGTTCCGGTTTAGTTTGAATCTGCATCTTCTCAGACTGATAACCGTGTACTAGCAGTAGCAATATAGAACCAAACCGAAATCAGGCAGAGCCTAACCTGGATATAGGCGTTGAGCAGATTAAAGGTAACAGCCATGGCGGCGATGCTGACCGGAAAGCTGTTTTTAGCAGAAGAGGAGGAGGAGCTGCGGTGGAGGCGAAGAGGGTAAATGATGGTGCGGTGGAAGTAATGGAGGAGATAAGGGGAGAAGAGGAGGAGAGATTTAGGATTGAGAGAGTGACGGCCAAAGGGGAAGAGGAGGAGCGTGAGCCACAAGGTCGGGCTCTCCATGAGAAACCAAGCGATCGGCGGATATAAGGTGGGGCCCCATCCGGTACGGTTGTGTTTGCCGTAGGGAGCTTGGAGGAACTTAAGAGCGACGGCGGTCGGTGGGCCGGAGAATATTAGGGTCAGGAGGCAATAGCGGAAGAAGGTCTGATCGTCGATCTCTTCCATTTTGTGGATTCTCTGAAGTAAAAGAATTTGAGGAAAGATCAGATCTCGGAGGGGATACAGTTAAAATACAGGTTTCGTCATTGATGCTACTACAGCTCAGCTTGTGGATTTTAACTGAACAATATTTTTGATTTTTAATTGGATTTTTTACCCTTTTTTTTTCTTTCTTTGGGTCAGTCAATATTGGATATTTTACTCTAATTCTTGTTTTAAGAAACGTGGTTTTACACAAATTCATGTCGTGAATCCGTATGTGTCGGACAAAATTGTTGTCGAGCGTTCGAATTAGATATGTCCATAGTGACCGAAATAATTTAAAATTTGAAAATTTAAACTCACCTAATGATAATGTAACAGTTATAACAATTTCAGTTAAATTTTTGTGACTAAATCTCTAACTCTATATTTGTCAATAGGAATATGAATATATCCTTACAGTTACAACCCCTTGTGAGTTTCCTTCTTTTACCAAATCACAAGCTAATCATGTTGTTTGTTGTTGTTCTTTCTTTCGAGGATATTCTTTTTGAAAGTGATCATTAGAATCACAATCATCATGTACTTCTTTTTCTTTGTTCCATCTTGTTTTAGTTCTTCTCGGGCTTATATTTTAAAAAGGTATATTCATCTTCATAAATATCTTAACATCTAGAATTCTTCCAACTTTAGGGTCTTCTTTTATGTACACCTTTGCTTCATTTAATCTGGTTTAGCTCAAACACCTCTTGAATCGCTCCAATCACTAGACCGAAATCATATCAAATCAGTAGCTAGCACGTATATATATTTACATAATTGATTTTACATGATTTTGTATGAGCAAAGAAGCCAAGTTTTACTATTATCCATCCAATGCGACTAGTATAAAAAATCATGTGATTAGTTATGTAGTTAAGGAGTAATAGTTACTTATGATTGCATCTACTTTTGAATTTAAATCACAGGAAAACAAAAATCTATTCTAACTTCCGAAAAAGAAAAAAGAAAAGTCATTTGTACGTTTTGAGTAGTATTTATCTGCTATCATATCCAAAGCTTTGAAGGAAAGCCTTTTGGATCTAAAAGACTCGTTCTCCGGTGGCAAAGAGGAGCCAAAACACGGTCGTTGCAAAGTAAAGACACGCCGTTACCGTCAAGAACGCCTGAAACGAGCCGAGCCACTGCACGAAATAGCCCGTCCCTATTGTACTTACGATCGCAGCCAACGTACCCGCACAATTCGAAACACCTATACACAGAACCCTAACTTTTTCAGCAAGAAACAATATCGAGGCCTTAAAAAAAAAAAAAAAAAAACCACATAGAAACATTTACCATGCAAAAAACCAGCATATTGTGGTGCTATGTCCTGTTTTTTTCGCAAAGAAAAAACCAACGATGTTGTGAGATTCAAGATTATCCTAAACGGGTTTAGGTTATTAATCAATCAAAGGTATAAGAGTTATATAATTAACGTACTTGCATATTGAGGAGAAACCCAGCTTGGCTAAAGGAACTCAAGCTCAATGCAATGGTCATTAAAACCGCTGCGCAAGAAGGCGACTTTGCGTAGTTGAGGCAGAGCAGAGACAACCCCGGACCAATAAATCCGATAGACTGACAATAAAAAGCAGGAACTCTCCGTTAGAAATGTGAGAAACTTAATCGTTATATTGCACTTTTTAGTAATCACACCTGCATGATCTTTCGGACTGAGGTTACAGAGTGACCAGTTCTGATCAACAAGTCCGATGCTGAGCCGGCAAAGTAACCTGAGACCGCCATTGTCGCCCATGGAAGAGCGCTGAACCAAGCCGCTTGCCTCAAATTCACATTAAACACCTGTGATCGGACAAGACATCGATATTAAACATCATCTCTTCAGTTCATAATCTGAAATAAAAAAAACCATGAGATGTTCCTCTCTACTAAATTACCGTCTGGAAGTAAACAGGCATCCATGAGAGAAGAACAAAGTATCCCTGTGAACAACTAACCAAAACCGTCTGAGTTTATGATGATGGATCTAAAACAAAGATACTATCAAACTCAAACTCAAACTCACCCAGTTGTTAGTCACATTAGCGAAAATGATGGCCCAAGTAGGCAATTTCGACAAAAGAAGTCGCAAAGACGGGTTAGGTTTTGCCGTATTGGCTTGCGTCTGAACTGGTTTTCCAGCCTGGATCAGCCTAAGCTCCGACCTAGGGATGTGAGGACTGTCCTGAGGGTTGTTTGTAACGCCGCTTGACCAAGTGGACACCCACAATAGACCTAAGGATGCGAAAAGAATGAACGGACCAGAGATTCCTAGAGAAGATAGCATGAGCGGCGTCAACAAAAGTCCCACGACATTTCCCATGTGAAACCCGGCCATCGATATTCCAACCGCACTCGCACGTTCATCCGTTGGAAACCACCTGACCACAACACACACGCACATAAATAACTTGTATGAAAAGTAAAAACATTTTTATTTTTTTGTTCTGAAAGTAAATCAACCTCGAGAGAAGGGTAGTCATGGAGGGCAATGCAACGCCTTCAGCGAGACCAAAGAAGGCACGGACACACAATAAGGCTAAGGTTGAGTGTGAAGCTGCCCAAGGAGTTAGTAGAGTGGCTAATGACCACAATGCAACCCCCCAAGCCAATACCCGTTTTCCTCCATACCGATCCACTAGTGCCCCTCCGATTACCGATGAGAATATGTAACCCCATAGGAAAGAGGACTGCAAGGTTTAAATCACTTTCAATCCATATTTTTTTATTAAAGAACAAAAAGTAGCTAGAAGAAATCAATCGACTACTCGCTCTATTGGCTGAGATCATTGATGAGTTTTATCCACATTTTAATTAGCTAGAAAATTCCGGGTTTTTTTTACAGTATTTAAGAATCGGGTTTTTAGCTTTGAAGCCAAATAAAAACTCAAAAGAAAATGGAAAATAACATGACCTAAACAATAAACGATTTGGTAAGAAATTTCAGTTTCACATAAAGTCAAGCCTTCTCCACGCTTTGCCGCTAAAACTAACGCACCTACTCTTTTCTCAACAACCACTCCCCCTCTTTTTAAAAATATATCAATAATTTTTATTTCTTGAATGCAACCATTTCACATTCTTTAATCACCCGATACTATTACAATGGTTTGAACTTTCGTAGTGTTTTGCAGTATAAACTCCATCCCTTTCTAAAATATACGACGTTTTAAAAAATCTTTTGTTATATATTGCAACTTATTTTCTAACATGTGTGAAATGCCAAAATGGAGGGAGTGTCTAATTTACGGAAATTCCTAAAGGTTAAAACCTCGCAGTAAATGTGTTTGGCTATTTATCGGGAAACCAAATCTAGAAATCTTCATTTTCTTGTAAAGTTGTTAATCCCTCACCGATTCGCGGATCAAGAATGTAATTAGGGGAGTTAATGAAATATTTGACCAAAAAGATTAGGAGATTAGCAAAAATACCTGAACTACCCCTAGAAAAGAACTCGACCAGCCAAGCTTCTCGGCGAGTGGAACCACCGCGACGGACATTACAACTCGGTCGGCGTTACATAGACACATCATGCAAGCCGTCAATATCACCACTTTCATCCTCTCCGGAATCATCGTCCCCACCTCCGTTATCGCATCCGTCTCTCCTCCTCCGAACAGTGTTCCCTCCGCCGCGCATCTTTCCGGCGAATGATTTCTTTTCCTCGCCGCCACCACCACAGCCGTCTCACCTCTTCTTTTCCCATCGCTTTCCGACGAGTTACGTAGATTCTCACATCGAATCCGGTTATGTCCGAAACCGAACCCGAAACCTAGAAAGACTTTCCGGGTTGCGATCGGCTTCCGGCGAAATCTCAAGAAGCTTGGAGAATGTTGCAGAGATATCACCGATGCCATTAATGATTAATATTCAGAGACTACTAACTTATTCACGCCAAGACTGACGTGAATGTTTGGGATTGGTTAGAATAACGATAGAGAAGGAGAGGGAGAGTGCGAATCCGCCATGAAAGAAGCGTTTGAAAGTCTTGTGCTTGGTGAGTTGGTGGTGTTTGGTGGTGAAGGGTATTTTTGTCAATATGTAAAATATTTTCTGCTGCGTCCTACGTGGAGACACGTGATGTGTTTATATGACAAAGTGACTCCACCACGTCAACAACGCCCACCCACAACGAGACAACTGGTTACCGGAGCTCCCGGTAATATGACCAATTCTAGTAATATTTGCAATTTATATTTATAAATATATTTTTTCAACCAACCATTTCGATTTTTTTTAAATTGTCAGAGATGGAGCTATTATAATAGAACAGCCCACCAAATCGCATACAATCGTTGTATAAATGTAAAGATGAAGATGATGTGGACTTAAAAGGGCTTATAAGTCAATTAGTTTGGGCCAATATTCTATTAACAAGGCCCAAATACTAAAGTTGGGTTGTATCAGGTTTTGAAAATGATTCAGAAATTCGGGAAAAGAGGGACGGAAAATGGATCGAAGATGGGCCCAAAAGAGGGACACGTGTGGTAAGGGAGAAAAAGTAGCCGGTTTCACACGAGTCCGGTTAAGTCTATACTCGTGACTCACCGACGACGGGACTGCTCTTCAATACTTCATCACTCTTCCCCGTGCGCCGTCGGTGCTATCCCACGCCATTCTTAATATTCCCAACTTTTTTTTCTTTCTATTTGAAAATTTAAATCCTAAAGGCATAAAAATGTTCGTTTTTAAGATAACACTATTCACGTGTGCGAATTTACCTCCACACTGAAGAAACTAAATTATAAACTTTAAAAAATTTCATGTGAATTAAATAGGATTCCAACGAAGGTCTCAGTTCGTCTTTGTAACAATATAATCTATTAAAAATCGACCGAATATTCAGTGTCAAAACTACCTTAATATAATGTCCAATGTGCATATGTCTTTGCAACACTTTTTCATATAATACTGTGTAGTTTTGACTAAAATAAAGTTTGACTGGTATGTCAACTTAATAGCAGAATAGCTAAATAAAAAATTAATAGAATTAATATGATGAGTAAACTGAAAACTGAATAAACTCAAAACGCTAAAAAGCTAGTATCTATTAAATAAATAAATTTTTATCAAAACTAGTTATACATTTAAAACGTGCAGGATGAATTAAAAAATAGCGTGTTAATTTTTACTTTTTATCATTCAGTGCTTAATATTATGAATGATATGCATTTAGTGAAATCACATTTTCAAAACGTGAAAAAAGCTATATATCATTCAACCCCAAAATACCATGTATTTTGAAAGTTTTATGGTGCATGGAGTAAAATAAGTCTCGTATGTGATTCTTCGTGAAACCTTTGAAAAATGATCACAATTTAATATAATACAGATTCTTACATGAAACTTATAATTGAAGATCTAATACATCTTGCTGAACATGCATTATTTGCAATATCATCAAAAGGCAATAAGGTAGAGAAAACAAAAAGAGCAATAGAGAATAAGAAAAAGGACAAATAAAATAAAAGTGAATAAAGAGAAAAAAGACAGAAAAGGAAGAAAGAAAGCGAAATGTGATTAATAAAGTGAACAAGTGAAAGCCATTGGAAGAAACATCCTCGAGCTAATATTACCTGACTTTGTATTTTCTCCCTTAGAGTATAAAAGCTATTAATATGTTTGTTCCTAAAACAAAACATACGGTATTACAAAGTTATATCGGTTCCACGTAAAATAAAATAAAAAACAGAACTTTGAACTTTATAATGTCATTTACGAATTATATATTAAAATCTGATCCCTTATAAGAATCCCCCATCAATCAAAATTCAAAACCCCGTCACAATCATTTTGAGACATTACATTACAGTACGAGGCTTAGTGGCTCGTTGTCTAGTGCAACCTACTAACAACAAAATTATGAATGAAACCTTGGGAATCACGATATCATTTCATTTATCATCTCAATCTCATGGTTTTTTTTTTCTTTTTCTAAATTGGATGGTTATATAGAATATAGATAATGCCAAATGAATGTGCAATGATGACCTTAAAAGAAATATATCTACGTTTCATATGGATGGTTTTGTTTTATCTCAAAATATTAGTACGGAAAAGAAGATGTGATTTGGTTCCAGCTAAGATGAATCATAAATTTGAAATTTCTACAGCTTTGAAAATAGTTTTTAATAAATATGTTTAAGTAAAAAAGTATTTTGTTATTAAAAAAAACAGAAGGGTGAAAAAATTTAGTAGACTAAGACAAACAATGGCTTGTCCCTTCGAGATTCCGGGACATCGGAAAGATCTTTAAAAAAAAAACAAACAAACATGGACTTAGCTTCTTAGGCAGTGGTGGTGGTGGTGGAGGAGAGACCTTAGGGGCGTAACAGTCATTTTACAAGCGAGACCCCCTAGACTTTGCTGCAGTAGTGTAGTACGACTGCTAAAGTTACCAACGGAGCTAGCGGAATTTAATTTCAAAAAGCGACCCTTATATTTTCTCTTTATTCTAATTTCAGTACCCTTTCTTTTTAATACTCCCTATTTATCCCCTTTTGTTTTTTTTTTCTCTTTCCTTCCCTTTTCTCTCTCTCTGTCACTATCCGTTGAACCCAAACGGCTCTCTCTCTCTCTCTCTCTCCATCGACAAATTCTCGGAAGCTTTTCTTCTCTCGCGATTCCCAGTGTAAATAATATGAGCCACGGGTGGTGTCTTCGATTTCTCCGGTTATGAATCCTGCTAACAACAACCCAGTTGCAGCTTCAGCCGTAGCCTTAACCCTAGCTCCGCCGCTACATCCGCCGCAGCCTCACCGTCCTTCAACCTCCTGTGATCGTCACCCGGAGGAGCGTTTCACCGGATTTTGCCCTTCATGTCTCTTCGAGCGTCTCTCTGTTCTAAACGTCACTAGTAAGAACGTCGTCGCGTCTTCTTCCAGGAAACCTCCGTCGTCTTCTGCCGCCGCTCTTAAGGCAATCTTCAAGCCCTCTTCTTCCTCCGCTACCGGGTTGTTGTTCCCAGAGCTTCGGAGGACGAAATCGTTCTCTTCGACTAAGAACGAAGCGTTTTCTTTGGGTGCGTTTGAGCCGCAGAGGAGATCCTGCGATGTGAAGGGTAGGAACACTCTCTGGTCTCTGTTCAACGAAGACGCCGAGCACAATTCTCAAGCTAAAGAGAGTTTTTTGACAGTCGACGGTGAGATTGATCTCGACGGCAGAGATTCCATCGTCAAATCGCCTGTTTTCGAGGAGGAAACGGAAATTAAGAGTGAGCAGGACAACGAGAAGGACATTAATTGTGGGAATTTAAAGGAACCCAGAAGCGTAATCGACGAAATCGTCGAAGAAGAAGAAGAAGAAGAAGAAATTGAAGAAGAGGAGACGGAGAAAGCGAAGGAGCAAATGGAGTCGAATCCTCAGACGACGAAGAAGCCCAACAGAGATTTCAAAGAGATTGCCGGGAGTTTCTGGTCGGCGGCGTCGGTTTTCAGCAAGAAACTGCAGAAATGGAGACAAAAGCAGAAGCTTAAGAAGCATCGGAGCGGCGGAATCGGCGCCGGATCCGCCGCGTTACCGGTGGAGAAGTCAATTGGGAGGCAGCTCAGAGATACTCAGTCTGAAATCGCCGAGTACGGATACGGACGGAGATCGTGCGACACAGATCCACGGTTCTCAATCGACGCCGGAAGGTTCTCGCTTGACGCCGGGAGGGTTTCTTTCGACGCCGCTAGGGTTTCGGTGGACGACCCTCGTTACTCTTTCGACGAGCCACGCGCGTCCTGGGACGGATATATGATCGGAAGAACAGCCGCTCCGCCGCGAATGCCTTCCATGTTATCCGTAGTGGAAGATTCTCCGGTCAGGAATCACGTCCTCCGTTCAGATACACTGATTCCGGTGGAAGAGCAACAACCACCACGAACACCACCAGGACCTGTAATGGAAGAGATTGTCCCTGGTGGATCTGAACAGACCCGAGAGTACTACACCGACTCATCTTCACGGCGGAGGAAGAGCCTCGACCGTTCTAGCTCCACCAGGAAGATATCAGCTTCCGTTATAGCTGAGATCGACGCACTAAAACTATCTGCTTCAAACACTAAAATCTCGCCTTCTCAAGACGCAAGAGACCCGATTTCACATTCGCATTCACTGAGAGACGAATGCTCTGTAGAGAATATCGAATTTGGTCTCAGAGAAAACGCAGGGACTGTGGAATCCTGCAAGAAAGGGACGAAGAAGTCCAAGAGATGGAGTTGGAACATATTTGGGCTACTTCACAGGAAAAATGGGAGCAAATACGAAGAGGAAGAAGAAGCAAGAAGTGGCGTTGATCGAACGTTTTCGGGGTCGTGGAATGTAGAAGCTAGAAATGGGTTTGATCCGAAGATGATTAGGAGCAATAGTAGTGTGAGCTGGAGAAGCTCTGGAACCGGAGGAGGAGGAGGAGGGTTTCAACGGAACAGTGTGGATGGATACGTTAGTGGGAAGAAGAAGGTTAGTAGTAGTAGTAGTAATGGGAGAAAGATTGAGAATGGAATGTTGAAGTTTTACTTGACGCCGAGTAAAGGAAGGCGAAGAGGAAACAGCGATTCGACGGCACAGACGAACCGGCCGGTTCCGGCTTCTCAACAGTTTGCTAGAAATGTTGCGAGCTTTTACTGACTAAATTGTTTAAAATCTTTTCTTAGAGGTAGTTTGAATAACTGTGGTGAAGTTGTATTGAGAGAAAATGTTCAAAGATTTTTATGTGAAATTATCAGACTACTACTGTTGTCGTCGCTTTCTATTGTTTCCCTAAGATGTGATTTCTCAGTAATCGTACTAACAATCTCCTCTCTGAGCACCAAGTTCGAGCTCTGAAATAGAGACGATGAATGCTGAAACGGACAAAAACCGTCAATACTGATGAACAACCATGTCCAAAAAAGTAAGACTTTGTCTTTGTTAGTGTCCTAACGCAGGTTCTGGACTTTGGCTATGTGATTCGACAGAACGGTCAACAGTAGTGAATATTTTGCTAGTGCTATCTATGATTGTTCTTACCAATAGAAGAAGATGCATTGTGTCTATTTTCGTCAATCTGAATACTGAAGATAGTGAAGAAGAAGAGAAAATCCGGTGGCTTTTAGTAGCAGAGAAGGTCGAAGGAGATCTTGTGTTGGCATATGAGCAAAGCTAAGACTGCAGTGGAGGAGAATCAACATATATTGAGATTGACTGCTAGTTTTGGTAAAAATTTCTTCTATGGGTAAGCAATTCAGCGTCTGTTGTTACATTTTGTTGCTTACAAAACAAAAGTTCCCTTCTTTTTCTGACATATACAACATTTAAAAAATCCAGGCGTCAAGCTGGTCCTGTGGCTGAATTTTCTCGAAAACCCTCGAATAAGATGTTCGCTGCAAATGTCTTAGCCTCCATCATTTTGTTTTTGCTTTTTTACAGTTTCGATTTTTCTTTTCCTTAGTTTTTTTTGTTTGAATTAAGATTGAAGAGAAGGAAATAACAGAACGGCGACTCAAATGATCCGTCCATTCTCAATCCACATTACTTTTCAAAACTGTTTTTCATTATCACTTTTACCAATGCGTTACAAGATACTAAGCACTACTCACATGTTTGTTAAGCAGATGATAAGTAACTTTAAGGGCGGTTTTAGCAACTGTCAATCCAAATGTGAAAGGTGGCCGCTTGGTAAATGTTCATCAGGGGATGGATACAGAGTATTTGAAGTATGGCACGTTAGAGCGACAGTCTACAAGAACCAAACTCTAAGGCTTAGGTTCAGAGGGACTGATAGATTCAATGAGAGGACTGGAAAAGGGGAAATCAAGAGGGAGGTGACTCTGATGCTTAAAGACATAAACACCAAGTTACAGGTACATTGTTGTGCTCTTGTACCTTTTAAAAACTCTATTGGAAGTGAGGCTTATAGTGATTATTAGCCTTGTGGTCTGCAGGAGCAAAGCATTGAGAGGGGTTTGCTTTGAATTGTGAAAGATTGAACTTAGGGTTAAACTTAAGTGTGTCAAAAAAAGGAAAAGAAAAAAAAAAGACTATTGAGATTGAAGACCGGTGCAATCAATGTGGAACAAACAGAACAAATGTAGCTCAAACAGGCAACGAAACCATCTTACATCCCAAAATTATTTTGAGGAATACTGTAACTGATCTATTGCTTCACTACTACTCGGCTAAAGTATCAAAAGTAAATGCGAAAAATCAGGATTTTAGGGAATTGTTGTGTTCCTATGTTTTCTGAACAATAAGAGATATAGAGAGAGGGAGATGTCATTTGCAGGCCGGATAGCAGACCGTCATATTGGCTCTTGACAGTAACTTGAGTCTTGGTAACCTTCCGCAATATCTTTGCATGTTTTCTTGGTTTTTGTCTAGCCTTTGGCTCTCTTCCTTTCTTGATCTAGATATTATGTCTAGATTATGCATCTAAATGCAATTTTCAAATATAGCATTTAGATATTGTTTATTTTTAAAATCAGCTTTTACAGATGAATACAATATTTGAATCCAACATTGTTCGTTTGTATATTTATAAAAAAAACTTGGATGCAAAATATATCAAATTATTAAAAAGTTATATTTTCTAATTCATTGATTTTATCTATAATTAAAATAATTTTGTTTTTAAATAATACAATTTAACAACTTTTATGGAAATAAATTTCAATAAAAAATAAGACAGAAAATAATTTACCACTTTAACGAAAAATAATGTTTTATGAGAAATATGATTTTATGATTGTAGTTTTGACGAGAAAATATTGGTTTACAGTTTTGACGAAAAAACCTAATTATACGAATTAGGTAAAAGTACAGTTTCTCAATTTTGATGAAAAACACTTTTTAGTATTTCAAATATTCAAAAATATATATTTGATTTTACATCTAAATGCTGATTTACAAATGTTCAAACAAACAATATTTGAATATTTACGTTTAAATACATCATTTGGATACAAAAATCAACATAACCTTTATCTTCTTTTGAGCATGGAGTCGATGAAGTGTTGTTTAGGTCCGATGGCAAAAGAGTCTGATACCTTTGAGCATAGAGTGACTGTGATATCAACCTTTTCGGATAGCAACATGGACAGTTCATCCATTGTTGATTCCAATGGCATAAGAGAGTCGGGTACCCTTGAGCATAGAGTGACTGTGATACCCTTGAGTATGGAGTCAATGACATTCAGTATAGATCCAATGGCAGAGACATCTTGAGTGCTTAGTGTGGTCTGTTGGTACTGCAGAATAGAGTAGACATCTTTCAAGATTTTTTGAGCTTGTTGAGCACTACTGGCGATCATTTGGTCTCATGGGTTAATCTTGGTAACCACATTGACAATCCAGACAAGCTTTGTTGATGTTTCCTTTTGGATGTCACGGCTAAGCTGTTGAAGCAGTGAGAGGAGGACAGCTTGGTCAAGGGGAGTGGGCTTGATATCGACTAGTCATAGTAGATTAACCTGCATATAATTAACGACACCACACTCTTACGTCGAATTCTGGGCCACTAAGACACTTATGAGCTTTCTGAACCATTATATAATAACAAGTCTTTAATAAGTTGCTATTAGGGGTGAGAACTAAAAAAAGTATCTTTATGTCCTTGGAGATGCTAGTAGCCCAGAATTTGTAGGGTGATTGAAGTTGTTGACCCTAAGCAATTTGGCCCAGTCGTTTTTACAAAATTAAGCTGTGTCAAAACAAAATCTTGATGTGAATTTAATTGATATTTCCACACAAAAATTATTGCTAGTTATTGTATTGTGGTTTGATCATTATGGTTAATGTATCCTTTCAAAGATTGTTGAGTTAATGACAACAACAAATTAACTATAAATTGGAGAAAATTGACATTTTACCCATTTTAACCATGACAACTCATCAAATCATCTATCGGATTAAGTGCTTAAGTGTAAAATCTTCCGGTACGGAAAAACATGATAATAACCTTTTTGACCAGAAATGAATGAAACTAGTTTATATCTTAGGTTCCTAGATCCTGCTATCTCCAGTATGTCTGCCTAGAACGGTGTCGTTCAAATTGACACCCACTTCTGTATTGTAGGCTTGTAGCCGTAGCTTTGAAACAAACCCAAGAGGCTGTCTTTGTTGGGTCATTGTTTACAACGACATGAAAGCCATTTCTCAACTATTCTATTGTCTTAGTTTCTAAGCATTCTAATCTCCACCCCATTTCACACAGCTTCTCAGACACTTTTAACATTACATATCACATGCATTATATCTAAATACCAGATTAACAAATTAATCCAAGTATACGTAACTTGAACGTTTTTTTATGTTTTTTTTTTGTTGTTGTTGTAACGATTAGTATATGTCTTGAACCGGTCGCTAGATTATTTGGGAATCCATTCATATGTTAAATTTTTATAAGGTCTCCGAATCCTTAACACTAGTTTTCATTGAAATGTTAAACCATATACATGTCATGTACAGCAACCACAGGTCCACAACTAGATGTGCGATTCAGTTTTTGGTTCTAATTTTGGGGTTATTCTGAGATGTATAACAATAAATTATAGTTTAGTCTCATAAATCATAATTATTAAATATATCATTAAATTTTTCCAAAAAATATATATATTCATTTGAAAGTTTTAATTCAATATAAACCATATAAACGAATATGATTAAGTTTATTATCTCGTTGGGTCATCATATGGTTAAGCTTTTTTGTTATCGCTTCTTTGGTTTGATTTGGTGTTAAACGAGTTCGATTTTACCAATTTAAACACTCACCGCCACAAATAAAAATACACAATAATTAAAGTGTGAAGCAGAAGCAGAAAATGTTTTATGTATCCCCGAAGGAATAGAGAGGTACGATCTCAAAATGGACAATTCGATCATCTATCAAAATAAATGTTAAAGTTTTGTGGTCGTTTTAAATATTAAGTCGAGTTCAGACGTATACGTCCCACCAAATTCAAACACAATCTCGATCTTGAGTCTGTCTCTTTTCACAATATCAAACTTCGCTCTTGACAACAATTTGGTCAACAATATCCATAGATCTTATCAAATAATACATATCAAGAACTTTCTCATTTGTGTTTAAGAAAAATCAAGCCTAGGAAATTTCTATCGTACTATGATATGTATTTAATCCATGATGAATCTTTGATGCAATATATTAATCAGTACTAGTTAAATTAAGAACAATAGTTAATCTTTCTGGTGCAAACCATATATTATATAGTAAGGGACTTAATTTCTCCGCTGTTTACTTTATTTTATTTTTACATTCTCAAAACATCTATAATAGAGAGATTTGGTAGGTTTCTAAAAAAAAGAAAAAAGAAAAAAAAAATAATGTGGCGAAATTAAGAGGTAGAATCGCTTTTCTGCGCAAAGACGGACGCCTATATGTGATTTGCCAAATTTTTTTTTTAAGAAAAATGATTTTATAAAAGAATGTTAAGAATTTTCCATCAACATCTCTCTTCGATGCTGATGCTCTTACCCGCTGTTTAAATAAAGAAGCATTTTCGACAAAAAAAATAATTAATAATATTTGGTATTGGTTTTATATAGTGTTATGAATTCAGATGAACTTAAATTGTAAATAACATTTGGTCCTTCTTGAGCGAAATCCTATTTAGATTGTGAACAATATACAATATACTGATTTCAAGCCAGTAACATACTAATTAATTAAGGCCATTTTCAACAACAAAAAACACATATAGATACTAATTGTTGTAAATTAGTTTTGGCCATTGATTTGTTATGAATAAAATGAATTTTTATGGTTTGATCAGGGATATATTGGTTGTGGTAAGAATGGGAATCTTAATTACAAAGAATTGGATTTTGGGTCGACCTACCACCTAAAACGACGTCGCCTCCTTCTCTGGTTTCCACTCTCTCTCTCTCCTCTTTCTTTTATAAGCTTGCGTTGGCCAGTCGATTATCTCAAAAACAGAGACAAAACGACTAAAAACACAGCAGAATAAGAAGGAGAATACCAACAACAAAGAGAGAAGAGAAAGATGAAGTCTCATATGGTTTGGTTTCTGTTTCTTGTGTCATTCTTCTCTGTGTTCCCAGCTCCATCGGAGAGCATGGTTCGCCATTACAAGTTTAACGTGAGTTTATCTATATAACATATCCACAGTTCCATTTACATATACGTTCATGTATATAACTTCTTATGCAAATTCGCAAGTTTTTTATATATATGCACTTTCATAATTGACATTTATGCTTATATAACATGCGTATATTTCATACATGCTTACGTAGAGAATTATGTATATATAGTTTGTGTCTTCACAGTAATTTTATTTCAATTACAGACCTACAAGTTTTCTGTAATTAAATTCTCTTTAATCTGTATATTATGAGCCTTTATTTACACTAAAGTGTTTAAAATTTACTATGTGCGTGTGGTTTTAATTATTTCCCCTCATATAAACATGCATCTTCTACGTGTACAATCATTTAATGTAATAAAGGATTTGTACGTACATGTGAATGATGTTTTTGTCTTGAATATCTTTTTCCCCTTTTGTTAACTTCTCAATATAATTATTACTGATTATATTTGTGTGTTAAAATCACGCAGGTTGTGATGAAGAACACGACTAGACTCTGCTCAAGCAAGCCAATCGTGACCGTCAACGGTAGATATCCAGGTCCCACAATCTACGCACGAGAAGACGACACGTTGCTCATCAAAGTCGTTAATCACGTCAAGTACAACATTTCCGTCCACTGGTAAGCTCCTACTTAATCTTCATTGAATCATCATTAATAATAAGTTAGATGGCTAATTAATTTGTGTACTGTGTGGACGAACGATAACAGGCACGGTGTGAGACAAGTGAGAACGGGATGGGCCGATGGGCCTGCTTACATAACTCAGTGCCCGATTCAGCCTGGTCAAGTCTACACATACAACTACACCTTGACCGGCCAACGCGGAACGCTCTGGTGGCACGCTCACATCCTCTGGCTCCGAGCCACGGTTTACGGCGCAATTGTCATACTCCCCAAACGTGGCGTTCCCTATCCGTTCCCCAAACCCGACCACGAGAAAGTCATCGTTTTAGGTATCTTAATCATTTTATATGTTGAACCGGATCCATTTTACTTTATACTATTAAATGAATCGGCCAGTATAATTCGAATTTGGACCGACTGATGAAAACTATCTCATTCGAAACTGAGATGAGACCTAATATATATATATATATATATATATTATATAAAGGACATTAAACAAATTATTCATTGCCCATAAAACTTGGCACTATTATTTTTAAGTTCTATTGTTCATTACATAGATATGTTAATTTGGCATGACTAACTTACAGGTGAATGGTGGAAATCGGATACCGAAAATGTCATTAACGAGGCTATGAAGTCTGGATTAGCCCCTAATGTCTCCGACGCACACATGATCAACGGACACTCTGGCCCCGTTAAAAATTGTCCATCTCAGGGTAATTAATATTTTTAATTTCCAATTTGAATTTACATAATTTCTGACTTAAAAAAAAAAACTGATTATGAAAGCCTCTTTCTACACCCGAAGGTTACAAACTATCAGTAGAGAGTGGCAAAACCTATCTACTACGACTAGTCAATGCTGCACTTAATGAAGAGCTCTTTTTCAAAATCGCCGGCCATCTTTTCACGGTGGTCGAAGTCGACGCCGTCTACGTCAAACCGTTCAAGATCGACACCGTTCTTATAGCCCCCGGTCAAACCACCAACGTCCTCCTAACCGCCTCAAAAACCGCCGGGAAATATCTTGTAACCGCTTCTCCCTTCATGGACGCCCCAATCGCGGTGGACAACGTAACCGCCACCGCGACTGTCCATTACTCCGGCACACTCTCCTCATCCCCAACAACCCTAACTCTCCCTCCGCCGCAAAACGCTACTTCAGTCGCAAACAACTTTACCAAGTCCCTTCGTAGCCTCAACTCCAAGAAGTACCCTGCCCTAGTCCCAACCACCATCGACCACCACCTCTTCTTCACGGTAGGGCTCGGGATAAACTCGTGCCCAAGTTGCAAGGCCGGAAACGGAAGCCGTGTCGTTGCCAGCATCAACAATGTAACATTCATTATGCCCAAAACCGCTTTGCTCGCGGCTCATTACTTCAACATTAGTGGGGTTTTCACGACGGATTTCCCCAAGAACCCACCGCACGTTTTCAACTACAGCGGAGGATCAGTCACGAACATGGCCACGGACACCGGCACGAGGCTCTACAAGCTACCGTACAACGCCACGGTTCAGCTGGTTCTCCAAGATACCGGCGTCATAGCGCCGGAGAACCATCCGATTCATCTTCACGGCTATAACTTTTTCGAAGTAGGTCGCGGATTAGGTAACTTCAACCCCAAGAAAGACCCCAACAACTTCAATTTGGTCGATCCCGTTGAGAGGAACACAATCGGAGTTCCATCAGGTGGATGGGTCGTCATCAGATTCAGAGCGGATAATCCCGGTACGTGCATTAAAATTAATGTAAAAATTAGTTAATCAAATGACAGGATTCGTCTAGTGGGTTAATTATCGTCAAGTAGATTTTGGTCATAGATCAGTTCCTCCTAGATACATTTTCTCTTTGTCCTTTGCGGAACTCACATAGCAGCGACACAACCTATAGTAATCAGATTACGCCTCGACATACAATCTCCCGGTTATTAAAAAAATCAAATAAAATCTTATGGTAATAAAGTCAAATACTATTATTATTCTTATTTATATAAAATTGATGGATTGATGATATATATATGTTGTAACGTATAGGGGTTTGGTTCATGCATTGTCACTTGGAGGTACACACGACGTGGGGATTAAAGATGGCTTTCTTGGTGGAGAACGGCAAAGGACCCAATCAGTCGATTTTGCCACCGCCTAAGGATTTTCCCAAGTGTTAAAATCCTTCATAATCATGCCACGTCCAAGAAGACATGAGAGTGGTGACCTAATGCGTGGATTTGCTTAACAGATAATTTTTATTTTTGAGCAAAGCAAAAGGTTCGATTTTTTTTGCTCAAGCAAAGTTTGAATAAAAGAGGAACAAGAGCATTGTATTATAATAATATTTTTTTATCATTACATCAAAATTCCATTTATATTTTATTATTCTCTTCATCACAGCTCTAATATGGCCCATGAGTTTTAGCTTTATTTTATTCTTCTGGTCCAACAATTCTATTTCGTCAGACATGATTTATGTAGATGGTATATGAACCAAGAACGTCTTTAATTACACATTCACTTTTTATATCGTCCTTAGGTCACCCGGACCATACAAATATATGAGTTTATGCTCCCGCCACTTGAGAGTTTTTCAGCCTTACAAACTTAATCGGTTTTAGAAATTGGAATCTGATGTTAGTAATGTTATCGATAATACATTGAAAATCCCACAGACATTTTGTTGCACATGAAGAATTTAATCGAGCATAGCGTGGTATAATTAATTGCAGGTCGATGTACTACCCCGTAAGAAAAAAAGTGTCGTACCAAATTGTATATTTAATCTCTCTCTCCACCATCAAGAAAATACTTTATTACATAGGTAGCCCGTAGCCATGTGGGGTTAGAACTATGTTAAGTGCATGATAATACGAGGATTAACGATAAAATGATTGATTAAGGCCGGGTGGAGATAAATTAAAGAAAACAAAAATATATGGGTTATCTTTCTTTTTTTCGGCATAACTATATGGTTATCTAAACTGGCCTCTTGAAACACATGACCTTTTGACCTTGACCTTGAGCCGCCCTCTTTGGAGAAGGGAGACGATTTTTTTCTCTTTTTTGTCGTTTTTTTTTTCTTCCAAAACCGACGTTTTATCATCTCAATTATTCGGTTTACTTCTTAAATATTGTTTTTCCTTTCGATTCTGCTGCCATTAAACTGGAGTTTATTATCTACATGTTATGGGGTTAGGTAGCTAGCTAGCTTTCTTGTTCTGTTTCTCTTTATAATATCTTAATATGTTTTTGGGAGTTCTAAGTTCTAACTTTTAAATATCCTTAGAGACAAGCATATAATCGCCGATCTTAGTTGTGATTTAAGTTTTAGCGGCCTAATTAATACATATCGTCTTGGCGATTAAAGAGACCATGTGATTAGAGATAAATAAATGACAAGAATTCATAAGAATTTTGATCGGTAAAGTAGAACAGACTAAACTAAAAAAGTTAATTAAAAAATTACTTTTTTATTTGTCAGATCTAGCTCAAAAGTTCTCTCCGAAATTTAGAAATTAGAATAATCCAAAATGAGCTCATTCATAATGTTTAAAGTTCCTTGACAAATCTAAATTTCCAATCACAATCACTTGGTTAGCGGCTGTGTGGCCTATAGGTACATGGAATACGTATAAACTTCTACATGAAGAAAACGTATTTTATATTTCTATCATTATGTTAAATTTAAACAGGTAGTAATTCAGTGATTATCGTTTTGTTGGCAAAGACAATAGATGGACTAAATAAGTAGGACTTGTTAATATGAAAAAAACAACTAAATAAGTTGACTTATTTGTATTAAAAAACAATTAAAGCAACAATTCAGTCTAATTTATATGAAAAACATATGCATATGACTAAAGCAACAAATAAATTATTTAATAGTATATTTTTTCCTTTAATTTTTTTAAAATATATGGTTTTTTAGGGTAAATATTTATTATACCAAACAAATAATATGATTTATTTAACTATGTATAAAAAATTCCGTTGACAAAAAAAACTATAGAGTCCTGCTATTTGCTTGGCACCCCATAATCAAATATTTTGAACGTGAAGTATGGGTTCCATTCCTACCTAGAATAATAGAAAGTCCAGAAAAGATTTTTACATAATTAGTAAAATATAAATAAATAAAAGGAAACAAATGATTTGTGCAAAGCCACTAATGTACAAAAGCGTGTGGAGCGCATTATGAGTGGCAGCCCTACAGGCACGCTCGCACTCTTTTGCTGTCGCTCCGGTGGGTCAAACTGTGTGCCAGTGCTCCCTATTTACTCCCAACTTCGTGTCGTTTTTCTGTTGCCCCTCATTTAATTAATCCTAATACTTTATAGTATTTCATCTATTTTACAAAAAGTATCACTCTGAGACATTTGACATAAATTTTAAAAAAATTATTAAAAAATATATTTTTAAAATAGCATCTTCTTTCTACTTAAATAATTAAATTAGTAAAAGGATTTTTATATTTAATTCTGAATTAAAAAATGTAGAATGATAATCTTTATGAAACAAAAATTAAATTTTAAAATAACACTTTTTTTTGAAACAGATGGAGTATGAAACTTCAATTGTTTTGCTGTCGCAAATATAACCATTTAAAGTAGTGGTTACAAATAATTTTTTAAGATATAAAAAAATAACTTATACAATAAAAAGTAACTTTTTCTTGTTATGTATATTGTAAAGAAATATGTATAGTGTTTGTATACATTTTTAGATTAATAACAAAAAGTATTTATTTCCTTAATTATATTTGAGCTCGTCTATCTTTGGTTTTTAGTTTAGTTTAAATATCTATGTTTATCGTCCATCTCATTTTATATAGTGAAAGCATGAGAAGCTGGATGACTTGACGTCGCTTATTAAATAAAATTGATCAAGATACAAAATTAAGATGCCAAGTTTGAACTTGATAAATGAAAAAGCATTTTGTGTTCCATCGCAGTTCTATCATTAAATTTAGGAATGTATTATAATTAATCTAAAATTATTGTAAATTTTAGTTATCATCATTTTCTGAAATATAAAACCAGTGTAACATAAGACATCATAATTAAATTATAGAATGAAACAAAACTTTCTTATTTGCCACATATATAATATACAGAACTCGAATGGATTAATCTTTGTTGTAACAATTGCAAATTTTTTTGGTCAAAAAAAAAAAACAATTGTAAATTTTATCATGCGTAAGATGTATCAGACTGCAGTAGTAATAAGCAATTGAGTAAAATATCATTGTAATGTAAATATCAAATAGGTAGTGGTGACAAGAAGATGATTGTAGTAGGCTTTGTAGCTAAACCATTAGGAAAGGTATATTGTAACGCCAAAATATAGAAAAGAAACCTAAAAAGGTCCAAGATCTGTATTAAAGATAAATAAATATAATTATAATGTACATTTACTAGCCTGCATTGTTTAATAAGTATATCAAAATAAATAATCGAGGAGAAAAAAGTGTCCTCATTCGGAAATAAGAGATGCTTTCCCTTTGGGGAAACTCCACGATAATTATATTCATAACAAAACCAGTCATTGTCTTGCACCACTCCATTTTTTTAAAAAAACAACGTATAATAACTTTACTGAATATTTTATTGACCTATGAATATTTAGAACAAAAAATAATTGTGTGTTGGGTGTGAGTGGTGGACAAACAACTCTGACATTTTACTTAAACAACTCCGATATATAAAGAATTGTAGATGTGGAGAACATCATATTATTATTTAATTTAATGAATTTTCAATTTTAAAACCTGTGGCGCTTCTTATTAAAATTCGATATATTGTGAAGGGAAGGCTCTTTGCTACTTAGCGTCATCCAATATTAGTTTTGCATGAAATGGTAAATTGACAAACAATAAAAATCATGAATATGAATATAAAAGTCTAACTTTTAATTTTGGTTGTTTGTTTGTAACGTCTGTTTATATGTACATAGAGTTATTCTCTATATACTTTGTGTGTTCCCTAAATGATATCGAATTTGCATAAAAGTTTAGAACAAAAAAAACCACGGCTTGGAAATGTTATAAGAAATCAAGCTTTTGTTTGATAGGTTGTTATTGTTGCTGTTGTTTGTGTTCTTTTTTAGCATTAGGATGTTTTCCATATGAAATACTTATATATATATATATGTGTGTGTGTAATGTTTGTAGCAAATTTAATAAGTGGACTACAATTTTAATAAAATAGTCATATATAGTTTAGACATTTTGTTCTTTTTTCTTTTTCTAAACCTTACTTTGCATTCAGTTAAACTTTGCGGTTCTAACGGTAAGGAAGAGTTATCACAACTCTTAAATTAAAACAATACAACTTGAAAGCAATAAGGCTGAAAAATCAGCAATAGACATTTTGTTCACCCTATGTATTAACTAATGTTTTTTTTTTTTTGAACTTTATATATTAACTGATGTTAACCATCGATTTTGCTGAACGAGTCATGTTGAATAAGTTTATATATTAACTGATGTTTCAAAAAAAGTATTCAGAGTTCTGGAATAAGTAGAAAATTCAGAAAAAAAGTAATCCTTCATCTTGAAATAAGATTTACAAATGCAATGAATTCACTTTATTAGGAATTATATTGTTTTCTTAGTTTATTTTTATGCGTAACTCAATTATAAAATTGAGTTGCTAAGTTTCCTATATTATTATGCTTAGTTCGTGTATCACTAAGATATTTGTTCAATTCATATATATTCGGAACTGAAATTCATACTAAAACATGTTTGTAGTCAAACATGTTTTTGTCACATAAAATGTATACAACCACCAACATAAAAACGCAGTGGACGAGACTCAATTCCTTTCTCAGATTCGACAAATATGATGAATCTCTAACCATTATAATGCTATAGTTAATTAATTAATAATAAGAAAAAGTTTTAACGTTTCTTGAGAATTATTGACTTATTGTGTCTGTTATGGCGTGGTCACTTAAGCTACCTAACCCATTTATATATATAAATCATGACTGTTTATTTGTTTTAAGAAAATGATTAGTGGCACAGAAAAGCAAGTGTTGTCCCATGATACGAGAGTATGAGTTACAATTGAAGGATTAATTAGCACTGTAGTATACATATGTACTTAACGTACATTTTTTGTATATATATAATCGCACTCTAAAGTTTTTCGATGCATAGATCTTACAAACTATTAATAAATTTGTATGTTTATTAGTAATAAATATGTTGTAAATTCTAGTGAATTTGATTGAAGTTTCAAAGTGTAAAACAAAAGAGAAAACGAAATGAAAAAAAAGTATTTCTGCTGTCTAAGATTCTTTTTCATTAATTGCGTAAATTAATTAATAACTACAAATCCTCAAAACATTTTTATATAAATGCCAAAATCTGTTATAACGTACCGTGGGGAGCAGCCTTCCACATACCTTTATGCTTATGAAGTCTTGTTATATCCTCTATGTTGGACTTTACTCGAGTAAGCCGAAAATCCAGACATCGGGGCTCACTCTTCAAAGTAGGATCTCTTAATAGAGCCATTTTGAACAAGATTAAACACAAAACCATTATAAAATCATTTGTAATCTCACACTAATAGTATCATTCTTTTTTTTTTTGTTCAAAGCTAAATTTAAAGGTAATTTGATTTCATAGTAAGTTGCAAAAATTAAATCTTCTACTAGTAAGTTGGGATATTCTTATTTCATAGACTTTAATTAATACTACCATAATTTGGAAATTTAGATGTTAGAATATCATCATGACTATATTTCCTACGTTAATTAATTAAGGTTCGATCTCTCGCTAAGCTCCATTATTACGAGCCTGTTATCTTTAGACACGCAATTATGATACCAACACATTTACTATTCTATTTGATTACTTCTGTGGTGAAACAAAAAAAAATTGGTTGCGGTGAAACCAAAAAATTAAGCAAGGTATCATCATCATCGTATAATTATAATATCTTCGTTGATAGTTCTCCAAGGTTAATCTAGCAAATAGCATATCCTAATTGCCATTTCTTATGGAATTATTAGTGTAAACCAAGGGATTCCATACCAAAACTCACAGTAATCTTCAAAACATATAACCATAAGGTAAATTTTATAATGGCTAAAAAAAAAAAGCATCGAGAAATAGAGTCGATCTCGACTAAGTAACGGCCACTACGTTATCATTATTTAGTTCTTTTTAGTAGGATTACACATTAATGATTGATGAGACTAATCTTGCTTATATTTTAGTTGAATTATGTAGGTTGTAAGTATTTTGAAATGAGACTAATATTGTGTGCCTATCTTTCGTAGATAAGCACTGTTTTTTCGTTTCCGAGCATGCTAATTAAATTATACATTTTACTTAAACCACATTTCCCTAATTTTCTTTGTGGTCCAAAACTAATCTCAAAAATTCATTTACGCAGAGGAAAAAAAAGCATCTCGTTATATATACAAACAAACAACTCATGTGCCCAAAAGGTTAAATGTCAACACCATTCAGAAATGACTAAATTACCCTTATCACCGACCTTAAATCTTGCTAGCCAATGAGGGATGCTCCTCGATTGTGTGTCTTGTCTGAGACTGTGATTGGCTCATCTCTAAACGTCTTCAGCCTATAATTAGGCAACGTTTAAGCCGCAAATAGCCTCTCCCATTAGTTGATGAGAGTCATATTATTATTACTTATTTTCATCCATAAAAACAAATAATAATATATAAATACTCCAGAAACTAATCAATCAACGGTCCTCGAAAGCACAAAACCAAATAAATATAAAGTTCCGTGACAACAAATGAGATCTGAACATGTGTTACTCGCCTATTCAAAGACGACACATGTCTTTTCCTTATTTATTGTGAAGGTGACTATATATATACAAGGACGAGTGTTTATTGGTTGATTGAATTTTAAAAGGTACTCTGAAAAAGAGATATTAAAAAGAATGTTTTTGTTATTAACTAATCTAACTTTGAAATGAAAACCTTTTTAATCTCTATTGAATTATACTAATGGCTATTGTACTATGTTGATGTGGAATACTTTACCTAAAAAAATTAGTGAAAAAATACTATTAACTATAATATACATACATGTCTATACTCAAATTCAATATGGTTTTGGATAATATTTAGTTCCAAATATTCCATAAAACTGTAGAATTACATTTTTTATTTTTATCCCACGAACGTTTAGTATTTTCGAAGGAAAGCCCAATTGGTAGCTTTAAGTGATCAAGCAATTTTAAAAAGATATAGTATAAAAAAATCTAAAGTAAATACTACTACTATATATAAGTAATTAAATTAATCAAAAGCCCAGAAATTTTTGTCTGGGAAATACCCATAGACAATCACAGCTCAACAGCTTTTTAACTCACCTCTCACTCTCAGATCATTCCTGTTTCATATTCATCCCTCTCTCTCCCTCTCCCTCCTCTCTCTCTCTCTCTCCCTCCTCTCTCTCTCTTCCCTTTTCTACTTGAGAGTTTGGGAGAAAGAAGAAGAAGAAGAAAAAAGGTTGGATTTTTTGTTCATTTTACCAGCTTCGATTTCTCAGCTCACCTGAGTTTCTCCAATTCTCTCATCTGGGTTTTTGCTTTCATCACCTTTTTCTCTGTGGTTTTTTTTTGTTGTCAGTTTCAGGGGAGGTTCCAAATCCCCAGATCCTCTGTTTTTCCTATTGGGCTTCACTTATTTTTTCTGAATTTACCCTAAATTTTATCTGGATTCGGATCTGACAATAAGAAATTGGTTCGGTAAAAGGGGTTTATCGTTCGGACAACAAAGCTCAAAGATGGAATCTTTTTCTTCTTCTTGTCCTTAGAGTCTGGAAAAAGCAGCTCACTTTTTTTTTTTAACTTCTTCCTCCTCCTTATATTCTTCTAGCTTAGATGCTTATCTCTCTTTCTCTCTCAGATTCCATTTCAAATATGCCATTTTGATAGATCGAAATCCCAACTTTTCTCTCTCTCTGAGTTTTCCACTACCATTGGTAGAGAGACAACACAAAATCGAAATCTCTGTGCTTACAAAGTGGATCAACAATCGTTGGGTAAAAAAAAGAAGAAAGAGAGATGAACAGAGGAATCGAGGTTATGTCACCAGCAACGTACTTAGAGACATCGAACTGGCTCTTCCAAGAGAACAGAGGAACCAAATGGACAGCTGAAGAAAACAAGAAATTCGAAAACGCTTTAGCGTTTTACGACAAAGATACTCCCGACAGATGGCACAAAGTCGCCGCCATGCTTCCCGGAAAAACCATCGGAGATGTGATCAAACAGTACAGAGAGCTCGAAGAAGATGTCAGCGACATCGAAGCCGGTCTTATCCCAATCCCTGGTTACGCCTCCGATTCATTCACGCTCGATTGGGGAGGCTACGATGCCGGAAACAACGGGTTTAACATGAACGGATATTACTTCGCCGCCGCCGGAGGAAAGAGAGGATCCGCCGCACGAGCGGCGGAGCATGAAAGGAAGAAAGGTGTTCCATGGACAGAAGAAGAACACAGGTAAAAAAAAAAAAAAAATCATCTCTCTACTTTTCCATTTTTAAACGTCAATGCTTTCTTCTCTAGATTTGGACCCTGCACTTTATTTTTTCTTTCTAATTACGTACGTCTTTTTCTTGGAACGTGTTTATGGTATACGTATAAAGATACGGTCGTATAAATATTTATATTCTATAGTTAATCAAGACAATACAGTCATCCACCTAAACAAATTGCATCTTTAATGCGTGTTTATATTGCGTACGTATGGGTTTTAGACAGAGACAGAGACACACGCCCATTATATAGTAGTAGATACATGTTTATATACCGCATCAGTTTTACTTTTTACACAAACAATTAGCTACTGTTGTTTTTGTTTTTATAACTCTAGAACAACATTTAGGATATGATTTTGAAATTATATAATTAAAAAAATTAATACTCCACCGTTTTACATTTCTAATATGACTTTATAAACCAAAATTTTAATGTACTCCTTGCCCAAAACTAGTAAATTTTCAAATTAACCATCACCGTTGGCACATTTTATTAACATTATCTCATACAGATAATGGCAAATGAAAACATTGGTATATAAACGTGCACATTAAATTTAATTGCTTACTTATTCGAAATTGATATACATGTAATGTCTGTGACTAGTAGTATGATGACTTAGATCAGTTTGGTTTAATTGGGATTTGGTTTGATATTTGGTACGGTTTAATTAATGTGCAGACAGTTTCTGATGGGTCTCAAGAAATATGGAAAAGGCGATTGGAGAAACATAGCTCGCAACTTCGTGACCACACGGACGCCGACGCAAGTTGCAAGTCACGCTCAGAAGTATTTCATAAGGCAAGTCAACGGCGGCAAAGACAAACGCCGATCAAGCATCCACGATATCACCACCGTCAACATCCCTGACTCTCCTGATGCCGCTGTCGCAGATACCGCAACCGCAAACGCACCATGCTCACCGCCTTCACTAGGGGGAAGTCAGAGGGAGGCGTCGGATCAGTGGGAAGGTCAACCGCTCTATGATGAAACAGCGGCTGCATTTTACAGTCAAAACGCGTTTCAAGAAACGCTCCTTGGAATGTCCTCAACGCCGTACATGGCAAAACTGCAGGAGCAGAGTTTTCTAAACGCATCGCAATTCGAATCGTACAATGCGTATCTCCAAATGTAGCACAAGGTGAAGATCTCGGAGAATTTACGAGTTAATAATAATCATTAATATTTTTTTACTTTTGCTTTTATTGATCGTCGTGCATATACAAAAAAATAGCTGTTCTTTTCTCGATATTTTTTGTTTCGTTCCCTCTTTTTTTCGTGGTTGATTCAACGAGGTTTTCAGCAAATTAATTAGGTTTTGGTTCTCCCTTTTATTTATTGCTGAGTGTTTGTGTGATTTGGATCTTTGTTGAGCTCAAATTGCTTATCATATACTAATTTGTGTTATGCTATGTCATGTAGGCTTTTATTACCATTTTCCCCCTTATTGATGAATTTTCCAATTAATAAATGATGATCTTCTTTTTGCTTATGATAGTGTTTTGAAACCTTTTTTAGCTCTCTGATCTAACTAAAGGATTTCAAGTCTCATTGTGCAGATTGGGACTAAAATTACACAGAATGCTTAAGTAAAACTAAATCAATCATCAATTAAATTAATTAGCTCATGCTAAAAAGACAGTTTTAAATGGTGGTGTACTATAGCTTGATGAGAATGAATTATATATTCAGGAATATGAAGCTAAAAGTATATTTATATAAAGTGGGATGTTCAAAAAAAAAAAATCTATGAATTATAACTTGTTGTGGTGACAAATCTGTAATAAAAAACCTGGCTTTGTTTTGGTTGTTTAATTACTCTACTTTCCCAATTGTTTATTTAAAATGACTGTTTGAAGTTCGAAGTTTGACAAGAGAATGAGAATCTACGGCGAGCCTAAAGAAAGACCATAAACAAAAAGCCATAATGATTGATATGCTTTTGTTCCACACCAAGTTGGCAATTTTAAATCTTCTAAAATTATTTGAATAACCATAGAGTTCCAACTTAATATAAATTGGGTTTAGTGGACTAATTCACGTCTTTTATATATTATTCTAGATCTTATTTTGGGATCAACACGTGTGATTTCAGTATGAATGTTTTTAGCTACACTTTTCTTTTCTACATCGGTTAAATCCGTTTAAATTTATTGAATTTTCATACCATGTGAAAAATTATGAACTTCCAAACTCATAAGTAATTGATAATCAGTTTGATCTATATCCTTTTTATATTATTATTCTATGTCACACTGTGGAAATTTACCAACAAAAAGTGTGCATATTCCAACGGTCAATATATTGCTATTAGAAAACCTAATGTGTAAGAAACAAAAAGATGGATGCATTTTTGAACACTAGATACTTTTTAAATTATTGGTGAATTTGGTTCTTTAAATTGATGTTTGGTGGGTTCCATTTTGATGCTTTTGGTGAGTATTAATACGAGAAGTAGCTCCATATAATTGCAAATTTGACTTTCAAGGAACACCGTTGATTTCCCAAGTATTCTTGTAATATAATGTTCGACTAAATTCTTCCTTTTCCACAATGCTAGATTTGTTTCTCTTTTCCCCCGTTAACTCACAAACCTACTTTATTGGTTTCTTAAAGTCACTGAAGATTTATTGGTTTAATTTAAAGTTAGTTAATGTTTACTACTTTAGTTAGTCTATTTTGTATTGTTTGCATTCTTAAGAGGCACGAGAGACTTGATGATTAGGGCCTATCGGTACATACAATTGAAATCATGGGAACAAACAAGTACACAAAAAGCGATTGTTTATCGATCATTTTCTTGTGTTGCACCCTCTTTCTTGTAGCACATAGTGTACCTATAAGTGACAGAGAAATATAACAAGAGATTGAACATGCTCAAAACTGTTAACACCCAGTAATAATTATCCAACCGGCTCTTATCTAACGTGTCTTGAAACCATTTGCCCCCGCTTACTCTTCCCACTACACTAACAAGAGCGATGTTGCTCATGATCCCGACCCCGCACACGCCCACGTTAAACAGAACCATGTATTGGCTCAACTCTTGAGTGACTGTTTCTTCTAGGTAAATCGCAAAGCTGTTTTCGTAGATTCCAGTGATCGTCCCGAGCAGAATGTACTGTGGGAGCAGCCAGAAAACACTCATGGGGACGGTTTCATGTACCAACCCTTGAGTTGTAACCACTTTGAGCCTCCTGGACTCAACGTGTGCAGCAATGGCGCAGCAGAATATCGATAGGATGATGGAGACTGGTATACCATATGGCGTTTTGGTTTGTTTTGGCGATTCAATGTCAAGGCCGTTGCGTTTTGCAGCCCGGACGCATAGTTCTCGTGATCCTAACCTTGCAGCCTCACTAAATAGTAAGAGGAGTGGGAGAGGGAGATTCCATGATCCGAACTTTGAGTCTAAATTGTTTGCTTGTTCGAGGAAGAATGTGTTACCGAGGGAGAAGACAATCCCGGAAATGAGAGATGTCGTGAACAAAGGAAACGTGCGTATTACGCTTTTGGTCTGCTCCACTTCTGTCACCGTACAAAGCCTCCATCTGTTTTTCCTCTGTTTCTCCAAGGGCTCGGTTTGGAGTATCATCGCAGCTCTGTCCAAGAACCTGAGTTTGAACATTCAAGACTTCCGAGTTACATACATAGACAACAAAAGATCTAATTAATTCGTTACTAATATGTTACAAACCTCAAGCTATTTGTGTGGGGCTTCATATCAAGATCACACTCGGTATGTTCATAGAGCTGGGTTGAGTTGTTGGAGTATCCACAAGAGATTTTGGAAGCAGAAGCCGCAAAGACCCGGAGAACCATCGTCAAAGGGCTCCCACCTGGTTCTTCTCGTTTGTATGAATAAGCACCGGTCAGAAAAACCAGCATTACTATAACCTCACAGCAAGCTGGGATGGCGAATCTTACGAACCACGGACTTATCTGAGGAATCGCAATAGCAGCAAGCAAAGGGAATACAAAGTTCCCTACGTTTCCAATGACAAAGCTAGTGAGCATTTCCGGGTTTCCCTTGTTCACACTGTCTTCTAGCTGGTCTTCTGTAAACACTCCCAATGAGATGGACCGTCCAAATATACCAACGGATATAACAGTTAACGCTACGTAGAACAAACCCTTTTCTCCTCCACCAGAAAGTATTGGTGACGCTGATATTGCCAAGAAACCGAAGCCCTAAACACAAGGGAGCATAGATTTACACTAACAAAACCAAAAAAAAAAAAAAAAAATTGGTGTGTTTTTAAAGAAGAGGTCAAGCTAAGGTCTTACGAAACTGAAAGCTAAAGTAGAGAGGCAGAGCATCCAGAAGTGACCAATAAAGGAGTCAACAAGAAACTGCATGCCAAGATGACCAACGGCTGATACACCAGCAAACACGTTTACTATTGCAGCTGCGTCCGTGAACTTGAGCTTCATCTCTTTCGTCAAGTATAGCATCAACATCCACAGTGTAAACCACGCAACAGTAAATGCCCATGACAGAACTGACATACATTTGAAAAAAAAACATAAAATTATCAAAAACCAATAAACTAAATCTTAAACAAGATGAACAGAGTAGATTTTATATATGTGTTCTCCTCTCGTTAATGAATACTATCAAACAAGATCACAAAAGAAGAAATTAACCACATCTCAACTTACCAATGACTCGCAGAAAAGACGCCATTAGTACATCAGCTAAGTACTTCTCATGTGAGTCACTAACAATGCTACCAACAAAATGGAACCATGCATTGACAAAGAAATCAAGATTTGAAGGTATATTTTGATCAAACTTGATGAAACTTTTAGTCGAAAATTCAACAGAAGGCAATTGGAGGCATAGACGTGCCTTAAATATTCTAAATAAATATAAGATGGCTGGTTTAAAGATTATTATCCTCCTCTGTTAGTCACAATCCACAAGGCTGGTTTTATTGATAATGTCATATAAAATTCAGAAATCTGAAGAATATTTTAACAATTTTGCAGGAGACCATATTTTTTTTTTTTTTTTTTGCCAGTTCATATCAAGCGTTAACACCTACTTGACGGCCAAACAAAAATTATTTTAAAATAGAAAAGAAAACAAAGGCAGACAAAATTCAAATATACGTAGCTTATGGAGGAACGGCTTTTTTTTTTGTGGCAAAACACAACAGAAAAAAAAAAGTCTCGGCACGAGAAAAATCTCTGCCGCCGCTTCTCTCCTGGTCTCCGAGGAGAAACAGTGAGAAATAACAGTGATCAGTGACGGAAAGAGAAGGAGCACAGAGAAGCGCCGGTGAAACGAACGGCGACGTGCGCGCCGCCGACACAAGTTGACTCGAGTCGGGCATGATTTTGTTTTGTGGATCAAATTACGCTTACTTATTGGGCCTTAAAGCCGAAAGTAGATCCAACTTTAGAAGCCTAGCTCATTATTTCCAGTAATCTTTTTTTAATGTTTTTTTGGGGGTCAAAATTTCCAATAATGCAGAAAAAGCAACCATGGAAACAATCACTTTATAAAAATAAAATCATGAAATAGAAGTAGTATAAATGCATCCATGTGCATTTCCAAGAATCTATACGTGAAATCACTACAGATTTTACTAGCTTGTTGTAACGTTTAACTATCTATTACGTACGTACATATCCATGCAATCCGCAATTGTTCCATAAGACTGAAAGATAATAAATGAAAGTTCAGATTTGAAACTTATTGGAACCAATTGGGTTGTAAAATTCCAAAATAAAAATAAATTGGGGGATAAATATTTGCAGAAAGGAGAAGTTGTTATCGAAGCCCAATGGTTGTTCCAGTATTTAAGACGCTGCCTAAGTAGATACCCTACGTGATGAAAATTTAATGGCTGAGTCATAGTCATGCTATAGTAGACCCAACATTGGACATAGATTTTGATTATCTATTCATTATCCCATTTATAGATATAGGTATATAGCAACTCAATAGTATAATATGATCGTATCTAATACGAAACCATTGATTAATTAGATGTACTTCTACAGACATACAAACTGATATGACCCAAATGTCGAACTAATGATCCACCTAACTAGATTGGTCATTCATTATCCCATTTATAGATATAGGCAGATAGCAACTCAATAGTATTATATATGATATTATCTAATACGAAATCCTTGATTAACTAGATGTACTTCCACAGACATACAAACTGATATGACCCAAATATCGAACTAATGATCCACCTAACTAGATAGGTCATTTAAATTCATATGCATTTCTTGGTAGACGAAATAGTTTACTACTAGTATAAATATCAGTCAACTGAATGATCTGTAGTAGACTATGGACAACGGAAATTCATTGTGCAACACGACAGAAGTGTCAATTTAGGCTTGGTTTAAATTTAACATTAAATAAAAGATCAAGTTAGAAAACGGACAAAATTGTAAATTTGGGGTATGTTGTTACTCTTCTTTATCCAAAAAAGTTAGCAATGGTCAGATCATAATTAAATCTATTTATTTAAATTCGATAAAGTATATTGTTAAAAAAAAAGTTGGGGTGATTTGACGTAACATTTGATTATGAAGTCTTGACACTACATTCTTTTTTTTTTTTAGCCTCAAAACATGAATAAAATTTTTTGACTCAAAACGCTATTTTAACAGCAAACTTGACCATGATCTTGAATACTTATATTTCAAGCCGGACTGACTTCTCATACTCTATCTCACCAGCCAAAGAGCTCAATCAATAGAGAGAGTTATATAGTCATAAGTCCCTGATTGGTCCACCGTAGGACACAACTGCCGGATTCCATCATCTCATTTTTCTATTAACCTGTACGTAGCGTTGGTTTTGACTTAACTTACTATTAAAAAAACTTCGAGAAACACTTTTCAGAGGTGTAACGAGACTGTTCACCGTGTTCGTTTTCTTTTAATGTGGCGCAGAGATTTTTCTAATCTGTCAAAACAAACTTTTTTTGTGAGACAGATGAACTATTATTATTAGCTTATAAGATTATTTTGAACGATTTAAATTGTATAGATAATTTGTGAATTCATTGCAGTTGTATATTCAGTATTCCTGACAGGTCATGATCGGGTATATTATTAGCTACTATATAAGTACATATATATTATTATTTTTTGCTAAAGAACTATATAAGTTTATTTAATTTGAACATTAATGGTTATGGCTTGTAATATTACATTTTGACGTACATCTGATCTTTAGTGGGTTTTCTTTTTGACAGCCAATCTTTTTTTTTTTACAGCCAATCTCATCTCATTTTCTAATTTTTTTTTTGTACGAAATGTCATCTCATCTCACATACTATCATAGTTAGAAAACCTTTGACGCTCTTTCGGACATATGAGGTTACATAAGAAAGTTATAGGCTTACACTGTTAACAAATATTATGTACAAGCATGTCATACCAAGTTTCTTTTTTTTTCTTAAATCGTTATTGTACTAAAAAAAAACTTGAAAATATTACAACAAAAAAAAACTTGCCAAGAAACAAACTTATCAATTCTTTTTGCCCCTTAAAAATAACCAGCCAAATGAAAAAAAAAAAAAAAAAGATTCAAATCTTTATATTATTTCTTCATTTTCTATTTTCTCCAATCAATAATCATATCTTCTCCTTCTTCACCGGTGACCAAGAGTATCTCGACCCTTAACCACCAGAGCATTGTAAATATTAGGCATCCCTACCGTCGGTACCAGCTAGCATTGCGTACTTATCCTTTCTTGTGAAATTTGTGCACTCAAACCCTAAGGTTCCAGCTAAAACCCTTTGTATGTAATTCGCAACCTCTATCGGCGACTTGCCTCCTTTACACGTCAGCTCGGCCGGAAGCTGTTTAAGGAACGTGATCTCGAACGTCGGAATCGGGTTCATGAAGGCGAAGTAAGGATCAAGAAGCTTGTAGCCACGTGTGGTGGTACCATTAAACATGCTCTGTCTCGTGTTGATCGCCACGGGAACGATCCGGTCCGTGAGTTCCGCGAAGAGTGCGCTAAACCGGAGAAGGAAAGGCTCACGGCACGTGGTTCCCTCGGGACATATCACGAGATCGCCTTCCTCCAAGAGACGTTTGATGTTCGCTGCGTCTTTCTCGCGTTGACGAGTCAACGCAACGGCTTTGATTGGGGAGATAAGCTCAGAGAATTTGCTGATGCTGTAAGTGACGCAGCTGATTTTCCGGCCGAGCGCGACAGCTGTCACAACCGGGTCGAGGACGGTCCGGTGATTACAGACCAAGAGATGGCCTGGTTGGCCGGGTTTAGGCGGCGGAGGAGGGTGGCCATTGACGATCAGTTTGATTCCTGTGAGCTTGTAGTTGTAACGGGCGATGCGTTCGGGTAACGGAATATTCGTGTAGACGCGGATGAGAGATACGAGGAAACCTACGGGAAGCCAAAGGAGAGTTAACAGAGCAACTAACGGTGTTGGACGTTGGACTAATCTGCCCTCATGGAATATTATAGGGCTTAAGAGCTTGTTCCTTGGTAATGGTTCGCATTTGGTACGTGGCACCATGTAACCCTCCTGCAGTCAGTAATCACAAAATATTGTCAATATTTATTGAAGCACAAAAGTGGTTGTGATTCACTGATTTGTACGTAATTGTCTAGTAGCATGCACTTTTCATTTTTTCTAATTATATAGGAGATGGGGATGTGACACCAAAGTGGTCACGATAGATACATGTGTACTATCAAATTTAAGATGGTTAGAAAAACATGTATCTAGACTACCTAGGGTCGTTCATTAGGAGTTTACGAAATGGAAAGAGATTGAGAAATAACAGAAAGGAAGAATTTTTTTTTAAAAAAGAAGTTAAGACAATGGCTCTCACATGAGGAAAATATTTTTTTTTAAAAACGGTGGTCAGTGTATGTAGAACCTAAGTTATTATTTTATTATAGAGTTTACAAATTCACTTTAGAGGTTCCAGAACCATTATAAAAAGTATTAGCATAAGAAAACCATGTATATATATATTTTTTTAAATGGTCAGCTAAGTAGATATGAAAGGTAATCAAACAAGTTGACTATTACTCTTTTATTTTAAAAAATCATATTAAAAATATATTATTTAAAGCATAGTACCCATCTTTTTGTTATTAGCAATAGAAAAAAATGAATAGTTATTTACCTAATTTTGTCGTCACTTAGTGCTACTACACTTACAAGAAAAAAAAACAAGAACACAAAATATGATTGGCCACGAATTATTAGGAAGGGTAGTAAACACCATAGGACAACACAATAACTATAGTATACCAAAAAATGTTGCACGTACGTCCAAGTTCCATAGACATATAGTTGTATATACTCATAAATTCATAATGTCGTAAATATAGTCTTTAATGAGTTAGATAGTAATAAAAAGATACGAAAATGACATATCAAACAAACAAAAAACAGAGAGACAAATGTCGGAAATAACCTTGCAGATGGACATGAAATCATGGTCTGTCTTACTATCGCCAAGCCCCAAATCAGGTAAATCAGAGGCAACACCACCGAACTCTCTCAAAACGGCGTCGCGTTTGTGCTGACCGACGATCACACCGGGACTTCGAGTGAAACCGGTGGCCCGACCCGATTTGGAGACCTCTAGCTCTGTTCCAAGAACTTTATCGACTCCTAGGAACGTCTTCACGAACGGCTCGACCATGATCCGTGGACTCGCCGTTACTATGTATCGTTTCCCGAACGTGTTGAAGATACACCACGTGTCGGGCCTCACGTCCTCCGCGTAGAACCTAGGGAGGACGGAACGGACCACGAGCTCGACGTCTCGGATCTTGAGACCCGCGAAGGTGATAAAGATGAAAACGTTGATGGCTAGAGTCTCGGAGACGGAGAGGTACGTTAGGTAAACGAACGGTACGGACACGAGTAGGATCAACGCCCGGAGCAAGCTCCCTGCTTCGAGAGCCACGAGGAAATAATAAGGAAACGCGCTACGAGAGATAAGTAAGGTGCCGTCTAGATCGGCGGCCACGGTTTGGTTCGACCGGTCCTTAATGTCGTAACTTGATATCGGCTCGAAAGGACACCGTTTCTCCTGTGCGCCCATCAGAAAAATAAGCCGGAGGGAGAGAGAAGTGAGAGAGCGAGAGAGAGAAGAGAGAGGGAGGAAGATTCGGAAGGTGAGAATGGATATGGATTGGTGAATACTTTTAGGAGCCTTGTTTATATAAAGGGAGGCGAGAGAGAATGGGCATGATTTTGTTGTTGTGGTGGTTTGATATTAGTATGCCAAAGAAAAATTTGCTTTTGATATATCAACGGTACAAGAAAGAAAAACACTACGTAAAATATACAATAATATCTGTGTGAGTATAACCGTTGGTATGTATATTAATTAGTCGATCTTCCTAATACGTAAGGATGTGATTTGGAGATAATAGTGGCCAAAAAGGTGGATATACAATTTTTGATTAATTAGGGAGAATAGTTAACTGTGAGGAAAGAGTGGTTTGAGACGTGTGGAATAGAGAGAAATGAGAGTTAGAGTTGGTGAAGACCGACACCAATTTATTGATAAGCCCAAAAAAAATATGGAGATTTTTTTTATGTTGTTAAAGGCGGCCCACGCGCCGCCGCTTTATAGTTAGACATAGAGCATCCACTTCTCTTAAACTGTGAAAGTCTTGCTTATACATAAAACTGATTCTTTTAGCTTTTTTTTTTTTATGAAGATTGATATCTTCAAATTCTTCTAATGTACTTTGATATTGAGATTGAAAAATGTAAAATACAACAAACATTAACAGAGAAATTGAATTACTAGTTCACAATTATTAGGAAGTTTCAATATTAGTGTTGGAATAGTGTATGTACAATATAATTTTTTGGGAAAAAGATGATTAGAAATATATAAGTAATACATATTTGATAATGTGTAAAAATTGTAAAAAGTCATCTTTATTAAAAAGAAAAAAAATTACTAGCCTAAGACATTTTGGTCAAGTGGTTACACCACTTTGACTCTCTTTCGGACATATGAGGTAAAATGAGTGCCGGGCCTAGAAACAATATATACAAATTTTTACTAAATTTATGAGTACGATGTTAGAGATGTTAACTAAATTAGACAATTAGTGTCGTGGAAGATCAACAACTACAGTGTAGTTATTTATTACTATCGTTATTAATTATCTTAGTGGAAGATCAACAACTAAATTATGATTGCATGTTTTGTTTATTTGCTTTTCTCTCGAAATGTGACTAATGATAATTAATAAAAAAGGTGTAGATGAGCGTTGACACCAAAATGTAGATGAGTATAGAAAAACATTAGCGATTTAATTTGTTTTTTTAATAAGATTTTCTTGTTAAAAAGCTTTATTTACCAATTTTTGATGTAATGTCCTATACTGAAAATTAAATTATGTATCGGGATTTTGCATGGCCGATTCCTCTTCCAACTATGTAGTCATTTTTTAGAGTCATTTTCACCAATTGTGGTTTCAAATAACACAGCACGCAAAAGTTGTTTCTAAGAGAATATATATACGTCTATATAACTGTAAGTGATAAACTGATTTTTTTTTTTTTGACCAAATGATGAAACTGAGTTTCAAATTAAAAGAAATATATTAGCTTAATACCTATTCGCATATATATCTTTTACGGGATATCATTCAATCATATTGTTCTCATGGATTTAACAACAACAAAAAATCAGATTGTTTTCATTTAGTTCAAAAAAAAAAGTCATTATAATTGAATAAAAATGAAAAACATCACTTTGGTGTGGTGTTTAATTAGTTGGTATGGTCTTTTTTCTCGACAAGGTCATGTGATCGATATACGTCAATTCCTTAAGTGTAGTATTACAATGCCTAAATGTTATGACATGAGGAAGCGAGTTTTCTCTACCGTATTACTTTTAGTCAGATATGGTCCCATGATTTGTTTAACCTGTTAGAAACTGTATTATTAACATATATTCTTTGTCGCCTACTCTTCGAAAATTCGCATGTTCATTGGTAAACTAATTTAAGTTCAAATTATATTGCAAAGCATTGAGGAACTAACAAAACATCATCATTTTAATATAATAAATATGGTTGTAGATAGAATTAGACGTGTGTTCTTTTGCTATAGCATCTCTAATATGAGATGTTTTTTCTTTCTGATCATCTTAAAACGTATAGAAAAAAAAAGACTCATTTTTTTTATAAGTAGGCTCAATACCTAAACCAAGTGATACCACGTGGGACATTGATGTGGCCTCCATATAATTTACCAACCCAAAGGCCTTATAGTGGGTTTGCATTTACTCTTTATGTTCATGTCATGTGTATTATATGTTATATTTTTATACTTAAAAAAGAGGTGAAAATAAACCTAAAATCTTTCTGTCAAAAAAAAAAATGTACTTGTGATTAGATATAAACCAAAAAGTGGTATCCTACTAAAAATATTACTTTATCAGAATAGTTGAAGTTGAAAAGAAAAAAACAGACTAGAAATATCTAATTAGCTTATTACAAACAGATTCATAGTAGTGTTTTTGTCAAAACAATGAATTGGATGTTAAAAAAAAAAATTGTACATAAATGTATCATTTAAAAGCATAAATGTAGTGAACCCCATTGTTATTAATTACTCCCCTGGGAGTTATTTGTGTTGTAGAAAAATATTTGAAAAGATGAAAACAAAAATTCTATTTTACTCTAACAAGAGGTTTTTAACAATCCAAAATATGACGTTAATGGCAGATAAAATAATAATCTCTTCTAGCTCGTTTTAAGCATCCCACTCATAGTTCAGGCTTCAGGGGCCAGCTTTGATAGGCATACTACTTACTAAGTAGTACTTAGTATGTCCATCTCAAAGGTTGGGACTATCCGTCCATCAATTCATGAAGTTACCTGATTGCTTCAGATACACGTAATTATCCGTTTCATTAGTCTTGAAGATTCCACAAGTTGCTTCTTTGTAAAATAAAATAAAAATTGTTAGTCACGATGATTTTTCACTCTAACAAATGATAAGGGAAAAGAAATTCTTAAATTTGATATAGATAATGAAGTTTTTGGACAGCTGCACGCTATAGCCCAAATGTTTCCCTTAAACTTCTCCCTTTTGGGCTTTGCAAGGCCGTGAAGCTTTTGAGTCTGGGCCAGTGTTCAAGTTTTCTTTTGTTTCCATTTCTTATGTTGCCTCAATATGAACGCCAGTACATTTCAATAAAAATTTCCTAACATGTGAAATGGGTGCATAAGAATAAGAATGTTGTGCTCAACATGAAATACAATCATCAAGTTGATGTTCTAATATAAATTATAGTTGTAGTTTCTTTGTAGCTTAAAGTTAAGCTGTAAAAACTGTGAACGAACTTAGAATTAAAAAATTTGGCCATCAAACTGGATTTCAAATTCTTCAAACTTATTCATTTTTTAGCCAATGGTGTGGCGGATGAACTGGCTAAATAAACTCTCCTTTTGTATATCTGATATATTGGTTAGAAAAATAAGAGTTTGTAACGAGATAAAATTAGATATACTATATTGCTAATGTGAATGGATTTTTGAGACTTCGACGGAAATATAATGAAATTGAGAGTTTATACGGTGGCGCTTTCACTTTTAATTTAGAAAATGAATTCTGTAAAAGAACAAATTCAACACTTTTGATGATCTTTAAATTAATAAAATAATAAGAGAAAATAAAAAGTAGCCTAAAGGAAAATTCAAAAAGACTATTTAAGCCGGAAGCTCAGGCTCTAATCTTTTCCATTCAATGTCTGCCACCTCCTTGTCAAATCCACTCGTGCAACTTAAAACGGAATTTAAAAAGAAGAAAAAAAAAAGCACTACAAAATTATAAACAGAATCGAATGGAAGCGGAAAGACAAACTCAATAAAGAAAGTAGAACATGACCTCTCTATTTATTTATTTTTTTTCTCGTATCTACAAAATATGTTTTCTCTTTTATTTCGATAATGCATTATTCAGTTTTACATCGCTTTTGTGTATGTTTTATCGATTGTTTTTATAGGTTTAGTTTAGTCTTGATGACTGTGTGTACTCTTTCGATTTTTTTTACTCTTTCTACAAGTTCCCAATTATCTCAAAATTACTGACTTGAGCATGAGAATGTCTTCAAAAACAAACAACACATCGGTGCTGTAAAAAGTTTTCCAACCGTTTGTTGTCTTGTGTAATTCTATTTGCTTCCCATTGTTCGAATCATCTGCATGCATAGGTACAAAAGAATTCTCCTAACAGATATAAAAGCAATAAATAAAATCTGACCAAGCTGGTAAATAGTACCAACTTTCTAATCAAAATCCAGAATGATATTAATACATTGTCGATAAATTAAACCAAATCCGGAATGTACATGATAATGAATTATTAAATGAGCTCTCAATAAATATACCACGCGACAGCCACGTGCTTTTTTTCTCTATCGAGATATTGACTCTTCCATCGTCCTTTGTCGTTCGATCGATCCTTCTCTGATTGTTTTGCTTCAGTTCTTCTCAAGTCGTTAAAGTCTGTCCACACGAAGTCTCGAAGACAACCTTTACAATGACATAATCACCCTTTGACATTTAACCAAGAGATCGAGAGATGAAATGGAATACAGTGGCCATTAAGTAATTTCTGATATCAAATCATTTGTTCTGTTACAGTCGAATGGGGTCCTCAACGGTTACTTGGGGGGGTTTTTAGTGGGGTCAATTTGGGATAACGTCAAATATATAGATTCCGAAGAGAAGATAACGTATAGTTTCTTTAGGTACAATGTTGAGTGTAAATGGATAAGCTCACCTATAGCAGCAACTTGAGAAGAATATACGAAAATGTATTGATTTTGTTTTATTTATAGAAAAAAATTATGAAAATAAATAACACTACTACGTAAATTGTGTGAAATTTCTATGAATACTGCAAGGACTACTTGAAGTAGTAGGTTTTCATTCTCATGTAACTGTTAATTTGGATTTGAACCACCTGATCTGAGTTTTTCAAGAAACTTATCATCTTAATCTATATGTCAAAAGCTTCTGAAACAATCATGAAAAGGGGCTAAAAATTATTAGTACTAAAACTTTGAACATATGTGGAGTATAAGTACTAAGTACGTAGTCCCCACTTACCTACTACTAAAAGATGAAAGAGCACATTTATTCTCAATGAGAGCCCTTTTCTTAAGTTCAACTTTCTTTGTTTTAATGGGTTTTTATTCAAACTTCATAATATTATTCTGTTGTTAACATCTGACCCTACACCA